ATTTGATATGTCTAAAATGGTGTTGGTAGGTGATATCAAAGGACGGGTTTACGAAGAAGGCTTTCTCAATGCAGTCACTAGTGATTGAAGGGAGGTAACCCATACTGGGCCGGGTTTACTGTTTCATATGTATGCTGGAAGAATTTTCTTAATGCAGTAGTACTATAGTGCTTTTCCAAAAGTGTAAATTTCATGACCCCAGGGTCTCACATTTTCCCTGGGGAGGGTGCAAACTTTACTTAAGTTTATACAGAAAAAAATATTTTTACATCTTCTCAACTCCAAAATATGATAAATAAAATAAATGGTGGGATGGGTCTAAATGTGCTTTACCAGAATTGTAAATTGTAAATTAATTTTATGACCCCCTGAGTCTAGCGTTCCCTCTAGGAAGGGGGTACATTTTCTCGATAGGTCAAACTGGAGTCAGTTTCAATTGTCAGGTTGGATACACGTTACCATAAGAGACCGTTAACGCCGCTTGGCCTCTTACTTCATTAATAATTATTCTACACACAATTTGAAAGACTTAACAATGTAGATAAATTCTATGAATTATATACACCTACAACACGATTGAGTGGGACAGCCTTTATCTAAACTGTACACCCAAGCTTACTTTTCCTGGTGCACAATAATGTTATATGACGCTGATGCACCATGGGAAATATTCATTTTGTTTTCAGAAACTAAACACAAAAATATCAAAATGTTTACATGTTTATTGATCTAATTAATTAAAAAAAGAGTTGTTAAGAAAAATAAAAAAAATAAATAACACCCCCTCCCTAAAAAGAAAAACTAGATAAACATCGATTTGAATTTCAAATTTACTCGAAGTTAATTTTCTGACTATATTATATATGACTTCTGCACATCGTTTGCATTAAGGTTTGTTTAGACACGTTGATAATATCTTGTTTTTCCTGCACGTTCATCTAGAGGAACAAGAGACATATTACTGTTTTTGTAACATTGGCCCTCTTCTGGTCTGTAACGCCCTCAAAATCAAAACAACAACTACAACAACAAATTTAATGAATTATCGCTAAATACACGACACAATGTTGTTTATAAATTATATTGTACAAAAGAAAGGTCTTAGATTGCAGCCTTGACGAATACTAGTGATTAAAGTCTTGTGTTTACCTTTCAATAGACACAGTTATAGCAGGTCGATATATTGATATAGTATTTATCCAATCGATTACAATCTACAGCATGTTTTCCTACCAATATTTTAACAGTGTTGGTTTCACTGTAACTGTTGTGTCTTGTACAAAACGGAAGACCAAATCGTTGACTTTGAAATAGTGAAGAATGTCTGTCAAGAGTAAACAAAAAAAAAAACAAAAAAAAAAAAACAAAACAAAAAATAAAACAAACAAACAAACCCAGTCGAAGTAAGTAAGCATGTTATTTCTTTTTATTTGTTTATGGCATGTAATTGCATTTCTGGTATAGTTTTTCAAGAAGTGAAAAGAAAATTTGACTTTTCATGGTTTTGTTTATGGAAATCTGCAGGAGTTTTGCTCCTATTCCGCTTCCACATTCGTTTTTACTGGTGGGTTATCACTAAATATACATTTCTTTGTAAAACACTATTAAACTTGCAATTCATGAGAGAAATGTACATATGGCGTTATTGTTGTCTGTCCATTTCTCGCCTTTCTTCTATCTTTAAATAAAACGGATTTCACACAAAGACAAAAAGAGAAGAATGTCGCGAGGTAAGTATTGAACTTGGTAGTAAAATCTTACAATCGAGTCGCGGACTTTCCATTTGAACGAAAAATAAATCATTTCCAATCAAGTGTAATTATACCTAAAACTATTTTAAATCAAAATATGTGTATAAATTTGTGTTGGCTTGCTTTTGCTTTTTTTTTTTTTTAAATCAAGCCGCGGAGGGTCGTCCACGTTGCCGAGTGGAAGGATTAATGTTTCGTAGTTTTTTTCCCGCTTAAGTAAGTACCCAGCATGCACCATACTGTCCCATTTCCGGTTCCTCTCATCTATGTTTCGTTTGTTTCATCATCGACAACAAGGCATGAATTTGGGGGACAAGAAGATGTCGACAAAGGCGAGGACAACGATGAATATCATCAGACGGTTCTAGATCGAAATATGTTAAAATGGTTCGGCAAGGTATAAACTCAATGTGTTTCTATTTTTATTAACATTGTAACGATGTAGTTGGTACATATAACTAAGACATGGATAAATGGCAAACTATTTCAGTCTTACAATATCAATACAAAAGGATAGTTTTAAGCAAATTAAACTAAAAAGGCATGAAGTGGAGTTTTATATCCCTTTTTGATCTCCGAATCAATGTGTATGTCAAAGTATGTATAATTAATTCGTTATTCAAAGGCTGTCATTAAGAATGAAAATCAACAAAAGATGGATATCATCTTCGCACTTCCGAGAATAACAATATCTTCCAATATTCATGAGTGCATCTTGTTTGTGTTATACTGAGGTACAATTGTGTAATGCTTCTAAACAAACCAACTCTCGAGTTTTTGGCCTGAAATGACATTTCAACTGACTTAATTATAATACTAGGGCGATGAAATACTCAGAATTCCTCTATAAGACATATTACGTATTCATTCATAGCATAGAGCTAGCTTCAACAGGTATGCTTCATGTACTTGAATTATTGGTGGTATGAATTTGTGATGCACCAATGCAAACACATATGCTAATGTCCCAGTATTAACTTGATTTGTCTCTTCTTGTAATAAACGTCAATCAACCGTTCGATATACAGATTCAACACTGAGAAAATTGGTAGAATCGTAAGTTAAAGAAAGATAACTCTGGAAGAAATGAAAAAAATAAGTTGACCAGTTTTAAGCCAAACTTAAACCGCAGTATTTACCAAAACAACTACATCGATTCAAAATCTTAATACACTACAGACTAAAAGAGCGGATACCGATTTATGACGGAGTGAGGATTGAGGTCAGGGGTCATTTTAATGGTGGAGATAAAAAATGTTTTTCTTACAACAGGTTCGTTCTCGGACATATTGATGAATGGTCGCACTATTAGTTTTGTAGACATGACTGAAGACTTAATCCGCCATACAAGATAATATATATATATTGACTATATCTAAAGGAGGACACCTTTCCTCATAAAACTATATGACAATGTGGAATCATACAGATACAGTAAAGAAATAATGGAGTGGACATCTTGTTCGGACATATTGTTTGTCTCAAAGGTAGACAATCAGAACTCCAGTGACCTCGAGTGAACCTTGTATTAGTCAGTCAGGGGCACAAACGGCGGCCAGCCTTGTAAATCAGAAAAAAGGAAGTAGTTCTTCTAGAGGCCATCAGTATTAATTTCTCAAAGTGAATGTCCAATTTATGATTTTAGAGAAAAGTGTCGGAAACCTGATGAAGAAATAATGATAATAAAATTCAGAGTGAAATTTCCGTTGGGGGAATCATCGCGCTCACGTTCATTCTAATGGATAATGTAATGTTAGATTTCGTTTTGTGTGTTACATGTTCCTGTGAACAGGATCTCGCAGTTCTTTGGAAAATCAGGTCTGCAAGAGTTGTGTCCCTTCCATTGCGACCTTGATATCACTATCAGCTCGAGAAGAGATGGGCTTCTTTCTAATGATTCATTTTTTACCCTGTCGACTAAGTTACCATGGAGACGTTGATAAGTAAGGATTGCCATAACTATTTAAAGTTTGTCATCAGAATGAATAAATAATAAAAAATGTAGTTGGATTTGTATTCTTTAATTAATAAACATCTCCTGCAACACGTGACAATGCTAATATTCTTAGAATAACATTCAAATTAAATGTTACATTATAAGTAACGGAACCTCCTCAATTCAACCACTTTCTTAAAGGTAGAGTTTGTTGACGAATTCCAGACCGTAACAGAGAGTTGAATGTATTGTGAAATGTTTCGAAAGTCACGCGAGATTATCATCCTTGTTTCAGAACTGGCTCGTTTACAATAATATTACGATTTATCAAAATACTTCTCAGTGTCTGGATCCGTTTCCAACACTTTAGCCAGTAACATTCCCATATCATGACATGAAACTTCCTTTCGGCTGTTTCAAAATCCTCAATAAAATGAACTCACAAGAACTAAAACGCTTTTATGATATAAAGCTGTTTGTTAATGAACATTCGTGTTGGCACAAAGCTCCGATATCATAAAAACTTGAACATTGCGTATTTCGTCTAAAATCTGAATATTTGTGTATAAAATTCTTGCGGTATATATGCATTAACGATTGTTCGTCACAAAGATTAACGATCAAAGAAACTGGCCTTAGTACACGATATTAACCAACAATAAGATAAACATATCTGAATCAGATGGACTTATGACGTTACAGGAAGAAAACAAAACATTCACACACGAAATTATTAGATTTTAACAAACAGTTGTTGTACATCTATGTTGTTGAACATGTATGATGACGATCTGACAGTATGATCACTGTTTTATATTGTGGTCTCTCAAAGGAGGCTTCCTAGGGTTTAACATCTAAACTAAGTTCAAAGCTTGTTCTGTAAAAGATAAATGTTTATAATTTATTTATCTTTTTAATCTCGTGAATTATTTTTCTGATTACGTTCATCGGACTGTCCATTAGTATTTGAATTTGTGAAGTAAACCCTTTCGGGGAGAAAATTAAATTAATAATGAATATCCGAATATTTCGATAAACTAGGTAAATTCATTCCAACCTTGAAATTTGCCAAAAAATAATTAATTGATTATAAAAATGCATTTTATCTCCTCTGATTGTGTTTGACAAGTAGTCATAACGTTCTCTCATTTACTGTAGTAACATATTTGTCATACATTTCCATATGTCTATAAACAGTCCCAAACTCATCACATTCTCGATACTAATTAAACACACTGAAGAAATCTGTAGCGATAAGTATCCGATATGTATATTGTATTATACATTTACAATGATGTAGACATATATTTAATCTAATGAGAAGATACAAGAGTCCATCCTGTGAGAAGAGTGATCAGTAGTAATGGTGTTTGGTGAAGGGAGAATGTCCCGGATATTCCGTGGTTTTGTTTAGGAGTTGTTGTGACCACAGCGAGAGGTGCTTTTGACGTCATTGTATTGTTGTCATGGAAACCATTATCGGCTATAAGCTGTCTATAAAAGTTTGCAGACCTTTTAGCTGTGCGCGTCTTTTTTGTCTTCTCAAAGTCCACGTGGTAAAGTCCGTATTTCCGTGTATATCCATGTTCCCAGTCAAAATTGTCCATCAATGACCAGACGAAATATCCTTGGACATTGACTCTGTCCAGATTTATAGCTATAAAATTTTAAAAAAGACGTAAATAAGTGTTTATGCCATAAAATTAGGATGTTTCATGATTCTCAGCAGCCGAATGGGTTAAAACAAAGTGAATTAATTTTCACTTTATAAAAGTGAAATTTTGACTGAAGGGATTTCTCGTGTTCCACAGTTGTGGTATACATTCGTAATTCGTGAAATTCAGAAATTCAGTTATAAAACTTAATTTGTTGCTCTTACCTGTAATGGAGACGTATAAATATTTAAATATATACCCATGTTATACAGACTACACTCACAGTGAGTGTTTCTATCTAAGATTACAACATTGCAGAAATTCCGGTACTCATAATCAATAAATTAAGATGGGAAATTTTCAGAACGGTTTTATAAAGGTAAAAGGTATAGTTAACCATGTGTTAAATAACTTTATCTAATTCAGTGAAGACTTATCATTTCACTAAACATCGGACTCAAAGTACCTTATCTGTGTTGGTGGGGCATTCTAATTGTACGTAATGTAAAAGGTAAGGGGTCACCTGCCCAACCACGTGGGTTTTCCCCGGGTACTCCGGTTTCCTCCCACAATAAGACCCCTAGCGCGCTTACATCCGGGCCAACAAGAGTGATTAGTATAAGTTGACATAACTTGTTTCGCAATTGTTGTAAAATAAATAAAGTTTATATTTATAATGTAAAATTCAGAAATCAACAGGTACACAACTGCCTTCAAATTTTACCACCGAAGTTTTAAAGATTTTTTGCTTGTTTTACGGTTGTACTCCTCTGATGTAAGACGTAAGATATGATTCAATATAAAACGAATTTCAACAAGATATCTTAGATTTCTGTCTTTTTATATATTTTGTTATCTATAGTTGTACTGACAAGTTGATAATGGGAGATTTATACGACATCTTGAACTTGAAGAAATTTCGCTCGTGGATATTTGAATCTTTGGTTTTCGTCAAGAAGATTGAACAAATGACACACAAGTGAATAACACCTTTTCATAATTTAGAGTGAGATACATAGAGCCAAACAATGAATTAAACTGCAAAATACATCTGTTTCGTCCTTCTAGGACTCGTCAGTGAGGGTATGGTCCTACATTTTGAAGCCTAGGAGGCGACTAAGGGAAATCCAAAGTGATCAAAAGAAAAGGTGAAGCATTTTACAGTCATTTCTTCCTGTGATATGTATAAGTAGGATTTTGGCGAGGATCAGAGTGTAACACCTTGTAACTCTACAAAGCCAATACATGTTAAAATGATGATTTTTTACCTTTAACCAGTTGATTGGTGTGCTGTCTTATATACTCCTCCCGATCTGTATCCTCCATTGTACCAGTCGTGTCATACATCCCGTTTTCTGTGACGTAAATCGGCACCGAGGAATATGATTGGTGGATCCAGTTAAGAATCCGTCGTAGTCCCTCTGGGGGTTTCGTCATATGGCCAGTGCTAATGTAAAAAAAAAGTCAAAATAGGCAAGATAACATTCTTCAGCTTAGAAACACAGATACAAAACACAATATAGTGTGAAGGTACATTATGTATCTCTGTTGTAGGCTATTCTGACTCAACTGTTCTTTACAGTCTGTGCGACACATTTTTTGTCGTTTCCTTTAAGCGTCATTTTTCTTCATGTATATAAATAAACGATGGAATTTGTTCTTTATCGGGTAAGTTGACACGGACACAATTCCAAAATTTCAAAAATCGTGTTCTTAAAACAAATGAAATGTTTCCGAAAAGGAAATACGTTTCATCTTTAAACCTTATAACTTTATCTACCTATATATGTTTTTAAATCAATGGTAATTTTATCACAGAATAAACAAGTTGTAATTGATGTCTTATTGTTTAATATCATTGATCATATTTCCAGTGAAAATATGCCATTAAACTAAGAATGATTTATGACCTCTAATAGAATGGCTACTGATTAATGACATTTAAATGGTTGTTTTCCACTTCCTGGTTTTGCCACCAGAGCTGTAAAAGTCCGTTTAGACAGCCAACTGCAGCTTGGTGTCATGGAAAATTCGTGAAAGACAAAACTATTTTTATCAGATGATGAGTCATCAGTGTGAAAATAAAATATTAAAATAACTCCTGTATATAGGATATAGATGTGTTATATATATATCAATGTTTGATGGAATTGCATTAAATGTCAAATGTGATCTTTGACCTATAACACTGACCGATGACAACTTTAATATAACAAATGTTTATCTTGTTGTTATGATGCTATAGGTAAGACAGGATACAAATCTGTAGAGAGGATTTAAAGATATATAATTTATACCGTACGTGAGGAGACGGGAATGTACGGGCGGTCTTGGGTAAAGGTATATGTCCCCCATTTCTGCTACAGATTTGGTGGGACATAAACATGCTTGACAGATACACAATGCTCACGTTTGCCATGGGATGGAAGCACTGATATCAACATTCATATCCGAGAAATAAGTCAGAGTCTGTGATTGTGGACTTCGTTTGACCGCTATGGAGTTGTAGTAGTTGAGTCCTAAGAAGTCAGCAGAACCTGCAAATTAAACCCAATATTTAAACGAAACGAACAAACAATTTTTTGGACGAACAATCCTTGTGAGTCACCAAGTTCAGGTCAAGATATTTGATTTATCAAAACATCAACTTGTCTTAACATGCACCATACTATCGCACACAGAAATAGAATACTTCTCAACAAATTCTGTAAGTTGTCAATTTCTTGCGCGAAATTTGTGATATTTGAAACAGGTCCTAGAATCATCTGCGATATGTAATGTTTGGGACGCAGGAATGTTGTATCCAAAAATGGTAAATCACATTTGGAAAATTAAGTCGTCACACAATTTTTTGCAAAACTGTTCATATTGACTTTATTGTGGACAAGATAATAATTAGTTATGAACAGCAGATGGCGTATTACAAAAATCCGAATTTGAGAACTAAAATTTTAGAGTTTGTTATATGGTTATGTTAAGATTAAATCCATCTACGGATTTTATATTTTTGACACGTTGTTGCTCCTATCTTGCACCAGAAACGTCGTCTGATAAGGTAACATGATGGTAGTAAAGTTTCATGGGATTCAACGTTCTCATCAGTTGCGTGATAGAATGAATGTCAAACCTGCCTTGGAAAATGTTGAGTGGACAGAAAAGAAAGAAATGGTAAGAATTTAGTTTCAAAGACGGTAGCATATCTATTTATTCCCCCCCCCCCCCCCCCCCCGATGTCCACTTAATAGTCCCCGAATTCTCTAACATACAGCAACCACATTCTTTCCCACCAATGTATAGTTTGGTGGTGAAGTAAGAGAGAGGAGTTGTTTGATGACACATACAAAGGAAAAGAACTGTGGGTATAGATTATAAATAGATTAAACCTTACCTTGTAACATTATTTTATCCTGTGCCGTAAATTTAATTAATCTACTGTCGAGGTTATTTTCCATCAAACTATTCTTAAGTACGGATGCTCGCATCACATCGGGGTAATCTCCGTCCTTGAATATTGGGTTGGCAAACCATCCGAGCATGAATTGAAGCGCGCGTTCTGATGCCAGCACATCTTCTTCGTGTGATTTGTTCAATGGTTCAGCCCATGGTGCAGTGAGTGCTATCCCCACTTTACCTGTAAACAGATGAAATACCTTGCTGTTTAAGTTCACAACCGCAAAACATTTTCAAGATGACATTTTTACAGTTTTCCCAACTTAGAGTGACATCGCTCTGAGAATGATACGCCATGTTGCTCTGCTTTTATAATCAGTTGACCTACACACCTTTGTGATAAGGTAGGTATTTCTGGCTGTACAAATGGTAAACTGCAGCGTGAGCTAGTAGGAGGTTGTACCCAACTTTGTACACGTCCTGATTCATCTCTCCAGGGGCCAAGGTTCCTTGTCCATATCCTTTTACAGCTATGGAATAGGGGTCTGATATTGTAATCCAAGTCTTTACCTATGAGGATCAAATGTCAGAAATAGAAATCAAATAGAGTCAAATAGCAAATATTTTCTATGTTAATGTGAAATAAGAATAAAAAGTTGTCTGAAATCCAGAGATGAGAATAAAGAAATGTTCATAGACAAAGATGTCAAATTAAAAGGTATGAAAAATGAGTAAATAATGATGAATGAAACCGAAAATAAGCACAATCCTGAATAACGCAATAACTATTACAGTAATTGTTTTCATTTTATTTGTGTTACACATTTTTTAAATCTGATTCGAAACGGGTTATGAATGATACTTACTCGATTACCAAACCGTGAGAAACAAAGGTCAGCGAAGTGAGTAAACAGTGTGATGATATCGTCATTAAGCCATCCTCCAGTTTGATTCAGGAACTGTGGTAGATCCCAGTGATAAAGTGTTACTACGGGAGCGATCCCAGCCTCCACCAGGGCGTCGATCAACTGGTCGTAATACTCCATACCAGCTTTACTAACGTTGTTGGCTGATCCAGTAGGTAAAACTCGAGACCAGGAGATAGAAAACCGATAACTTGATACCTGCAATAAGTTATTCAGGAAACAAGTTGTTATTTTCTGCATTTTACTTCAAAAGTAACAAGTATTCACTTCATTTTGAATTGGAAATATCTCGATGGTGAAAATGTGTTAAAAAGAATGATGTTTGATTTAAGTCACTTATACATTATACAGTTCATTCAATTGTTACGTGTATTTTTGATTTTACCTTGAGTTTCTTCAGTATAGTAATGTCATCCCGCCAGTAATGGTAGCTGTCACAAGAGACATCTCCAGTGTCATAATTAGGAGATTTACGGTTATGTGTGAAAACATCCCATATACTTGCGCCCTTACCTGAAATGACAACAGGCCGAGGGAGATACATTTATTGGTATTCCTTTCACTAACATTCTTCCTTATTGATAAATACTGCTTTCAGTTTACTTGTGATTTGCCCTTTGTTTAAATCACTGACGAGCCCCAAAAAGGACGAAACTGTTGTATAACGCAGTTTAAATCAAATTTGTAACAAAAGATGCTCTCTATTTGTGTGTCTTTTGTACAGTTTTTAATTCATTGTTTGGCTCTTTTGTATCTGGTTTTAAATTTGTATTAAAAATGTTATTCACTTGTGTGTGCGGGTGGAAGACACTGCTGGCAGACTTCCAGCCCCCAGGTGTACTGTCGCAGCGTGCTGCATTTCTATCCAGTCAAATAGTGGCACAGCTCAAAATAAACATATGTACTTTGTGTTCTATGAAATTAATTGAATTTTGAATTTAATTTCTGAAATTTCTTTTTCGCACAAATTGGATGATCTAAAGTCGCCTCTGTGGTTTCAACATTTTAGGTGTTAGCATCATTAACGACTTCTTGAATAAGAATGGAACAGATGAAGGATTTCGATTTATTGTTTGGCTCACTGTGTCTAAGTCTACATTTGTATTTAAATGTGCTTTTCGTTGGTTTCTTTACCAGTCTTCTCTGTGAAAATGGAAATATCTACATTCGAGTAAATAAGAACTGTATATATATATGTTACTGACGATCTTGAGTACCGGCAGGCTAAATTGGAAAATTATATCCAAACTGTAGAATAAAACAATCAATTTACATTCGTGTTAATTACATAACTATTAAATTGTTCAATATGTGGACAAATAACATATTATAATAACAACTTTTATAACCATGCGAACAGATATGAAATTAAGCATTAAATTTTATATCCCCAACCAATAAATTATATTGTTCTTTTTGATAACATATAATTAGGGTTATAGGGTTATATATAGTCTATCTAAGAAATAGTGTAGAGCGTTTATGATATATAAATCTCAAAATATCGAAATTTTCTTCGTTATGTACCCACAATCGTTTTTCAAGCGGTAAAAAATTCATTAGCAGTTTCACTGCATTTCGGCACAACTTCGACTCACATCCATGTGAAGCAGGTGAGTACTTTAATGTTTTTGTTTTATTTGCCAAGACTTTCCCGGGTATATAATGAAAATCATGTCAATGGATATGTTTTGTATTGGACTTTGGTTATATTTACAATCGAACTGTATAAGTACACGTTACAGCAACAAATCGGTTAAACAAAACAATGCTTCACATTCAATTGTTCCATGGTTCAGTGACTTTTGATTTAGTTCTTTGTTGTAACTCTTAAATGCTTGATATAACATTTATTGCAATAAACGTTGCGATTGCTTCGCTCTATATTTTTATAATTACATTAAACGTTGCAACTGATACGATAAATTTGATGTTTTATTGAATTAAGCGTAGCAGTTGCAATGCTTAATGTATTGATATTACCTTAAGCATCGTTAATACATTAACCGATATAAAAGGTCTCTGTACGTTGAAAGACTTTATTATGTTGATAGATACAAACGATTAAGGCCCATATAACATGGCCTATGGAAGTTTATAGAGGGTTATAGGGGTTGTACAACATGTTGTATTTTTGTATCAGTTAATTCCTGATATTTTAGGATTGATAAATCGATAGGGAAGATATATGCCTTGTGTGACTCAGATTAACTTGAAATAGCCATTACCTCATCGATATACTTTTCCGCATCTGCACGCAAGCAGTGCATTTATAAGATCGTTCAACGACAGCAAAGCATTTTTCCAAAATTCATTCAACGTTAAACTTTGAAAAACGGAAGAGGATATGACAGAGAGGTAATTAAAAGGAAGAAAAACAGCGTCTCGCAGACCAGCATTTTTTATGAAAATGATTTACCGTCCTCATGCCATGCTCCCTCTGTTTGATAGGCGGATGTTGTCACACCCCATGCAAACTCTTGTGGGAATAGACCATACACAAAGACATTCTCTTTTTCCAAGGTTCTCTTTTGTATCATTGGCGATGGGGATGAACTTGTAGGCGCAGTCTCTGTACCAGGGATGAAGCCGTTGTCCTGGATGATGTTCCGGTAATACTTGGCAGAGGCCTTTGGCGTCCTAGGCCGCGCCGGGTCGGTAAAGTTGACGTAGTGGAGACCGAATCTCTCCGAGTATCCTCGGGACCACTCAAAGTTATCCATCAGAGACCAGGCAGTATACCCACGTACATCGATATTGTCTAGGTGAATGGCTGAAATAAGACAAATGAATTTGATGTTGAAAGCAAAATGATCGGAGTAACACAACTGACGCCATACCATACTCTCTGTTCCTTTTACTTTGTTATTTAAACAAAATATCTTAATTTATATTAATTAGTGTGACAAAAGGGAAGCCCTGCCACAAACTTGTGATGTTTTATTTTTATACAATCTCTACATCCTACATCCTGGATGAAGTATATAAGTTTTAACTGTTTGTGTTTTGCCCATGCCTTTTCTCGAAAATTGTCGCTAACTATTTGCAAAAATCAGCCGCTATATGTTATCCTCGCATCCCATTGTAATTTACTTACCTTTCAGGACTTCATTGATGTAGTGTTTGTAGTAGAATATTCTATTATCATCAGTCAAAAAGCCGTTTCTGTCGGAGACTCCATTCTCCGTTACATATACTGGTACGTCACCATAGTGATCTTTGATCCAGTTCAGCATGCGTCGTATTCCGAACGGAGTAACCGTGAGCCAGGATGATCCGGACCTAACAAGTAAAGTAAACGGTAGTTGCAAATAGGGATACAAATTTTATCAATGTATCTTTGGTTAAATGAAAAATAACTTTTATTTGCTTTTTATATAATGATGATAATAAATATTGTACTCTGACCCCGATTCAGTTCTAAGACTTTGCTTATACTAAGAATTGTTAAATATTGATATTTAAATCACTCTGATTTAAGTATGAACATAACGTGTAATTATATACGTTTATAGTATTAACGGACATTGATTGATAATTTTAGTGTCCAATATTAATTGTGAATTTTAGTGTTAGCAAAAGTGATCCGTGATATTATATTATAAGCGAAGAAAACAACCTTTTTGAAAAATCGAAAGATTTTTAGACTGCTTATGATAACTGATTTAGAGTAATATACAACGTGCGCTTGTACCCCACAAATAATCATAACAACATATAAATGAACAAGCTGCGAGCTAATACACACACACATTGCGAGCAAAATAGATATCTCCTTTACAGGTTGTCAAGACCACTGGGTGACACTGGTATTTGAAGGCGACCAAACTAAACTCACCTAAGCCACGACGGGTCTTTAGAAAGCTTGACATCCATGTCGCCGTAATAATCGGCCTGAGTGGATGGGTCGATATAATTTTCTGCTAGGTTTGAGGTGTAGAAATTCAAACCGAGAAAATCGGTGGCACCTAATTTCAGAGAAAATGAATTTAGTGAAATTGTTATCATCTATTCATGAAATTAATTATTTATCAACCAATGCAATATTCTATTATGTCTCTAAACATAATAGATATTGTTAATAGAACAATATTTATTGCAATCTCCTGATCCATTGATAATAGAACAAAGAGAACGACCGGGTGTTCTGGAAAGGTAGCCAGTAATGGGATCTCTTCATGATTAAGAAAAAAAAAAAAAAATATATATATATATATAGATATATCGTACAGTACCTTTGAGTTATAGATACTGAGTTTGTACCTTTCAAATATTCTTTTTCCTCGTTGGTAAATTCTGGCAGTCTGCTTTGCTTTAACTTCTGCAAGGTGATGCTCTTCTTTAAGATCTGCCATTTCATGACGTCTGGATAATCACCATTGTTCAAAACTGGATTAATGAACCAACCGAAATGGAACTGGAGGGCGCGTTCGGCTGCTTCTCGGTCGGAGGGAACATTCTCACTTTTCGGTACTTCCCAGTCACAGTTACATGTGATACCGACCTTCCCTGAAAACAGATAGGCAATACATGTAGTATGTTTTGTGCTGCACCGAAACTAATATTGATATGACCCTGAACCGCTGAAGAAGAAAAATATGAAAACGGTTCGATTGATTTCAACACAGACAAGAAGATGTTAATTCTAATTTCTTTTAAAACAGAAGTGTTGATACCTGGTATGAATTTTGCATAAATAAGACATTTTTCTATTTAATCCAACTTGCCGTTTTTTTTATATTAACAGTCAGTCGGTATTTTCAGAAAATAGGTATGTTTATAAGAAACCGGATTGCTTTCCATTTACTGCTTGATATGAATTTTGTATAAGGCATTTTATCATTTAATCTAACTTGCCATTTTTATAATAACAGTTAGTCGGTATTTTCAGGAATGTTTATAAGAAATTGGATTGCTTACCATGCTGGATCTGCTTAAACTCTTTTTCATACACCCTGTAGGCTTTCCCATGGGCCCTAATGAGATTGTGAGCGGCGACGTATACCCCGTCTCCGGGGCTGACAAGTCCCGGGGCTTTGATACCCTGTCCATACCCTTGGACAGAAACCACCCATGGCTCGTTTAGGGTGATCCACGTCTTTACCTAAAATATTCCAAAGCTCTCTTTCAATTATTGCTTTAGCTGAAGAGATCTGTTCTATATTGGTGCGGCGAATGAGACTCATTTTCAAGTTCATTGACAATATAGAGATCATTACAACTTGTGAATAAACATCAGACTTTATATAAGTTGTCAAATTTCGCGGGGCAAACATTTCGCGGGGCTAACATTTCGCAGTTGTACTGGGTTGGGCATGTTCACGAGTATAAATTTCGTGCATGTTTACTTGGTTTTTCCATCACAATGTAAAAAAAAATAATTTTTTCCAAGACCAACAATATATTTACCGGACGTCTCAATAACTTACAAAACATCCATAGTAATAATAATAAGGCCAGATCTTCAGGACGTTTGAGCGTCTTCCGCTTCATCTCCGATAACTGGCTTGTAAAGTTTTTTTTTAATGAAGCAAGGACCAGGAAGTGAAAAACTATTTTAATGTTTTAGTTTCATAATAATTGGAAGCTGTCAGAATATGAAAATAGTGCATCTAAAGCTCATTGTAGCTTCTTTTACCATTTACATATATTTATAGTAAACAGTTCCTTGATAAACAATCTAGTTCTGTTTTATTTCCGCCGTTCTACGAACAACTTTATAAATGACTTGACTGTGCATCGAAGTACAGGGATCAACGGTAATTGAATCCAAGCGCCGTAGTGATTAATAGTAAATATATCGCTCCATCTTCCCAACCAATATCAAAGCATTTTTGCAAAAAGATTATCACCCTACAATTCTACAATAAAACATTTGCCATTTTAGTATTTTATCATATTTCTCATTTCTGTTTTCTTCAATGCTATGAAAAGACTAGAGGTGTCCGACACGAATGCCTCCGACAACAATCAGGGAGATGTTGTATGTGTTATTTGTGTCATCATGGTTTTTCAAAATGCAATTGAAGTTCCGTCTACAGATTTTTGTCTTATTTTTTACATTCAACGGGAGTTAGGCAAGGCTCCACAATATTGGTCATTTATGTAGCATAGAAATCAACGTTCTTAAATCTATCATCGTTAAACGTAAATAAAACAATTAATAATTCAATTACCGGAAACGAAATTGAAATCATGACAAATGATTGACATTGATAACAATATATGCCTCGACCGCCATATTGGGCCATAAAAAGAACTTTTGATTATCTGAGAATTTACCCTGTCTCCAAACTTCTGGAAAGCTAGTCTGGCGTAATCGGCGAAAACATCGGCTATTGAAGCGTTCAGCCAGCCTCCACCTTGGTTCTGTAGAGCCTGAGGTAGGTCCCAGTGGTAGAGCGTGACCATTGGTGTGATTCCAGCGTCAATTAAGGCGTCAATCAGCTGGTCATAGTAATTTATACCTGCTTGGTTCACGTGACGAGTAGTGCCATCTGGCAATATCCGGGGCCATGACAGGGAGAAGCGATAGTGTGTTACCTGTAGGATTTATTTTAATAATAATTCGAACACTACCCATAAGTTCACTATTTATTGAAATGATCCTCTGAGACTTTTAATTAAAAACCGTGAAGTATGCTGATATTTTTTTGTTCATTAAAAAGTGTATGAAACTGTGTGGAATAGTCTTAATTGAATGATTTTAAGATGTTATTCAATGGCAAATGTTGAAATGACAACAAAAAGCGGGAGCGCTTCGTTTCAATGTATCTAACAATTTGTATTCAATAGGAAATACCAGTATTGAGAAGAAAAATTTGCATGGAAAACAAATTTGCAACATTAACAAAAACTCGATATTAGTCCGAGACTTTACTTTCATATCTTTGAGAAGCTGGACATCTTCAAGGTATTTATGGTAGCTGTCACAAGCAACATCGCCAGTATCATTATTGTCCACGTGATCATGATGAGAGAACGTGTCCCAAATGCTCGGCCCTTTTCCTGTGGTAGGTTAAGATACAATTTAAGAATTTAGTAAGTCGTTGGAGTAAGGATGCAACGATCGGTCAAACCATCGGATAATCCAGTATTTCGATATTCGTTACTTGTCTTTCGTCATAACGCTTTAAACCTTCAAATTGTAGGTAATTCATAGTGGGGTCCGTAGAAGGAAACTTAAATAATGTTAATACAGATATACTAACACGACGATTTCTATTTGATTCCATACAAATAATGATTGTTTTCAAATCTTGTCCAAATTTTTAACAAAAATCGAAGGGGAATAAATCGATTTAAGATTGATCATTAAGAATTATTTCCTAGTTTATGCACTTTAATACAATGTGACAATAAAACAACATTTGTCTTTATTAAAAAAAAAACAAAACAAAAATGTAACAAAAAAGACAAGAAAATAACAACATGTTAATATATTCATAAGCCAAAATAAAATTCAATAAAAAGTAAGGGAAAATATGAACGAAAAAAAAATCTGATAAATAAATCAAGGAGAATAAGACCAGGTGTTCTAGAAGAGTAAGCGGTATCTCCTTTATGGACGACACCCGCCATGTAGAATCTTGGCAAATTCAACTAGGTAATGTCACTTTCTTAAATGAGAATAATGTCTGCAATACGGATTCAACAGGCAAACTAATATAAATATACGATCAAATCAATACCGTTCATAAACCCAGTAATTATATCACTGATTATCCATGTTTTACTTCTTCCTTTACGAAGCTGCACTTTAAATATAATGACTTTAAGTCATTCTATACAGAAGTTATAAATATGGTCGCATGGTAGCCTCAGCTATGATTGTTAAAATGCAGCTATTTGATACCATCTGTCGTAAGACACGTAAATTCTCGTAAGGGGGACCTCGTGATTACGCTCGAACACATCGATAGATGTAATGTATGTATTTAAGCTCCGATTCCATATTTGTTCTACCACAGAACATCTCCGATGACCAAATCATCACATAACCAAACAGCTTGAGTCATTAAATCGGCTTGTAATCAATGATTTTAGACAGACTACATATATAGGATCGAGTCCAACAACTATGTTAACAAAGAATACATTCTCTAATACCAAAAGTCTGCCAGTGGTTTCAATGTCATAAAGGTGCAAATAAATACATACATTGTATATTCCTTTATATCAAAGCACGATGACCCGGCCTTGGAACATAACATACCATCTGCAGTTTATTTTAAAACCTTGTTCTATTAGAATGTATGTATGCGCTTGGTATTTTGGTAATGCACTACAAATATAAACCCTCTATTTGAAAACGTTGATGTACACATGATTCTAAATATACGAGAGCAGTTAGCCATTTTCCATACGACAGGAAAAGGTGCAGAAACTTTTCGTTTTAATTATGTGTGTGATTATATTTTTTAACGTTAGTTTTCAGTTGATGTTTAGAGATCATTTTTTACATCACAATTTGTTTCTTGCTGTTTCCTTTTCAACATGGTATCTTGTATTGGTCCTTTTAACACTTTCTGTGTTGATGGGCTATTCAGATGTTGACAATACTGATACGTACCGTCTTCCTTCCAGCCACCTTCTACCTGGTACGCTGCAGTCGCAGCACTCCATGCAAAATTTTCCGGGAAAGTTCCATAGAAGAATTCACTTCCTTCTGTCTGAGGTGCAGGTTTCGATTGAAGCTCCTGGAATCCATTGTTTTCAATGAGCTGCCGATAGTACTGGGCCGAGGCTTTAGGTGTCCTAGGTCGTTTTGGGTCGGAAAAGTCCACGTAATGGAGACCAAATCTCTCCGCGTATCCTCGCGACCATTCAAAATTATCCATCAACGACCAGGCAGTGTAGCCTAGTACATTCACGTTATCCAGGTGAATTGCTGAAATATCATTTATTTCGGGACAATATGAAAGAACGAAATAGCATATATCAACAGGAGTACCTCCTAGCGGTGCAAACATTGGAATCTCAATGTTTTTAATACTTTAAGATGTACACATCTATGGTAAAAATATAAGTCAATTTGATCTTACGGCATTTTTCTTTTTCGATATTCATTTTGCTGTTGCTGGTTCTTGCTGTGCAATGGAAACAACGATAAAATATTTTATTCAAAACGGCATAAATGTATTATATTAAATTCGGTTCTTATCACCAGTACGTGACCTCTTTGAGAAACCCGATATGAAAAAAAATATACTTTGACTCGGTATAAAACGACTATTTACAAAGATGAATTGCTACCTTTTAGGACTTCGTTGATGTAATGTTTGTAATAGTTTATTCTATGTTCGTCTAGCAGCGAGCCATTCCTGTCGGACACCCCGTTTTCTGTAATGTAGATAGGGGCATCCTTATAATGGTCCTTCATCCATGTCAGCATACGGCGTATCCCAGTAGGGGTCACTTTCAACCAATCAGATCCAGATCTGAAAAGAAAGAAAAACATTAAAGCCATGCATTCCGGACACAATCTTGTTCAGGTTGTCGAATGGTCGCCAGGGTAACGCACTCGTTCACTTCGGTAACTAAAGTTTGATTCGCTAATCGGCCGTGAAAAGAAAAAAAACTTCAATCGGGCTGTACGTCCGAGCACGTGGGTTTTTCACATGTGCCCTAGTTTTCCCCCATAGTTAGACCCTCAGGCCCTTTAATCCTGTTCATAAAAACTGATCGATTTTAACAACAGCTTGTCTTCGCGAAACAAAATGATAAAGTTAGTGTGATGGTACACTTCACTGACGGATTTCTAAACACTTAGACCAACCGTTTCCTGTTTGCCACGTGTAAAACGTTATTAAGAATAAAACTAGGATATGGCGAAAACAAAATTATTACAAAGTAAACAGTACATGACCAGATGTTCCAGAACTGTAAGCGTCTCCTACTCCACGTCTACTGCCGTGTTTTACACCATGGAAACTTAAGGCCTGTATTGATGAAACGTCTCGAACATAGATATCTCCTTTGTAGCGAATATATTTGCTGTTTTGTAGTATAATGTGTTTGCTAGAAAAAAACTGTTCTCAATCATTTTTTTTCGACATTATCTTATTGTTGAAAATATTGGTAAGTGTTGGTAGCTAAAACAAGTAAACCTACTAGATACAGCAATTATTTCACACATAATTACAATACGATTCATTATCAGAACTGGCTGATAATATCAAAATATCAAATGTATATCCCATTCACATATTATCGAGTGTGTTAATTTAGCCTGTCTTAATGAATATTCATGTATTTTATTTTCAAATTAAGAGAGTATTGGCTAATGTGAAACAATACAAATGTATATTTTGAAAGATCGCAACTAATAAATGTTTCTTGTACTGTTAAGTACTGTAAGAAAAGACAATAACACTTCTGCTGGAGTTCGACAGGGTTCATTGTTAGGACATGACTAGAATAAATTATCTAGTATCTGACATTGAGATCAAGGTCATAGTAACCTAACGGCAATGCACTGCACATCAGGTTTTCGGTAATAGAAGTAAAGAACTTCTATTACGATATCTTTTACGGTTTAAAATTATTACCTGACAAAAAAGTACTAGAAGAAGAAGAATAAGCCAAAGAAAAAAGACATTACTAAACCAATATGTCTTTCTTCCTTCATTCAAAGGTGAGACAAAATTATATATTGAGTCACTGATACACTAGGCTGCTCAGATTGTTTTCATTTTGTTAAAATGTTATTGCTGGCTTTCCAATCGAACCCTTTCGCTTTATCAATGCTTCCTTTCGTTTATGCCGTTGTGTTTAATTATGACGAATGCGAAATTTCAACAACCTTATTGATATTATGACTATAAAACATAAGTAAAAACGATACCCGAGCCAAGAAGGGTCTTTGGAGATTTTGACATCTATGTCTGAGTAATAATCCAATGGTAAGTCTGGGTCTTCATAATGCTGTATGACGTCAGAAGTGTAGAAATTAAGTCCAATGAAATCAGCAGAGCCTGAAAGTTGATCAACAACACGTGAATAATTTATCTTTCATAAAATGTGTTGTGAATATTGTAAACAGCCATATTAACAATATTCATTCTTTGTCCCCAAGAACGAACAGAAAGTTTAATTACTGGTTCAGTGGGGTAAAACAAATTATATCTTATTCTGAATTTCCTTTTCATCTATCTGATTATGTCACAACATACAAACAATATCTGTATAATTGTGTCATTACGTCTTCAAAGAACAATGATATGGCATAACACATTCAATAGTGATTTAAATTGGATTCATGACTGCGTCTTTCCACTCAGTCACAAATATAGCAAACTTGAACAGCGTATTTCATATCTAATGCTAAATCTTTTCAATTTTTCGTTTAAAATGTTATATTTGCCATTATAAAACCAGTTTTAATACGACCAATTTACCAGCGGGATAAAATATAAACTTTTTTAGCAGCTGACATGTTCCGAGTGACAGAAAGCGTTTGTAGATTTTTAATTTTTTTATAGTTTCAATCCTGTATTATATGTGATGCTACACTTCAGACACTGCAGAACATTGAATTTGAATAACGAAATTGTTTCATGATTTATCAAATTAAGTTCACAAGGACTATGTGTTAAATTCACGCGACAATTATTATTATTTTTTTTGATGATTTTTTGACGTTTCCTACCGTTTAAATATTGCTTCTCTTCTGATGTAAATTGTGGGAGTCTGCTATTTGGAAGATTCTGTGCTTCACTTTTGTTAGCAATCTGCCTTTTCATGACATCCGGGTAATCGCCATTGACGAGAATAGGATGCCCGAACCAGCCTAGTTGGAATTGGAGCGCGCGCTCGGCGGCCGCTTTGTCCAAACGACTACCCTCCGACTTGGGGACAGTCCAGTGACAGTTACATGTAATACCCACGCTTCCTTAAAAATAAGAAATATGAAATATGTGACATATTATTAAATTTACGAAGCAGTAGCCTTGTCAACCTGTAATTTATCAGAAAACAGTCGCATAGGAAAAGTTTGACATTTCAAAATTTTAAAATCGAAAATCACAATTTAAGAAAAGTTTTCATTTCTGTACCATTTTGAACTTGGCTGAACTCCTTTTGATAGACACGATATGCCTTTCCATGAGCCCGAATGAGGTTATGGGCAGCTATGTAAACGCTGTTCCCGGGGCTTGCAATCCCAGGTGCCATGCTTCCGTCCCCATATCCCTTCATAGCCACCACCCATGGCTCATTAAGTGTGATCCATGTTTTCACCTAATTGTTATGCGAATAGAAATAAACATTATATGTCAATATTTATTGTTGTTTTTCTCAGGTATGAAATACAAGTATGGACGTTTACTTTCATTTAGATTTTTTTAGTTCGTACAAAATATGGCCTCAACAAATGTCATCCTTAACAAAATTTAGTATTATTTTGAAGTAAGGAACCTGTTTTAGTTCTGGGATCGTAAGAAAATAGTACACAAGACTCTCAAGTGAATATCACATTTCAAGATACAAAAGAGCCAAACTATTAAATTAAACTGCATCATAGCGCTGATTTGTCCTATAACTCTTCAATTATACTAAGGGTCTAAGGGTTATTGAAAACAGACAAACAAATTCTATATATATAAATATATAAATCTCTTTCTTTCAAAAAATTTATACAAAGTTGTAATTTATTTTGTAATTACTCTGTTTCCAAACTTCTCGAAAACAAATTTGGCGTAGTCGGCAAAAACGTCAGCTATGGAGGCATTTAACCAGCCTCCACCTCTGTTCTGTAGAGCCTGGGGCAGGTCCCAGTGGTAGAGTGTTACCATCGGTGTTATTCCAGCTTCTACTAGGGCGTTAATAAGCTTGTCATAGTAATCCAGCCCCGCTTGGTTTATAATATTTGTTGTTCCGTCAGGTAATATTCGGGGCCATGACAGGGAGAAACGATAATGTGTCACCTGTATTTAACAAAAATCATATCTTTGTCATCAACTTAAAAATATATGAAATACCTAAAATATTGTAAACAATCCAGGTGATTTGGTATTAGCGGGACTAGACAGGAACAGGGAAGTATCCGTTCCATATATTAAAATTTTAAAATGTAAATATTTGTTTAAATCATATTGACTCACCATTTTTGTCATAAATTAAGATTTTAAAAATATTAAATTCATGTAGTTATTAATAAGATATGGATACGTGTAAATGTGATGTTCATTGGATACTGCATTTTTTAAACGCTAAAAGGAAGTAGTAAAGTAGGATATCAGAGACGAGTAAATTGTTAATTGTCAATTGATCGTGAAATCAATAATTAAGCATTGATGTTTTCAGTTATTGGTATTTAAAACACATGAAATATAATTGATTTTTAGCGTCAAAGTAGGGCTATTTCATTGTTTTTAACACGAGTGATTTCTTTTGGTCACGCAAGAGCAACCAGACACTTATTGCGCACTATAACTACATTAATTTGCTCTCTTCGATAATAAACGGTTATCGCCAAAGTAGACTAGCAATAAGCCTGAATCGCTCACATGATCTGAAGCTTAGAAAAAAAATAGTTTGTAAAGTCAATTTATTGCAAACTTGATAAATATATTCACAGCATGCTTTTTACGCATAACCAGGGCTTATTGGTTATTTAAAAGAATGACTGATCTACTTCATTCCAGCATTTAACATACCCAACAGCAGTACCCTAAACCTTTTGGTTATTGAGAAATATTTTTTTTGTTTGATATTTTTTTGTATCGCTTGTTAAAAAATGTCAAGGTTATTTATTTACACTAACTTGACAAGCCTTCACCACCGCATTCTACAAGCACAATATCGGTACCCTGAAACGTTTGTTTATTGAAAAGTCGTTTGAAAATTTAAACGCATTTGACCCACGTGATCTTGAGAATAGGTAACGGTCACTCATATTTAAAAACTTGGCAATCCTTTATCTAAGCATGTTAAAGATCCCAATATCAGTTTCTAGTGCCTTCATTGAGAAAGGAGTCGTTGAAAGGAAAACTTAATAACATGGTATAAGCTAAATTGTCCTTCAGGGAGGTTATGTATTACGGGATACTCCTGATTGTAATTACAAAAAATGATAAAATATAGAAAAATATACCTTCATGTTCTTGAGAAGCTGAACATCATCCAAGTATTTATGGTAACTGTCACAGGCTACGTCACCCGTGTCATTATTGTCCACGTGACCTTGGTGAGAGAACGTATCCCAGATACTAGGACCTTTACCTAGAGAAATTGTGATAAATTGTTATCACTGGTTTATCCAATACAAAGCACATTAACTCAACGCAAGAAGTTCTTTAAAGAGGTCTTTTTAATCGTGATTTTACCAATAAATCGGCATTGTATCATTTGGATGTAAACAAAAATAGCTCTTGGAAAATGTTTTTGTCATAATGATTTTTCAAGATTTAAACATTTAATCCTTGATTTGATCAGGTAACAAATGTCAATTTTGACAAATTACAGATACTCAAATATGATAATTTATTAAACATGAACGCACTTTGTTTTTTTTAATATCAAATATGTAAAAAGAACAAAATTAATTCAATGATGGGGCCAGCGCACTTCCCTATCTAGACTTTGACATTTCGTTTGTTCACTTTGGGTTTTCTTCAGTCGCCTACTAGCTGGTTTTAAGATTTAGACACTTAACATTACCGACTAATTCAAGAAGGGCGAAACATAAGAGCTGTGTGTTGCAGGTTTATTTATTGTTTATTTTTGCTGTATCTTATTCTAAATTTGTATGAAATATACTATTTCCTTCAGTATCATTAAAACGTTTAAAGCAACAAGATAATAAAAAAGATATTGATCTCAAAACTAAATCACAAATGTCATGAATATTATTTCTTTCTTGACGACGATAGGGTATAGCATTGTGTCTGATACCTTATCACCAAACAAATCAATTTCGCATAGCGTTACAGATGTGTGTATTTTTGAAAACTCGTATATTATAATGCAAGGTCAAAGTTGGGCCAATAGAAAAGAACAATACTGAAATAAAACATAATGTCGTAATATATTTACAGGTTCTCTGTGTTGGCAATTATTTCAATATTATTACGAAGTCTGATCTAGGATTGTATGTATGTAAATTATGTGTGACATTAATGACTGATTTTAGGACTGGGTTAATTTACATTACATAAATCTTCAAAAGTTAAATTGAATTTGATTATTATTAAGCGTGAAAATAAATGAACACAAATTACCATCTGCCTGCCAGCCGCCTTCGACCTGGTAGGACGCAGTTGCTGCACTCCATGCAAATCCTTTTGGAAAGGTTCCGTACATGAAATCATTTTCCTGTATGAGGGGACCACGGCCTGACAGCAAAGGAGTTTTAGAGGGCGTGGTTTTGAAGAATCTGTTGTTCTGAATCAATTTTTGGTAAAACCTTACCGAGGCCTTGGGCGTCCTTGTTCGCGCTGGGTCTGTAAAGTTGACGTAGTGGAGACCGAATCTCTCCGAGTATCCTCTCGACCACTCAAAGTTATCCATCAGAGACCAGGCAGTATACCCACGTACATCGATATTGTCTAAGTTAATGGCTGCAGGAAACCGGTATAGAAAGAATGACATCACTATGATCTTTATAAAAGATATGTGATGAAGTCACCAGAAGCCTACTCTACGTTTCTGTTTTAGAAACGATGTTCGTTGATATGATCTTACTGATGAAAACTTGCTAGACTTAAACTTGCATTCTTGGATTTGCTAAACAGCAAGATGAAATTATTCCTTTGAACTTGGTAACCTATGTAATCAGCTAAATAGGATATAACAACAGCACATTAAAGTCATTAATCAAGAAGATGTAGCATTTAACGAATGAATAACATATATTGTACTGCAGTTTTTTTTTCAAAGTGAAAAAAAACGACTGATGACAAGTCATTTCAACTGAAAATGATCAATCAGCAAAGTTTGTAGACAGAGAAGTCACGCCGTGTATGAGCTCAAGCATTGGCTAATCCAAAAATGCATTTCAAGAAAGAAAGCTTCACTGCTTGTTTATAACATGTAAAGGTCGTCAAAAGAAATCAGTGTGTTACACTGAGACCTTTTCCTCTTTAAGAAATTGTATTTTTGCACTTCAGTTCAAAATGACTTTCACTACAATTTTGCTGCAATATTAGTATTATAATTTTATAAAATTTCATTTAAATTCCTGCACTCTGACGTAAAATTAATGTACCACTAGCATTAAAATGTTAAAGAATCGGTTATTCATGGAAGTCTTCTTACACGAAATATTCAGAAATTGTGAATAGGAAAAAACAATCTAAGGTCATAAGTTTACCTTTATATACTAAGCTAGTTAAAGGGTTAAAAAATCAGTGATTCATGAAAGGCTTCTTACATCAAAATTCAGAAATCGTGATTAGAATTTTTCTATATAAGGTCATAAATTTACATGTATTTATTAAGCTAGTTTCAATCATATTGAAAATTTGAAAAATTGTAAATCATAGTGAAAACTTATCTTGAACCTTTGCATAGCCCATATTTGTTTATTTACCTGCGTACTGGTTCATTTGCTGTGTAGTTTACATAATTTTAAGGGTTTAGTTTAAGTTTTGATGGCTTCTTTTTCCTTGTATCTTGTTGTGCTGATTTGCCCTAAACGACAAATTGTCGTATAATAAACCGAAAACCTTAGTATGTCTTAGTTTTGCTTGAATAGACGCAAATATTCCACAAACAAATGTTCCAAACTTGAATAACTTTAAAAGCAGATTTATACAGGAACATTTCAGTAAGCTACTGCATTTGAAATGAACTTGTTTCGAATTTTTAGTTTAAGACATGGACGTCTGCATTAGAGAGATTTGGTAACGCGTCATATACATTTTACTTCAGATACGATCAAAGTCCATTTCAAGTTATATGATTAGGAAGTCATTCTCTCAAGTATATTTATGTACGACAATTCAAATCACAATAAAGTTACAAGAGTAGAATAATGCGTTTGTGACGACTGAGTGACTTGTGTTTCGAAGTTTAACAAGTTTTAAAACGATTCAAAATGCAGAGGAATAAGATAAGAGTTCAGAGATGAAATCTGTGATTAATTGGATTTTTTGTTAAATATAGTTTTTTGATAAAATTTGGAATGGTATTAAGATTATTATTTTAATTAGTATGTCACTGTCTAGATTTGCGTTTATTTGATCTGGTTTATGGATGTCAAGTGAAGTATTGAAATAAAGGTATGTACATATATGGTGTCTTTGAAGCGTAAATCAAGTTAGCGAAATCTGCTTTTCTGTGAAGAAGGTTAGAAGCTTGCAAGGTTAAGCAACGACGTCAGCAGTAGGATCAAAAGCGATTTCTGGGAATAAGCAACAAAGAAACAGGCAGGTTTACCACAAGCTTTTTATACTTTTTTCTTCTTTGATACAATAGCGCTATCAGGTGTGAGATGACTTAGCTCAGCCATTTCCCATTAATTCCATTAATCAAAACATATCCAAGTTATATTCTGTAAGTAAACACAACGATATATAAGGAAGTATATGCAAATTACAAATACCAATTGTTGAATTGTTTCCAGTTTCAATCAATTCTTTATTTATCATGATCTGACATGAATTTTCAATACAACACTCTCTTGATTGCTTCTCTATAAACAGACATGGTAGATATTATCATTTACTTGTAGGTTAAGTACATTTTAAATGAAGATATATGAAACGGTTTTCAGAATTAAATAATTCAGTTAGCCATGGTCTTTACACGTTATTATGATACCAATCATAATACTTCTGGAGTTATCTCTGTCTCAGAAACAAACTGCTGATTGCTTAAGAAGTTCTGGTATGAATATAATTTTGGTATGAGCACCAAAAGCATGACAAACAAATCATACAGGAGACAGTGTTAAAACACAGTTTATATTATGCTGATATACTGCTGTAATATTTACTTAATAAAGCCGCAAAACATATTTACATTGTACTAATTTATATCAACTATTCACACAGTCTCGATAAATACAGAAGATACAGGTTTACCATATTCAGCTATTTGCACCCGGAGCGATGAATGGCATATAATATCAAGACATGTTATAATAGAAAAAAGAAAAAAATGCCTACTAACAACTTTTTGTATATTTAGACATGAAGAACATCTTAATAAATGTATTTTAAGAATTGTTGAATTGGGTGTATGGTTTGATGGTAGATAAAAAAATTGTCACTTTGTGACTTGCATAGCAAAATGGTCATACCGTGATTTTGGTTTAATACATCAGAGACGTATGCAATAGAGTAATGCTATTAAAAGCAAAGTTTTCATCTTCCGGTATATCTTTGCAATTTTACGTTTCCTATTTTTCTTCATTCGTGAGGAAAACTAGATACATGGATAAAACTCTTATTCTTTCAAGAAGAATATCCCCCTTGCCTTCCTTAATGTACATGACGCATTGCTTCTTTTTTCCTGCTTGTCTCCCTAAAACTCTTCAAATTGTAAACTTTTTATTACATACAAGTGAAAAAAATATCATATACATAGATAATTAACACGTTTTGTCACAGTGTTCGTAAGAAATCTAAGTCCTAGGAAGAGTCCAGTTACCATAAGTAATGGTATTTGATGTAAAGATCTTGACCCTGATATACTTTTCGGCGTGGTTGGTGCTATTTGAGCAGTCGGCAACAGTCGGTAAAATCCGTTATCCTGGATGAGCTGTCGGTAATACTGGACTGAAGCTTTAGGCGTACGGGGTCGTTTCGGGTCAGTGAAGTCGACGTAGTGGAGACCAAATCTTTCGGCATATCCTCGCGACCACTCAAAGTTATCCATCAACGACCAGGCAGTGTAACCGCGCACGTCAACATTGTCTATGTGAATGGCTGAAGGGAACCGATTTCATAATTAGAAAAGAGCATTTTAGTGTTTACATGCATTTCACTTGAACTCTTAGTTTCTAAAATGTTGGCACCCAGTGTTTCTAGCTGGCCTTGAAACAAAGTCATGGAAAGCAAAGTGTGGTTATAAAGCAAACTTGTCTTATCTTTATGAAAGAAAAGCACAAACAAATAGTTAAAAGCAAATATTAAAGCAACAAGCAGCCTCCACCCAGTAAAAAGCAATGTTCAAGGTTCAATAACATTATTTAATTAAATTCAAAATTCAACGATTCCAAAATCGATAAAATATACGAACCTTTCAGGACTTCATTGATGTAGTGTTTGTAGTAGAATATTCTATGATCATCAGTCAAGGAGCCGTTTCTGTCGGAGACTCCATTCTCCGTTACATAAACCGGTACGTCACCATAGTGGTTCTTGATCCAGTTCAGCATGCGACGTATTCCAAACGGAGTGACCGTGAGCCAGGATGATCCGGATCTGATTTTAAAAAAAAAATAAAAAGTGAATGTAGTACTACCACAAAAACACTAAATAGGTTATGCCCGTATATTCAAGTCTGATCTACAACAGCATGAACAAATCAAACATAATTCTAGTATTCGAATCTCGATGTTTACAATCGCGGATAGTCTTGTTTACCATACCAAACCCGCATAATCACAAACGATTAGTTCTGTGTTAGATAAAAGCGTGTAAATATATACGTATATTTATATAAGTCAGGAATGATCTTTCAACAAGTGGACATCCATAGAGTGGTTTAGATATAATAACCCAAGCCAGGAAGGATCTTTCAACAAGTAGACATCCATAGAGTGGTTTAGATATAATTACCCAAGCCAGGAAGGATCTTTCAACAAGTGGACATCCATAGAGTGGTTTAGATATAATTACCCAAGCCAGGAAGGATCTTTCGACAAGTGGACATCCATAGAGTGGTTTAGATATAATTACCCAAGCCAGGAAGGATCTTTCGACAAGTGGACATCCATATCAGAATAATAATCACGTGCATATGTCTCGTCCAGGTAATATTCTGCCAGATTAGACGTGTAAAAGTTCAAACCCACGAAATCTGTGGCTCCTGAAATGAGATAAACTACAGTTACTGTACTAAAATGTATTATGATCGAGAAGGTGTTTATTTACCGTAAAATCATTCATTTTGGTGGAAGATAAATTTTCATTAATGAGGTATGTACTCTTGATCCATGAATACATTTGCCCACGAATTGTTAAATAAGTGTAGGTAAATATATTGAGCTATATTATCCACGAAACAAATAGTCCACAAACTAGCATTTAAACACAAAATCACGAACATTGAGCCACATAAAAATATGTGATCTTAGAGAATCGATTTTTGTCAATGGAAAACATCCAGAAAATAGATATATTGAAGGTATCATTGACGAAGACAAGCTTTGCCTTATTCATAACTTAAATTTACCTCACTTCAACTTTACTTCAACCTTTCGGTCATACTTCAAACACTTGAACTAACGGTATCGCTCCGACATGAAGTTGACAATTCGTTTTTGAAAGTGTACCTAAACGAAAGGTAGCGAACTCTTCTAATAACACAAATTTGGTGAGTGTCTTCTTACAAACTAGAGAATTAAGGGATGCGAGTTATAACGTACCCTGTAAATACTGTTTCTCCTCTAGTGTAAACTGAGGCAGTCTGCTTTTTGATAAATTCTGTGTCTCACTCTTGTTCCCGATTTGCCATTTCATGACGTCTGGATAATCACCATTGTTCAAAACTGGATTAATGAACCAACCGAAATGGAACTGGAGGGCGCGTTCGGCTGCTTCTCGGTCGGAGGGAACATTCTCACTTTTCGGTACTTCCCAGTCACAGTTACATGTGATACCAACCTTCCCTGGAAGCAGATACACATACTCACCATTACACGTAAACATGAACATTTTTGTTTTCTGTTTGTATTACTGAACTTCATCAGTTTTTAGCCAATACGTTTAAAACTGATACTCATGATTCTAATAACTTTAGTAGGAGTACACCTTGGAACCATTTACTAGTACTGAACGATGACCTATCGAGTGAGTCAAAATTCCTTTCAACTCTACGTGTTCTCATCTTCGACCTATGGACTTGAACATCGACAAATTCTATCTAAATGAAATTGAATTTGAATATATTTATCTCTAAAATATGTGATGATTTAATTTTTATTAAGAATTTAGAAAATAAACATTATATGTCTTCAAAATGTGCATCAAACATTCAAACAATATCTTGCTATACAAAATCTTATGCATACGTACCACGTTGGATTTGCTTAAACTCTTTTTCGTAAACCCGGTACGCCATGCCATGGGCCCTAATGAGATTGTGAGCGGCGACGTATACCCCGTCCCCAGGGCTAACAAGTCCCGGGGCTTTGATACCCTGCCCGTACCCTTGGAGAGACACCACCCATGGCTCATTCAGTGTTATCCATGTCTTTACCTGTGAAATATTTTTTGAATTAATTGGTTTTGAATCTTTTGAATGTTGTAACATTTTTTTTAAGACGGTTCCTCTTAATATTAGGTTCACTGAATAAAACTTTTACAGATTTTTCAAGATAATTTCAATCTTGCAAACAAATCCTATAGGAGTTCCAAACTTTTTATGTTTACCCTGTCTCCGAACTCCCTGAAGGCTAGTCTGGCGTAATCGGCAAATAGTACAGGTATTAAGGGATTAAGCCATCCTCCATCAAGGTCCTGTAGGGCTTGAGGCAGGTCCCAGTGGTAGAGTGTGACCATTGGTGTGATGCCAGCGTCCATTAGGGCGTCTATCAGCTGGTTATAATAATCTAAACCCAGCTGGTTAACGTTGTTAGTAGTTCCATCTGGCAATATACGTGGCCACGACAAAGAGAAGCGATAGTGCGTAACCTACGAATTAATGACAAAAACATCGATGATAATACAACATGTTTCAGATTTTGGAAGAAAACTTTGGATTAACACTTATGGGCGAGACAGAAGATTGTACAAAAGACACAAGAGAATAAAACCATTTAATGATTTAGAATTAAATATAGTAGAGCTAAAAAAAAAGAATTAAACTGCATCATACAGCTGTTTTGTTCTTCTAGGACTCGTCAGTGATGCTAAGAGTCTAAATTTTGAAGCCTAGGAGGCTACTAAGAAAATTTCAAATTGTTCAAAGGAAAAGTCAAAATTAAGACAGAGAGGTGTAGCAGCCCCATGATTAAATAAATTTCGTAATTTTCATACATCAGATAATTTTAGAATAGCGTCAAGTACATGTGTATCTTTTTAATCGTGCCACTATTCAAGATAATTATAACGTGTCTTCCTGGAACTCGTCAGTGATGCCAAGAGCTCAATTTTGAAGCCTACGGGGTGACTGAGGAAAATCAAAAGTAATCTAGATGAAGGTCAAAATCTAGAAATATAGCGGTAACACTGAATTCGTCATTCGAAGTAAACTGGAAAAGGATTTTTTGTAGCTAAACGTTGGCTTAATTTGTTCATTTGTGTTACATCACAAAAAACACTTGTTTTAATTGCTGCAGATTCTAACAACAATCTCGCATCTTTAAGAACATATTATATGTTTATTTGTAAAACCAGTGATGTCTTCAGTCAAAGTAACGGAGGATACTAGATACATTAAGAAGATGTTGCAGATGAGACACTTGTACATATGAAAATCTGAGGTGAAAAAAAATAGAAACATTTCTAAGCGCTTAAAAGAAATATGTGAAAAAACAAACATTAATTCGTATCAGATTAAGGATATTCATATCGACAGTGGTATGTTATTTGCCAGTTTTCCGTTTGTCACTTAAGACACATATTGTTTTTCCCTATCTAATATACCTTCATATCCTTAAGAAGCTGCACATCTTCCAAGTATTTATGGTAACTGTCACAGGCCACGTCACCCGTGTCATTATTGTCTACGTGTCCTTGATGAGAGAATGTGTCCCAGATACTTAGTCCTTTTCCTGTAATAAAGGTAGAATGAAAGAAAAAATTGTTCAGTCATGCAAATATGGATAGCGAAACGGATATACTTTCCATTGTAGATTTAATATCATATCAAATCATAGTAGATAATAGAGAATATAGTTTAGAATCTTCAGTTTTCTTTTTGTATCGTCAATTAATTTCACATTCATCTTAATGATATTCTTACAAATGCGTCAGTACTAAGCATATGGATTCTACCATTCATTGTTTCAACATAAATATCTGTTCATAGCTTAATAAGATACGATACTGAATACATTATGCGCCATACCTGTATGACAACTTCTTATATAAGAAAAAAATAAAAAAAGAAGAAAACTTAACAAAAACAACAGAGATTGGTAAATAAGTAGTACATCCCAATACACACGTTTGTCTCTCTTGAAATGGTTTTCCTTCATGTTATGTGACGCTGATATTTTACAAAAGGGACGGGACATCATTATACTACAATTTTGAACAGTGAAACTAATACTACAATTACACTTTCATGGCTGCTTCTTAAAGTAATGAATATCTGCATGCGAGCAACTCTATGAAATGTGAATTTACAGTACCGTCGACAAGAATAGATTGTACTCAGATTTGACAATTTTCGCATAAAATCTTAACGTTTAGGAGGCATGTCGCCTAATCGTAACGTTTTCCATAATTGTGATATTTTGTGATGAACAAGATACTGCCGTTTAATAATGACCTTGACCTTCGTCTAAAAACAATTATAGTTTAATCAAGGCTTGTGGTAATCGATAATCAGAATATGTACGAGGCGTGACATCATATGATTTGGAAACAGAAATAATGTAATGAATGTGACATGTAATTGTAATTGAATTGTAATTGTAGATTGTAATCTTTTTGTGAAAAATCCATCACCATGTCCTTCAAACGGATGGTACAACTGCCAAATAGTTAACAAAACATACCTTTACAATCGATCCTTTTTTGGACCGGAAAGTAAATTGATATCCTTAAATAGTTTCTTTATAGGGCATTATAACGTGTCTTTACTTTGTAAATTGTAAAACTGTAAGGTGTTTCAAAAGACGCTCGATATATTTACCATCTTCGTTCCAGCCACCTTCCACCTGATAAGCTGCTGTGGCAGCACTCCACGCAAAGCCTTCTGGGAACGTTCCATAGTAAAATTCGTCCTGGTATGGCAGTGGGTCCGGACCTTTAAAAAACCCATTAGCTCTAACCATGTTCCGGATAAAGTTTGCGGATTTTTTTGCGGTTCTTGTACGATTAGGATTTGTGAAATCTACATGAAACAGTCCAAACTTCTCTGTGTAACCGGCGTTCCATTCAAACTGATCCATCAGTGACGATACAGAATATCCACGTACGTCAACACCATCAAGGTTAATGGCTGCAAAATGAAACGCAAAGTAATGTATCGTAACAACTACTGAAATGAATTATTTTGGAAAAATACTGAAAACAGGTAAATAATGGTCGCATGCAAGAAACCACTTCATACGGGTTATGGATTTGTTTTGATTCACTCAAAATGTTTTGTAAACTCTGTTTTGGAAAATGGTAAACTTGGGTCTGGATAGATACGTAAAAATGAGGATTTGTACTGGATAAATTTCGTTGATGCGGAAATTAATGTATTTGAAAAATTGATGCTAACGTTGGTCTGTAAGGAAAACTTGCTCATTGGATCATTTTGATAAAAATTGAATTGACAGCCAATAGCTTTTATGTTCCGTTTTACTTACCCTTGAGGACCTCGTCAAGGTGATCCCTGTGGTACTTGACACGGTTGTCATCCTCTAAAGAACCATCCTTGTCGGACACCCCATTGTCCGCAACGTACACTGGTACATCCGGGTACTTAAATTTTATCCAACGCAACAGCTTTCTCATTCCAAATGGTGTCACACGTAACCATGAGGACCCGCTCCTGTAATAAAAGGAAACAGAGTTGGTTTAATAAGATCAACTTTAAATACGTGGGGCAATGAAGTATGTACAAAATTATTAAAATTATTTTCTATTTCACAAAGACTTTATCCTTTCTAATTTTACTTTAAAAGCGTTGTTTCCTTTTCGAATACTAGTTTCAAAAATTTGAATAATGTTTAAATAATTTTTTAAGAATAGCATCACTGCCAATGCCTTTCGAAGAAGTTATTTAAATAGTGCAGCCTAGTGTAACACTAGAAAATATTATTTTAACAATGATTAAAGAAGTGTCGTTATCTAGTTAACATGTAGCTTACTTTGGCCAGGTTTCATTTACTTCGGTTTTGAGGTCTTGGTCATCAAAGTAACTTGGGGATGACACGGGCTGCTGGTAATTACTGACAAGTCTTGACGTGTAGAACGAAATACCAAGATAGTCAGCAGAGCCTGAATAATGCAGGATGTTACGGTATATCTTAAATCTCAAGACTAAGCCATCAATTTCTCGTTTATAATGCAGAAATAATGGACAATAAATATAAGCGACACGTAAGTACATATTATTCATATTTAGATGAATATTAATACACGGATATATTCCAATTGTTCAGATCTAAAACATAATCAAATATCAAATGTTATGGACGTTTTTAACTGGCCAAGTCCATGTTCTTGAATAAAATTTGCACACTCTAAACTTCATGCATCATTATAAGCCAAAGGGGCTAGGATAAGCTTATCTGAATACAGTTGTGAATAAAACAAGACACGATACAAAGAACCTCGTGGTTTAAACTTACAAATACAATACAAACGTTCAAGAGTGTATTTTTTTTTATCAAAATCCCATAAGAAATCAAGCCATAAGAGGGAAAGAAAAAAAAATAAATAATAAAAAAAAAAAAAAAAAAAACGGAGACCCTAAAATCCTGAAATTTGAACTCTTAAGTGATATCATGGTTATGGTGTTTTTATATGTGAACGTGAAGTTTCATTGAAATCCCTAAATGAATGAAGCTGCTGCAGAGCAATAGAGTTAAAGATTGTACAAAGACACAAATTAATAGTACCATTTGATACAAATTTGAATAAGACGTAGTAGAGGCAATTAATGAATTGAACTGCATCATACAGCAGTTTTGTCCTTCTAGGACTCGTCAGTGGTGCTAAGAGCCACTATTACAATAAATCAAAAACGAGGCACAATGTTCAATGTTTTTTTCCAGAATTATATATAAAGGAGAAAAAACAGAGGATCAGTTTTCAAACGCCTTCATAGAATTGGAATCATTCAGTACATAAGGTGGTATTTCGATGAAGAAATTACCAGTCCTGGGAAGAACTTTACTACACTACCTTTAATCATGTGTTGTTCATCAGAAGTAAACGTGGGTAGCCTACTGTCCGTTAGGTTCTGTAGATTACTTTTCATTTGGATTTGTGCTGCCATCACTGGCGGATATTGTCCCGACAAGAGGATGGGATCAGCGAACCATCCAAGATTAAAATCCAGATACCGTTCGGATGCCAACACATCAAAAGGGTTGAATGTCTGTTTTGGCTCAGCCCATTGAACGTGTAATATGATTCCAATCGATCCTGTGAAATGAGGTAACAATTATGTCAACATTCATTCATCATGAACAAAACATATTAAAAAAAAACAAAAGAAAAAACAAAAAAACAAAAAAAAAAAAAAAAAAAAAAAAAAAAAAAAAACAATATAAAACAAAAACAAAAAACAATGAAAATACCAACATGGCAACAATGATAATTCAAATTTAAATTCCATAAAACTAGGGCAAAATATGGTCAATAGAAAGAAATGCATGTAAGTCTCCGTTTTAATTTTATCCATACATCTTGAACTTGAATAAGTTATAATTAGCTTTAAAAAGAAGGCGTTATCGATCTATACCGTTATCTTATAAAGGCAATGCGGGGTGACGCGCAGTCATCCATATTAAATTCTTCTTAATTTGTTGATCAAATAAGATCAAGTTTGATCCTTGACCTTCTAATCTTCACCATTGACCCAAGTTATTCTGGCCACTAGCAATTTAAAGGAAAAAGAGCTTGGAATCAATTTTAAAAACTATATAAAATCCTTATAATTTTCTGCATTGGTGTTTGGGGTTTGAACTAACCGTTTTGCTTCTGTCTGAATTCCGTATCATATAAATGGTAAGCTTGAGCATGTGCCTTAATTAGATTGTGGACGGCTGTATAGACATCTGTACCGATTCCGGATACCTGTGGCGGTGACGAAGCGGTACCGTATCCAGATACAGCAAACGTGTGTGGATCATCCATAGTGTACCACATCTTAACCTGTGTAGAACAAAGCAAGAGTGTATATTTCTGTATGGAAGATGTTTGGGTGCATCTCACATTGGTTGACTTTATAAAATAAATAATGATTTGCACAAGTAGCAATGGTGTGTAAGCACTTGTAGTCATGTGACACTTTTTTCCAATTTTCAATGCCTGTTTCATTTTACTTTTTTATTATATGATATCTAAAATAGTGGCATATAAACAACGTTGTACCATCCCCCTAAGATTTCATGGCGAAAATTGAACTGATGAAATATAACTGGCAATGAGTTACATGAGTCACTGCCCTTATATGGCAAAAACAATATGTCCTTGCTTTGTTAAAATCAATATCGAAAACGTACATGACGAAATGAACCCGTCATTAGCATGATATATTGTGGGATCTTCGTTGAATGAAATGGTAAAAACTAAAAGCGAAGTCTTAATATGTAGCACTTTTGACATATGACAGACGCACTAAGCAATTGTACATAAGACACACAAATGAAAAATGAAAAGTACAATTCAATTAAAAGTTATATATAGTTACAGAAGACTCAGTTTATAAATTAAATTGCATCATACAGCTCTTTCGTCCTTTTAGGTCTCTTTAGTGACAATAAGTTCCTTAACGTTTAAACCAAGGAAGCTACCTAGGGAAACCAAACTGATTGTAAGAAATGTCAAAATGTGGACAGGGGAGGTGCACTAGCCCTCAAATTTATTTAGTACCTTTGTTTATCTGATGTTTTCTAAAAGAACGCAAAATTACATATCCACTATCCAGATTAACTTATACATGATATGTACCACCTGCAGTTTCGAATATTGTGCAACAGACACAGAACTCAATAGCAGTTTCGCATTTGTTATAATTTTTGAATGAAAAAATCCTATTCTCATTTTCATCATAAATGAAATTTAAGTCTTAAGTTAACATTGGTTTATTGCAACAAAAAAAAAAAAAAAAAAAAAAAAAAACAAAAAATACATCGTTTTTAAATAACCTTATTTCCATATTCCTTGAAGCAGATGTTGGCATAGTCAACAAAATGGTTGACCATTGTTTCATTAAGCCAGCCTCCATCGTCCTGAAGGGCCTGTGGGAAGTCATTGTGGAAAAGTGTTACAATAGGTTGAATGCCGGCCTCCAGAAAAGCGTCTATGAGACGATGGTAGTATGCCACACCCTGGCTGTTAATGTTGCCTGCCTTACCAGTGGGAAGGATCCGTGACCAGGACAGCGAGAGCTTGTAATGTGACATCTAATAACGAGGAACGTTGCTTCATTACGTTTGTGATGGATGCAATGATATTTGTTCAACATTGTAGAGAGCAGAACATAGATCTGACTGAACGTCGCCACATGCCAGGAGGATTTCATTTTTCTTTCACTTATACTTAATGTATTATTTAACAACAATTTGACCGTTACTGCAAATTTCACATGTATATATGTTACACACACACACACACACACACACACACACACACACACACACACACACACACACACACAGCCACACACACACACACACACACACACACACACACACACACACATATGTATGACAATTACAATTAAGGGCTTGACATTTTTTACGTTTGACAGAGGAAAATGGATATAGAAAAAATATCAGTCCGATGACTGACAAAGTTTATTATTAATCGTTTTTACTTTCTATAGAGAATTGTTGGTTTTGACTACCGCTGTCTAGAGTTCCAAATACAATCTTCGTTTTATGCAGAAGGATTAATATAACGTTATTGCTAGTATAACATCATAACTGGTCGTTTATTTTGACAAGCTGTGGGATATAGCAAACATTTCCCATTCACGGACTATTTTGATATCTTCTTCTTGAACTATCAGATCTAGTTTTATTCATTTGAAGATCACATGATACTCACTCTAAGTCGTTTAAGCATTTGAACATCCTCATTGAAATTGTGATAACTATCGCAAGCAATATCAGCATTATCTTTTGTTGTGTGGTTGTGAAGGTAGGAATCCCAGATACTTTCACCTCGTCCTGTAATTATACAAATTCTCAAGATTAAGGACATATCTAACACAATCCGGCAGTTATCCAGTGAATTCGTCCATGTAATAATTTGTCACCAGTGTAATATACCCTTTAGCGTTTTTCATTGGCTACACCAGTCAGAAATCGAATATGACGCTATACCAAGAACATTGACATTGTGTCGTAATCAGAAAATGGCACCGTAACGCGGCTACCTTCATTTAATTTTGTTCTCCCGATTTTTACTTTTAAAACCTGTCAAAGTTTTCATAAAAATATCTTAAATCTGACTTCATTTTATCTGCTCGGCTTAATTAAATCTTCGAAAACTTGATTAATTAAATATCAGATTAAATTAACACTAATTTATTACATTTATTGTAAAGTTCAAGTTACATATTAGTGAAATATAACTGTTTTTCGTCATCTCCAAGGAGGTTCTTTCATATACTAAAAATTCGTTCTTGTTACCAAGAGTTTCAGGTAGCAGTAAGAAAGTTTCCTTAATAAGTCGATGATCTCTTCAGAAATTTACATAAAAATGAGTGGTTTCCTGTTTTGGATCCAAAGGTGATTTCCAGTTGAAGATAAGCAAGAAGCATTAAATGTCCATGCTCATCTACTATATCAGATCTATATTTATGTTGGTAGTTTCGTATTAAAGTAAAATATGTATATTAAGATTGCCGGATTAATTTCGAGGTAAAGATTAAATTCTAGTTTTATTGATTAATTATGTTTCTGAGAAAACAACATCACATAATACCATTACAAAGTTATTTTACCATCCACATTCCACGCTCCCTCAACCTGATAGGCCGATGAAGAAGCACTCCATACAAAATCCTGCGGGAACTCTCCATAAATGAACTCATTTTCGGAAGGAATGGTAGTTATAACGCCAGGGGCCGTTACAGCACCTCGCCGGAAACCGTTGTCTTTGATAACCTGAGAGTAGAAAAAGGCCGACTCCTTTGGGGTTCTGGATCGAGCAGGATCGCTGAAGTTGACAAAGTGAAGGCCAAATCTTTCGTCGTAACCGCTACCCCATTCAAAATTGTCCATCAGCGACCAGGCTGTATATCCCTTTACATTGACTTGATCGAGTTTTCGAGCTGTAAATCAGAATAACTTCCGATACAACCTACTTCCGAACATGTCATGATCTTCAGATTTTATCTGTTGTTTTATCATTCATAATATGTCGTTCCTTCAATATATGTTGTTTGTTGATTACAATCTTTATCACTTCCGCTTAAATAGATGTTCAACTTGATCTTTGTTTATTTCATGGAATAAAAAAGATCTATTCCTCATCGTCATTGATACGACTTCCTTTAAAATTCAGTTTGTAATATGCTTTTATATACCCTACAGACTCGAAAATAAGCCAAACTCGAACGTAGGCCTATCCTGAAAATAAACCTGTAGTTTCGTATTAAGTAAACTTTCGTTTGTTTACTATTAAATAAAATTAACCGCGTTTTTTTATCGAAATTTTAGGGTAAAATTAACATTTATATATCTGTTCATCTACTGATTTTTGTTACTTATGTACTGTTACCATGTAAATTGTATGTTTAAGCGAAAATCTTTCGAGGGCACTTTCTCGCTAAAAGTATTGGGCTAAAATATTTTTTGTGTTAATCACACCAATCCAAAGCTTTCTTCGCAGTGATTTACCAAAAACTCTTTGATCGTGTAAAATTAAGTACGTATATTGATATTAACCAACATTTGAAATTCATATATGATGTTTAATTACCTTTCAGCACCTCGTTAATGTACGACCTGTAGTAGTTAATTCTGTGTACGTCTGGTAACGACCCATTCCGATCTGACACACCATTCTCCGTCACATACACTGGCGTATCTCCATAATGGTTTTTGATCCAGTTCAACATTTTCCGGATACCCCACGGAGTCACCCATAACCAGTTTGACCCCGACCTTGAAACGGATTTTTGTGTGTGTGATTACAAGCGACGCTCGTGTATTGAGTATGTCACTTATTTTTCAGTGACGGTATCTTACAACCTTTTGTTTACGAAAATTTCGTTATATTTTGAAAGTATTTTTAAGTTGTGGTTGATTCTCTGTTCTTAAATGAGTTAAAACACATTGATATAATAGGTTAACAGAAACTGAATCAGGTACTTTATCAGTTTTAGTGCAGTTATGAATTTTTAAGACTGCTTATAAATAAACAAGTTCGTTTTTTTTTCAGAGTAATAAAATAAGATTGTTTAAAATACACATGTTCATAAGCGAACAGCACATTTTAATGCAACTTTAGATTAAGATACAGTAAAGCAAATAATTGAATAAAATTTAATTATTTATTCGATAAATGTCGTAATTTTCAATATTTACGATTGAAAATGAACGCCAAGTAGAAGTCTATATCATGCATCAGTTACTTAAGTATAACTTAGAAATGACTAACTCACCCCAGCCATTTCGGATCTATGGAACCACCGTTATCTTTATCCGCGTCGTAACTTATATCGTTGATGTCTTTCACATCAGGATGGACCAGGCCAGACGTATAGAAATTGAGTCCAAGGAAATCTGTCGCGCCTTAAAAAGGATAAAAATAAATTGTTGAATGAAGTTTTATATTGACATTGTTCCGTTACCAAAATCCTAGGTTTTTAAAAAATATACATATCTGGCGGATGGTCCTGAATGCAAACCTTTTATCATCATCTTTTCAGTGGCTGTGAACTCCGGAAGTCGTGATTTGTTAAAACCCTGCAGTTCACTCTTCTTTCCAACTTGCGACTTCATGACATCAGGATAGTCTCCGTGAATGAGAGGGTTAGCAAACCAGCCGAAGTCAAACTGGGTCGCCCTCTCTGCAGCTTCAAGATGGGAGGGGTTGAAAGGGTCCTGTGGCTCCGACCAACCAGCATTTAACGTTATACCCACCTGTCCTGTAAATATATTTTCATACATTACATATACATTATTATTTCCATCAAAATTAATTTTTGGCTAGTACGAAACGGTAATCAGCCCTCTAGATACGTTTTTCGATATCGACAAATCTAAGAGGCTCTGTAAGATAATTTATAAGCTGAAATTGGTATTTGTTTCCTTTACATAGGGCAAATGGCAGTTTATTGTCCACTGAGTTCTTATAGATGACTATGCAGAGCAAGCTTTCTAAAAATGTGTGTCTTGTACATGTGCCTGTATCCATGTCCCTAACCCTAACGAAGCAAATCACTTAAAACTTACACTTTTACTTTCTTTTTAAATCACCCTTATTATCGTCATTCAGCGTTGAAAAAAAGATGCAACGCTATAAGTAATTATATAAGAAATTATCGTCCCTACCTTTCTGAGTTTCCCGGTAGGTGGAGTTGTAGATTTGCCAGGTTTTTGCATGTGACAGGATCAGGTGGTGACTGACAGTGTACGCGTTAGTTCCAGGTCCGTACATACCCGGAGCAAATACGGCTACACTGTACCCCAACCACGACACAATCCAAGGCTCATTAAAGGTAATCCAGAATTTTACCTAACGGTGTTCATCAAAGAATAACACGATGTAAAATGTATTATTGATAAAGATATTAGTTCATACATCGTTATCCTAAAGCATGGACTACAGTATATATACTGTAAATCATTGAAGAGTCTGGCTTTTTATAAAGACAATGCACGCAATTGTAAAGATACACTCAAAAGATACACACTTAAACTAGATTTTTCTGGTGTCTCTGTTTTTTCTGCAATAAATATGGTGATAAATGTATACGTTGTTATTTACCAGCCACAAAAATAAAGTAATCAGTCATACTATATGTGCATAGTCTTGTGTGTTGGTAATAATTTAATTGCAACACGCAGAACTGAAATCAAAATAGTTACCATGAAAGAACATGGTTTGATATTACATATATCATATTCATATAAAAAAATAATGCTAAAAAGATCAAATTTAACTACAAGGGAATAGAGAGTAGAACAGCGATGCAAAACCTTCTTTGAAATGCCGGAAACATCATTAAGGGAACAATTTCAAAGTCAGCTTAATACAATAAGGTATTCCAATCTGAATGACCGATGTTACTTGAAATCAAATTCGACTGAACTAAAATGGTTCTGACACTACCACAGGAATTTGCTGTCTACCTGGTATATAAAACCGCTAAAGACAATGATAGTCAATCATTCATAATATATTTAACTGAAGTTATTGCGGTGTGTGGAAATTCAATTTGGTGAAATAGTTAACAAAACCGAGAAACCTAGATTGCTGAACGAACGGAGAGATCTCGATTACTTGATTGGTTGGGAAAACATTGACCTAAAACTTTTCTGTATAAAGAAAAAACAAATATCCTGTTCTTTTAAACCACATGGTGTTTTGTTTTGTTTTTCTAAACCTTTCCAATCAAGATAGGCGCACATCTTATTTAAGGCCAGGGAAAAGGATCGTCGCTGAAGGTGTCCACCATGTGTTTGATATATTGCAAGGATTTGTATTGCTTATATTATAAACTGATTACTTATATTTCATCACATTGTAATGTTTTATGGAATTTTCCACTTCGATGAAGCCTCGAAACAGACAGTTCAAAATGAAGTATACGAGTAAATGGAAACCAAACGTCTTATTATATTTGCAAAGTTTTTCAATATGTAAAGAGTGTCAAGTAAAAAGATGCCAAAACAAAAACCGCTGGCGTATAGAGAAGAGTAATTATATTACGAAAAAAACACGATTAAGGTAATCATTTTTCCAATTTCTAAGGTCAAACATAATCACGGGCAAACATTTCAATCACGAGAAAAATAATTTAAAACCACTAAAAACATACCCTGTTTCCGAACTGTTTGAAGCAGAAATCTGTATAGTTAGCGAAAATGTCAATCATTGATTCATTGAGCCATCCATTGTACTTGAGTTGTAAAGCCTGTGGAAGGTCCCAGTGGTAAAGTGTGACCATTGGCTGGATACCTTCTGCCAGCAGACCGTCGATTAGATTGTTGTAATATTCGATTCCCTTGGGATTCGCACTGGACACAGTTCCATCGGGTAAAACACGTGGCCATGAGATGGAGAAACGGTAGTGGGAAACCTGGAGAGAAGGTTGGGAATAAAGTAATTGATATCGCTGATTAATGTATTAGTGAAAGTTCTCGTAATGATGAAATTTTACTTTCAATGGATTTAGCAGTATAGATTTGTGGCAGAAACTGAATTTACTTTTTTTATTTGTTTTTCACGGAACTAAAAATAAAAGACAAGGATGTATCAATGATGAAATTCCCTAATGGCCAGAGAATCAATGAAACAAGGATTAAATATGAGATCAGGAAACATTTTGGTAGGAGACCATCGAAAAGGTTTACAGGAAGAACAATTCCAGGTGATGGAGAGAAAACGTTTTCTGCTTCATGTCAATCTTTGACTATCCGCGTAAGCAATCACACGTTCTCAAATGAGAGCACGGAACCGCCATGAATATCAGCAAGTATTGTGATGTAGGATGACGATATGTTTCAGTACGTTTTAGGTAGTGTTGTAGCATAGAATTTTAAATGGTAGCCATCAAACAAGATGTTTTCCAAAATTTACAAATTGATTTCTTACAGTTTGAAATATGAGTTAGAGACGAAGATCGATAATAGGAAATTACATTTAAAGGAGAGAATGTGAATTCGATCACATTTATATTTTCATGTAATTTAACGGATAGTATTTGACAGTGAGAAGAATTTTTTTATAATGAATCAAGTAACGATTTATCATGGCGATTCATGAAAATAAGTGAAAAGTTTCACGTCTGATATGAATCAACTGTTGTTTCTTGCAACGATGGCAACGTATATCTTCAGTAATAATTTTGAATTAATTCTAATAGCCAAAATCTCAGCTATACTTAAGTTTTAAGATCTAGATAGTTTTTAAAAAAACATAGAAAATATTGATCTTGTGGCATATCCTAATAATCTGTCATTTAAAAAACTTGTCTCCTAAACAATTTAAAATCAGAGCAACAAAAATTTTCTAACAGACAGGTTTTATGGGAACACAAATATTCAACACCATGGAAACCACACCTTAGTATTAATGACATGGTCTGTCTGATAACGACAATGTCGTCAATAAAATCAAATGCATTAGCTGGGAATATTTTCTTTCGTTAGAAGCATTTTGGACAACACTGAAGAGGAAATCATCATCAATGTAAAAGTTATCACATAAATTCGTACCCCGAGTTGTTTAAGCAGCTGGATATCCTCCTTGTAATTATGGTAACTATCACAGGCCACATTGCCGTTGTCATTATTGGCTGTCTTCCCTGGAGTCTGTGCCCAAACGTCCCAGATGGACAGGCCACGACCTAGTAACAATATTACAATTTTACACCTATAGACAGATGGCCACCGGGATGTTTGGATACCTTACTTATGTCACACATTTCATTATACGACAGGATGATGAAAGCGAGTCTTAAATTTTTCAGTTTGCCTGACTCCTCCAAAAGTATGAAGAGAATAAGACCAGGTGTTCCAGCAGAGTAAACATCTTCTGCATCATCGACGACATCTGTCATATAAATCTAGGTCGATCCAAGTAAAAAGAGAACAGGGTGTACAACAAGGGAACCTTCAGGTAAACAAACGAGCATCAAACAGGTTCAGCTTTATATCGAACAAACTTTATTTAACTTTCTCATTTTGGCACTGGTTTTGGTCAATTTCGATTTTCCGCTCTTGTCTCCCTACATTACCGTATTCACTGTATGGTTATACTATATATACTTTAATTTTGAAGTTGTATTTAAAAGTGTTATTCGCTTATCAGTTTTATGCACTATTTCATGTAAACAACCCACACAGAATTGAACCCGACATTTTTTACATTTGAAATATCAATTACAAGTAAAGTACATGACGAGTTTTGACACAATATTTCCTCCATCATCATCATCATCATCATCATCATCATCATCATCATCATCATCATCATCAAGAGAAGAATGTTACATAAATTCCCATTTTGTTTCCTATTTTTTCTTACCATCCTCATTCCAGCCTCCCTCAACCTGATAGGCTGCTGTCGCGGAACTCCAAACAAAATCATCCGGAAAAACATCATACAGGAACTCATTCTCCATTTCCGGAGCTACGCCCCGTCCACCTATTCCAGGATAGCCATGCTGGAATGCACTCTCCGACACAAGTTGTCGGTAGAAGGAGGCGGAATGCTTCGGAATCCTAGTCAGACTAGGGTCGCTGAAGTCGATGTGATACAGTCCATATTTATTTTGGTAACCAAAAGTGATGTCAAAGGTATCCATGATACTCCAAACAAGATATCCTGTTACATTTATCTTGTCAATGAGTATCGCTTCAAAGAAAGGAAGAACAATATGTCTTAATCTTACTTAATTTTTATTTCATTTTCGTGTCATCTGATACATGTTCATTCATAACGACAAGTTTGGAAAAATAAAAAAAGTTTTACATTCGTATCATATAGATAATGAAAAAGTTGTGGTATCTATAGCATTGATTCTATCAGCTTGAGAAATTCGGTTCAAAACTTCCTGCCCTGTGAATTCATAATTTTGTTTTTGATGACAATTTACCAGGTGACTTTGATTTGAAAGGAGACATATCACAAACGTTTACGATTTATTGACTTATTTCCTTTAAAATGAGATTCATTTCACCTTAACAGCTTTTTATTGTCATTCACCATTTGTTTCAATAATTTATCTTAAAGATTCGTCCCTACCTTTCAGTACCTCGTTGGTGTAACTTCGTAAGAAGTCTATTCGATCGGGATCAACGATACCATCCCTCTGATCACATGCCCCATTTTCTGTTATCAAAATTGGAATGTCTCCGTATTTGGTGCGGATCCAGTTCAGCATTTTACGTACGGCGAATGGGGTTGAATACATTCTATCTCCACATTTTCTGTAGAAAGAAATGGATAAAAAATGTTTCATTTATAAAATCAAAGAGTATATATTTCGACAAGAAAACTAAACACGTCACATATTTGACAGTATAATGTGTTATTCCAAGGAAATATCAATTGAAAATGGAAACAAGAAACTAGACTGGATTATATTGACGAAATTTAACTGTATATACATTGTCAAACATCAAAATATCAGAGATATTATTGCAATGAATTTAAAGATTTTTTCACAGTCGAATATTCCAGACAAAGACCGAAACAGATCAGGATGTTGTCTATAATGGGTTATAACAGGAAGAATATATTCCTTTCCGAAACTGAAAATATAATTTAAAACCAAATGATCACATTTGATGAAATACATCAAATGAAGTCACGGCATGTATTATGTAATTTTCGCTCTTATTTTAAGAGGATAACATTGAATTTATGGGATATTCAAATAATTAATTATATACATACACTTTCCACGAGGGATCTGCGCTGAGAACATAACCAGCATCTTTTTCGAATGTAGTCTTCAGTTCGGTCGGATCGGCAGATGCTACCAAAGCCGCGGTGTAAATGTTGATGGCAAAGAAATCGGCCGATCCTAGGAATAAGACGTACCATATGTTGGCCATATATTCAACAAAAATTCTGTCAAAGTAACTTGCTGCAATACATTAACGTTGTGATAAGTGTAAGAGGTTTTATCTATTTTTTTCTATATGAAATTTTATCTCCTTGTTCATCATGTTTTCACAAATCAGCCAACATTTTCGGAATACATATATCATAATTTCATTTCCTGAATTTACGTAAAAATGTCACGTGCGACGGGACCCAACGGAGCAGCCATTGATTAAATATGCTGATCATGCCCGACGTTACTATACTTCGGTACATAAACACTACACTCAAAAAGCAGAGGCACAAGGACAAACTTTAAAATACGTCTGTAGACAGTCGCAATGTTCATATCATCCATGACCTGCCGTCACATTATCCACAATACAAACACCACCCCCTTACCCTCAGCTTTTTCGGTTTGAAGCTCTTTTTATTGCTACAGTGGTGTCACCTTAGGAATAGACCCCAAAGTTCCCACCAGGTCTACAATAAAATTGTGCTTCTCTTGCTGTCTGAGGCACCCTGAGGCTGGTTTGTGACCACCAAATGTAGCATGCACAAATACAACGAAGCGGCCATCCATTCTAGAACTGACCCTGCTGTTCGATGGGGCTTTACTACGGTAGATCGACAAGCCTACCTATTGCAACATGTGGCATGGTCACTTTTACACTTGGCAGTTAGGGTTACATTAAAATATCCACTTAAATAGGTAAATATATCACTGATTCGAAAACATTTTATTACATCAGAATGGCAGTATTTACCAATAATACCTTTCTTCATATTTTCCGACACGTTTTATCAAACCTTTCAAATATTGTATAACATCGACATCTAAAAATAACACTTAGTTCTATCCTACCGTTGATCATTGAACGTTGATCATCTGTAAACTCTGGTAATCTAGCCTCAGGCACGCGACTTTTCATGACAGCTGGGTAGTCACCGCTACCAAATATTGGCTCTGCAAACCATCCGAGCTTGAACTGCATCGCTCGCTCCGATGCCTCGATATCCGAGGGGTCTTCAGCATTTTTCGGCTCCATCCATTCCGAGTAAAGCACTAAACTTACTTGACCTATGAATAGATATCAAAAATAAGTAAGAATGGATTGGCATGTAATAAAATAGGGTAAAATACACAATGGAATCGAACCCCGATCTCAAGCGGGATATTCCACAGCTCCATCAACCGAACCAAACGTCATGCTCTGTCTAATGAGCGACCGAGACTGTGTTTAACACTATATGCATGCCACAGTCTCCGTTATTCCTTTAAAACAAAATGGAACACAGCATGTAATTTTGTAAATTGTTTAACTCAACATATTGCAAAATTGCACAAACGTCTGCTTTTGATATAGTTTAAATTTTGAACATTCGAATATAACTGTCAACTCCCACACTTGTCGTGATTCCGTGAAGAAGTATTTCGGAAATTTAGGTATTCATTATGTATCTATGTTATTGATGCATTCCAGGAAAGAATGTTTTAACATCGACTGATTGAAATAAAATAAAATTATTTATCTATTTATTATAGATTTTACCACAGGGAAGATCATTCATTACGACTTTGTGTGTGAGCAAAAGTGTTCATGAATTTTTTCCTAAAACATATGAACATGTATTTTTTAAATTCAAGTTTCAGCTCAACTTTACGATTTTAATTTGTAGAATATTATACGTTACAATAACTATCAAATGATTTAATCAGTGTTAACAGTTTTATAAGATACGTGTATATGTAACAGTAAATTGATATAGAAGTCACGCTCTAATTACGATAGCATCTTAAGGTTTTTTTAAGTACGTCCGAAGTATTGAATAATACAGCGACTGAACTATAAATGCACACAAAGACATAGGAGATGCCCATATCCTTATGATTTTTCGAAAATTGCACCAGTTTTGAATTTTCTCAGTCGCCCCTCGGCAGAAACAAATTAAGGCCCTGAAGATCACTGACAAGTCAAAAATAACGAAACAACTGTATAATGTAGTTTAATGCATACGTTTTGCTATACTCTGTCTAATTCCAAATGTGTATCTGTTGCCCAACTGAATATGTATATACATATTAAGGACAATCCGGTCCTTATGTCGTATTGGCACATTTTAACTTAGTTCTTGAATGCACTGCTTTGTCAACGTAGGCAGCCAACAGAGCACGACATTACAAATTAATCTACCTCTTGCTGTCCAATGTATGTAAACAAAAATGTCTTGTCTTATTCTTCTGGTATTGTTTCAGCGGTTTCTATGTGGATGTTTATTCCTTTATATTTTGCCTTAGCTTCATCGGATTTGTATTTGAATTATGATTCCGCTGAGACGCCGGTATTTTTTTTCTTGTTAGTGGAATACGATCCTGGATTCTGCTTTAAACTTTTCTTAGGAAACATAAAATAAGTCAAAAGAAATAAGCAACATCTAGCAGTTAACTGCTCTCTTTTTTCTCTGTAAGAGATAAACTTAGCTTTGGAATGCATATACAAATATTTTGTCGTACGTGAACATGAAAGACGTCTTCCATAAATCAAGACAAAAGCAAACTGATGATACCTGTAATTGGTGATTAATCTCACATTTAGTATTGAATAGGCAGCAGGCAGAACTGCATGATTCAATGTAATTGTAAATAGACTGATGAAAATATATTCGTATCCAGGACAAACTTATTCAACAAGCAGACAATTACTAACAAACCCAAACAGCTGCCAGAAAATTATCATTTAGTAAGAGGACACTTACTGACAAACCAAAACAGCTGTCAGAAAATTATCATTTAGTAAGAGGACACTTACTGACAAACCCAAACAGCTGTCAGAAAATTATCATTTACAAACAAACCCAAACAGCTGCCAGAAAATTATCATTTAGTAAAACAAACCCAAACAGCTGCCAGAAAATTATCATTTAGTAAGAGGGCACACTTGTCAGAAAATTATCATTTAGTAACAAAACAAACCCAAAACTGCCAGAAAATTATCATTTAGTAAGAGGACACTTACTAACAAACCCAAACAGCTGCCAGAAAATTATCATTTAGTAAGAGGACACTTACTAACAAACCCAAACAGCTGCCAGAAAATTATCATTTAGTAAGAGGACACTTACTAACAAACCCAAACAGCTGCCAGAAAATTATCATTTAGTAAGAGGGCACTTACTAACAAACCAAAACAGCTGCCAGAAAATTATCATTTAGTAAGAGGACACTTACTAACAAACCCAAACAGCTGCCAGAAAATTATCATTTAGTAAGAGGGCACTTACTAACAAACCAAAACAGCCGCCAGAAAATTTTCATTCAATAACGGTACACTTAAGAGGACACTAACAAACCCAATCAGATAATAGCTTGACAATGAGGATGTTTTTATTCCCAATGACAAGCTACTCACCATTTTGTGTGGGCTTGAAGTCTCTCTCATACATGCGGTAAGTCTCGGCGTGGGCCAGGATCATGTTGTGAGCAGCGATGTAATCATTTGTTCCCGAACCATTGTCAGCATATACCATTTGACTCATCAGATACGGTTCGTTAATGGTAAACCATGTCTTCACCTTTAATTATTCAAAAATGAGAAAACATTTCAAATTGAATTGTTTTCCTGTATTTGTCTTCAGGGCAAACCTTTTGCACAACGTAAATGAGGTGAGCTTTTTTTAATAATTTGAAACATGATTGTTGCATAATGTAAAACTGTATGGATTGCATTTAATGATAATTTATCGGCCATGAGATTTTGATATGTTTGAATATTTACTGTCAAATTTGGCAGGCTGTGTTACACTGTCATAACAGTGATAGACATGTGAAAACGGAGTGGAATATTTATAGTCCTGAGTGATGTTATCTATGCCTCAAAAATATGAAAATAAGAAGTGTAACATTTTCAATCTAGTTTTTTTCACTTTTCAGGGAAAAGTAAACTTATACCACTTTCTCTGTATTTATTAGTCCTGAATTTTTATCGATGAAAAGGCTGAATAAATATTTGAGTTATGAGAGAATCAAGACAGTTTACAGTGAATTAAGGATTTAGCAAACTATCACATTTTAATTAGTATCTGATTTTTATCTTGTTATTTCCCATGCGTTTTGAAGAAAACCCTAAATTAATTCCAATAGTGTTTACAATTTATTATTACATTAAATCGGAAGCGCCGCCTGTAATTACTTTTAAGAATATTTTTAACTGAAATGAAAGATACTTAATATGAGACTTTGTTTGTTTGAATCAGAAAGAAAAATTGGTTGGTAATTATCGTAAGATATGATCTTCTAATCATTGATTAATTTAGCTGATTTTTTTTATATCTTATCTTATTTACTTATTTATTTATTAAATGAATGTCTTACTTTGCTTCCAAATTCCTGAAAACAGACTCTTGCGTATTCTTTGAAATGTTCGATGGTATCCTGATTTGTCCATCCACCAGCATCTACCAGATCCAATGGCATGTCATATTTATAAATGGTGGCCATAGGTTCAATTCCAGCAGCTAAGAGTGCATCAATAACCTTGTTGTAATAGTCTACTCCTAACTGATTCACGGTGTGGTTGGCGCCATGCGGAAAAATTCGCCCCCATGAGATTGAAAAACGATACGTCGTCACCTATGAAGAAAATGCAAGGAAAATATTTCTGGTCAATGGTTTTGAATAATATATCAAAAATTTTAAAACTTCATTATTTCAGACGCATATGATTTAATTTAGCATACAATGTAATTGTACCTTAAACTATTTTACCAGTCATATGGATTATATAACAGACAAGTGAAAAAAACAGTCCGATACAAATAAGATACACTTGAGCCAAATAATGGTTCAAATCACATCATACAGGTGTTTCGTCTTTATAGGACTCATAGTGATACTAAAGGACTAAACTTGTGTAATTTAGGAGAAGAGTTAGAAAAATCAAAATTGACAATATCGTCGAAAACAATCTATTTATAACTCGATACTGGAAATAAAATCTAGATATTATGATAACCACTTTCTTTGTGTGCTGTAAAATAATTAAATGTCGTAGGGGGATGGATTTTCGTTGAATTGATTGGTGCTCTAAATTCGTTTGAACAAAAATAATAAAGTGTCAGCGAAAATGTGCATTTTGGGGAAACCACGAAATTTGAAATCCACGAAAAATTATAGTTTTGCAGAAACAGATTCATTGAAGTGTGATCGATATTCATTTCGTGAAATGTTGGCCTTTTTCAAACATAGTTCTCTGGTACTATCTTTGTTTGGTGTAGTGTAATAATGCAAACACAGATAAGGGCCTAAAACTAGGGAATCTTAACGCAAAACCACTGCTCGCCAAAAGTGTCACAGTTGAAGAATGAAAATCTGCCTACCTTTGTTTCTCTTAGGATTTTGATATCTTCCATGTACTTATGGTAACTGTCACACGCCACGTCCCCTGTAGAGTTGTCAATGATGGCACCACTACTGTGTCTATGCGAAATCCTGTCCAGAAAGGTCGGGCCACGCCCTGTAATAGATGCGATTTCAATCAATCTTTAAAAGATGCTCATTATTTCAGTGTGTTTGAAAGTGAAGAACTTATTTCTATCGAGTACTTAGTTCCTTCAGTTTAGACTGTTGATAACTATAAATGTATATGAAACAATTCTTCGAAATGTTAAAAAACTGTTTGATTCCACTTCAAGTTAGAAAAAATACATATTGTACATTGGAATGTCAGTAATTCAACGCAATTACTTAAAAGGACGGATCTGTTCAAATGATACATGGCCCCGCTATTTCCTAGTGCAGTCAACATATGCCATCTTTGCTTGTACAAAAGAAGACGTAACAGTCAGCATTAAAAAAACGAAAGTGTTCAGAAGTAAACAGAGCATAAGCACTTTCTTCTTCAACGTCTTGAAGAAATCAAAATATTTTACCATCCTCGTTCCATGCTCCCTCAATTTGGTAAGCGGAGGTGGACGCTCCCCATCGGAAGCCCTCTGGAAATTTGCCAAAAAGCATGGTGTTTTCGTTAGCAACGCGGCCTGTTGCCATACCACCTATCATGTTATAGCCTTCTGTGAATCCGTTGTCGCTGACAACCTGTTGAAGGTACAGTTCGAAAGCTTTCGGTAGGGATGTGCCAGCTATTCTGTTTTCCATCTCATTATACATTGCCATAGGAGAAATAGTTAAGAATCCTTTCACTCCGAAACAGCCGTCAATAGTGATTGCTACAGAAATTAAAGAAGTAAACCAAATTCTTACGATCATTCAATTTCATTTCAAATGTGAAACATAATTTTTGTGGCTACAGTATTTAGATAAGTTTTTTAATGTAACATAGTACAATGAACGCAAAAAGTAAGTCTCAAAATATTGTACAAAATTACAAGTGCGAGACTTTTTATAAATAAGAAATTGAAAAAAAACTACAATATATATTTAAAAATGATTAAAAGTGAAATAAAGCATCTGTTTTATGAATATACAAATCTTCAACGCTGCTAAGAAAAATCAAAACTAAAGCATTATATACACCTTGGTACCTTTTAATATCTCATCTAAATGGTCGCGATACCATTCCACTCCCTCCAAATCCCCAGAGCTGATAGCTCCATCTGCGCAAGCGTCATATGCCATGACGTATAATGGGAGTTCTCGATCTATTCCCTTAAGCCAGTTCAACAGCTGTCGTAAACTTTGTGGAGAACTAGCCGCTTCTTTTTGTCTAAAAATAAGTATTATACCTTAGAGATTTTTCACATTTCATTTTCCAAAGTTGTGTACTTTTTGTTCTCACACTAAAGTTACATCATTTTTGACTGTGGCTGAAAGTAAAAAATATTCGATATTCGTGAAGGAATACACTGTGATCGCAGGTGTAGCTACTAGGGTATCGTTTACACCTAGCCTTTATCATACAGACCGGAAACAAAGTCAAGAAAAACATTTTTGACAAAAATTCAATTTATTTTTCTATTCATATATTTATTCATTTAATTTTTATCATTTTATGAAAACTTTTGTAACTTAATCAATCTTTAAAAATATCTTTGTCCTGATATTTTCTATCAGCAGCACATTACGAATTTTTATGATATAATGATTTAAAGCGGCTACTGACCAAATAAAGATATTAAGATTTTCATATGTAAATCTCAGTTAATCTGATAACCGAGCAGGAAAAAAGTGAGACACGACATCAATACTCAATCTTTAAAGCGATTAAATGATTAGCTTTTCATTATTTCATAACTGATAAAAACCATTATTACATTCAAATATATGTTAAACATTGTGCACGTTTTGTTGAATATAAAATTAAAACCATTTATTTAAAATTGTCAAAAAATAAAGATAAAATATGAGTGACTCAACATTAATTTATATCATTATTACTCAGAGTGTAAACGACGTCTTTGCGCATGCGCGATGCGGAAAAATTTTACAACCGTAACAAAGCGGCGGGTTTAAATGAGGTTCCAAAAGGTCACGTGACGAACTCGACTATATCCAATCAAAACAGCAAACGGCGGTAGACACAACAGCGGTGTCGACCAGCCAGTGTTAGTCTGTAGCAATTTTTTTTCTCAAAAACTGCGTTGATTTTGTCTGCAATGTAATTACAACGCTTGCCCGAAATCAAATGCATTGAAAAACATAAGGAAATCTATCCATTGAGTGCCTTTTAAATAAGACAATTATTGGGTTTAGTCTAGTCTTCAGGACATGGTTACAGAATAAAAGTATGTTACATAATATTATATATGTATCTTAATTCTGTGTTAATTTATAGTTAAACTATAAGACATTGTACTTGCAATCAAAAAATGGGAGATAAGACATGAATCAATGGTAGTGGGTTTTACGCAAGACTAGCAATGACTTGTCAGAACCAGAGAACATGTTATTTTCAAAATCTTAAGATTGATGACTTGTAAAAATTTACCTGTCGTTATCGGTTGTTTCATGTCCAGACAACAGTGACTGGTCAGCCGTATGGTACTGCACACCCAGAAAGTCAGTGGTGTCTGAAATTTTAGTGAGGTAATTTTCAAATCATTTCAAGTTTTCAATTGATGCTGCTAATTTCTGTGAAATATTTGATGATTTAGGATTAAGGCAATTTAGGGTTATGTCTATGGTTTGATTTTTTAACCTGAAACGTCAAAGAAAAGAAGAAGAAGAAAAAACTATCGGAAAGGATTTCTTAGGTAAAATGGAATCAATCTTCAACATCATACAATTATGAACAAGCTTTCCTTAATGTAGAAAATATTTACATGCTTTAATTTCGTGCGTATAGTATTTCTTACGGTTTCGTAGAAGCTGAGAAAGCAAGTCTCCTTCGTCACTCTCCCATGACGTAGAAGTTTCCATCACGTCAGCATGCACGTGAGGTTCACGTGACTCCAACCATCTGGTAGATAAAGTAATGCCTACTTGTCCTACAACAGGAAATGGATTGTTTGAATTCAAACAAATATTTATTCCAAATACTTTTAAATTGCATCAGAATTTATCCGTAACGTTATATTGATTACATCATCACAATATTCATTAAATGTACACGTTAGAGTCAGGATAAATTTTCGGATTGCAAAAATCAACCTTTATTACCAGATGTCCATTGTGCTTATTTTTAGTTTCAAGATAATAATTTTCAATAGTTATTTAAATTGTCCTCAAGAAAAAATGACAGTTTGATGCACTTTTACATTACTGACCAGTCATGATTCACTAAATGTATTTTATTTCGTAAATCCTGATAAAGCAACTTATTTATAGTTTATTGAAAAAAGAACAAAAAAAAAAAAAAAAAACCCCAAAAAAAAAAAATTAAAAAAAAAAAAAAATAAATAATAACTTATGGATAACGAGATAAAGTACCATTGAATAGCACAAGCCGATAGCGAAAAGTCTTTATTTTTCAAAATTGGATATTCTTTTTGTATTACCTCCCCTTGCTTGTTCGAAGTCGGTTTTGTACAGCTTGTACACTTCGTTATGTGCTGTAATCAAATTTTTAGTGGCTTTGGAATGTAGAGTAGTAAAATCTTCTATAGTTTCATCTAGCCCAGATTTTATTATGGAATAAGGTTCTTGCACTGTGACCCAGAAATTGACCTGGAAAACGAAAACTGAAGTGTCACATTCTGTAGAATCCAGTTACGTGGAAATCCGTTTGACATATTGATAACGATGGGCAATGATAAAGTAGTACTGAACATAACCCCCTCCCCCTCTCACACACACGGATTGGACGTAAAGTAAGCCAATCAGAGAACAAATAAATAACACTTCGTGAAGTGATAATATATCCCGGCAATGTATAATGTTCTTAAATAGGTAATAAGATCAATTATGCGCTAGAGCAAGCAGGTGTTCGCCAGTCAACATAAAAAAACTACTCTGATGTTCCGTTTTGAGGACTTTGCAATGTATTCAGCAGCATTAACCAAAGTGCATTTCAGCGAGAATTGTTGTCACACTACAAAAGGGTCCATTGGATGTCATTTGAGATCATGCAAAACACAACCTAAATTGAACAAAAGATCTTTTTGGTCCTTAAATTCACGACATACATGTAAGAATTGCATTTGATAAAGAAATACATCGAATCTTATAATCCTTTTAAATCCTACAGTCCCCAGGTGCAAAAGGGGAAAAATAACGAAAAAGCCATCCCTCATTTGAGCATTAACTTGAAACTTTTCTCAACCGCGAACGGGAAATTTTCAATATAGTCAAAATTGGTAAAGTAAATTGAACTCTCTACTTCTATACACAGTGTCGCTATCAGTAATGAAATTCAAGAATTCCTTGGTTTTGTGTCAACCTCAGTATAGGAGTAATCTTTTATGACATTGTAACAAAAACAAAGTTTTACGTCAAATCTTGAATTCAATTAAATACTGAAATGTGTTCATCAATATTGTCAGAAATAAACATTTGTACCCGACATGTCAATAGAAGATTAAGTATAAGACACATTTATTCTAATCCAAGATATGAACAAGGGATTTTGTATGCTGAAAACAACATGGAAACCACACTTTAGCCCCTGGACCCGCCTAGCACTCCTTTGTCTGCTGGATAAAATGAGATGTTGAATAAAATATATATTTCCATACACGAATACCACATAAAGTTTGTTATCATAATTATTTCAAAATGAATGAATTAAATTCAATCATTTTTTAATCGTCATGTTTTTTTTTTATCTTTGGAGCTCGAACGACAAGTTCATTCGATTCAGCAACGCTACACCGGAAGGTGTGTTTCTCGGTCAAACTAATAAACAAAGCGACACAAAATTCCGGACATGCGTTTCTAAGTAACTCTTATCGATACTCGTCATAAGAGACCACGGTACACGGGATATCAGTTATATAGGTCCGTCCTTGCATGTGACACACACGTGAAAAGTGACACACTCTGAAATTTGTTGATTATAGTACATACAACATTATTTCAGTACATTTACAAATATCTATCTAACACACCTTTTTCAAATTACATTTTACTTTTTATTTTTCCCTTACGCTGATAAGTCAGCATATTTATACTCCTGTAAATAGTGTTTGCTACGGAACAATAATGTTCTATGAAAACAGCCTTTACATTAAGAACTCCTTCTTAAGGTGATACACTGTGTACCCACCATGTCGTTTGATCTACTGGTTGACCTAGATACTCTCAATTTTAATCGTGTCCAAAATAGTCATATTTCATTTTCCCTGTACTTGTTTATAAAAGGAATAATCTTGTTAGTTGAATTGTGAAAAAATGTAGTCTGAGAGTCATTCTATTTGCGTTCCCAGTCCTTTCACAGAAGAAAACATATCGGTATGGCTAATTGTATGTTTGCGACAAAACTGGAAATGTTTAACAAACCGAGGGATTACCCTGGATTCAAAGGACAATGAGATAAGATTAAATGTTGTTTTTTGCGGTATCCCAAAGACAGAGGTCACTGATGAAAACTCCTAATTCTGAAAACTTGCTCCTTATGATCGTCAAATTGTTTCCAAATCAGCACACAAGTTTATAGTGAAGTTCTCAATATTACCGATAAGGACTCTTAAAATGAGACAATAAACTAGATACCCGACGAGTGATCTCCCTTACAAGAATATTGGTGACTTTAGAGTACCCCGATGAAATGATAATAATAAAAAAATGTGTTTATGAAACACAATACCCCAAGTTGCAACAAAATTCTGAACTTTAAAACTGTACGGTGTAAAACATATGTTAATTGCACATTTTGTGAAACACTAATGCCGTCATTGTAGTACTTTTTTTTTTAATTTCAAGTGTAGGTCAAAGGTCCCGGTCAAGGTTACCTGTTGAAAAAAAATTGGCATCATAGGAAAGGTCTTGTCACAAGGAACACACAAGCCAAATATGGAAGCACCTCTTACGGTACAATAGTCATGGGCAAGGCTATAGTTGACAAAAGACAAACTGACCGACAGCAATCCCCCTCCCTCAAAACAAAAAAAAATAAGATTTCAGAATAAAGCTACTAATCTGCTGTGCACTAATTAACTCGCCTCATCTTTAAATGCTTTGCATCGTTGAGAATTTTAATACTGCATTAGCTTAGTAAACTAAAAGTTAAAAGAACAAAATAGATTATAAAGTAACAAAGTTATACTTACTCTATCTCCAAATTCTTCAAAGCAGAGGCTGGCGTAGTCCCGGAAGTGACGTATGGTAGAGGCGTTCAGCCAGCCGCCAATTTTTTGTAGATGAGCAGGAAGTTCTCCTGTGAGTAACGTCACCACTGGTGTCATACCAGCTGATAATGTCGCGTTGATCACGTGATTATAATAAACCAAGATGGGGCTATCCCTTGGGATATTCTTTTCTTTCCCCAGCGCTGACCAGTTCAGGGCGAAGTGATAATGTGAGACCTGAAAGAGATGTGGAACGTATATTCATTTCTAGTTATAATACCTTTTGTTTTGCTTGCCACTTCGCATATCGCCAATATGATATAAAAACATTATCGTTTTCAGTGATTTCTTTGCTCGCTTTATCTGTAAACACCATTTATGACGTCACTTTATAAAAAAAACACTATAGCATGTTTTCTTCAAACATTAAAATTGATAGGATTGAACCAGAGAATGTAAGGAAGTTTGTCATTTAAAAAAATCTTCTCAATTCTTTCATTTAAAACTTTAAATAAAATTTATGATTTAAAACTTAGAAAGTACGTAAAAGAACTATGGATAGAGGTATATTCAAGACAGGATTTTGTCCTGGACGAAGATAAACATTTAATTTTTTTTTCAATACCCCAAGGAATTTGGCTGTATCGATACTGTTGTCAATTTCCTCCGACGACACATGATGGCTTGGGTCTTTATCTGAAGACGAAAAATATATTTTGTTATTAAAGTGTTGGTGTCTGTTCAGTATCTAAACCTTCAGACTGAAAAAACGCATGAAAGATGTAAGCAATTATTAAATAGAAGAATACCCTTTTAAAAGAATCATTCGACTAAGAAATGCTACCGAAGTTTTAACGGAGTTGTACACAATGTTCAAAAGATAGGACAACAAAATTTATAAACCACATGTTCAAAAGGTAGGACAACAAATTTTATAAACCACATGTAAGTATGCACAGGAAGCATCGAAACTGATAAGGGAGGAAGGCGAAATCGATACAGTATTTAACACTAAGTCTGCATCACTTATATGTAACATCATTGGAAATTTTATGTATAACATGCTGTTGCAAACCTATCGGACGTTTTCATATTTTTACGACATGCTTGATAACCATCCGAGTTTTGTCGGAAATATTCGAAGATGCACATTCTGAGCCGATGGTATTTAGTTAGAGCTGATTAATTATGACTGGAATAATATGGGTCGACCTTATTTTTTGTTTTTGTTTTTGTTAGTTGGTATTTTTTTATTTATTTTTTTTATTCAGTTACCAGGATTCAGGTGAGATTGACCTATCAGTTTAAATTAATTGAAGAACATTTATATTTATTGGCATGCCAACTTTATACATTAGATAAGACTTCAAATATATTCGTTATAATACACATACGAAGTATCGAAATCAAGTTATCATTGAAATGCTGGAACTGTTTCGGATTAACATATTTTTCTATTTCATACCAAATTATCTTTTCAAATATACAATTACACTCATTTCATATCTATAGCGTACCTAAAAGATAGGCTTTATATCGTCATAGGTAACAAAAACATGGCGTCATGAAATTATGAAAAAATAAAATAAAAATGGAGTCGCTTATTATTTTTCTCTACTCTATACTTATAATATATATACCATACATCTTATAACTTTTTTTCTTCTGCTGTTTACTTCAACCCACGAATGTTCTGTCACTTAGCGACCGAAAGATCCACATATCAAATCCTGACATTTATATTAAATCAAAGCTTCTTTAATCTGTCCGTAATTACCTTAAAAGTGAATTTATAGTCATTTTGAAAAAAATGAAATCAAATACAAAACGAAGTAGTTCAAGTGGCCGATATAAATCTTCAGATATCACTTAGACAGTCTAAGGCCATACGTTGTAAAACTTAACTAAACCCAATCGAAGTGTATGCCCTTGTCCTGTCGAGTCAGTTTCCGGAAGATCTGCTCGCAAAACGAATAGGAGTTATCACCCTTGGCAAGTCTCAATCAGTATGCCGATGGTCAAATTTTAATGTGATAAATCAAAATATCCAAACAAAATTATATCTAATTGATCGATTTGAGTTACATTCAGGGGTGTAAGAGATTTAAATTGTACATGTGTGTACAAAAACATGACAGTTCAAACTGCTTAGAATTTGAAAGCGAAGATCCAAATATATTCAATATCATTCAGAATATGTATATACTCTTCCTAACACTATTAAAGGATGAGCCCTGGCGAGTGAGATCGCGGTATATTAGTCTAGTCTAACAAAAGTCCAATGACTGATTCCGTCTGATTACACATCAAGTCAGACATTTTATACCGCGCGCACTACAACGGATTATTCTCTACTTTCCTGTACTTTTTTGATCTAATCAAAAATTTTCACTTTTTAATTTAGAATTTAAAATTGAAATGTGTAGAATGTAATTAAGACAATAAAGTGGTGTTTTAGACGGCTGAAGGTTCGGTCTAGTCATAATGTATAAATATCTATTCATATATATATATATATTCAGGTATTTTGGAACATTTTCTTCGGGTTGGTAATGTCAATAGTGTAAATTAACAACATCTATTCCTTATGTATTCATAGATTAAGGCTGTGATGTGAGAAATCATATCGTTATCAAAATAATTTACATTCCCCATAAACCGAAGAAATATTTCATAATACCCCTAAGGACTTAGCCAACAGGGCTGAATGGCGGATTTGATATGGATTTTGAAGGGCGGTGACAAAATTGGCCGAGTGACTTTCACATCTGGTAGGAAAATTAGGGTAAATTTTGGTGTTACTGTGTAGATAACAATAAGGTCATTGTCAGCGAAAACCGATAAGTGGGGTACTTAGAGAACAGTTAAACAGATAAACACTTCTGTCACTATAAACAAAATCCATCGTCGTTTCAAGGTTTTATAAGGTGTTAACCTTAGTACACATGCACTCAGATTTGAAGGCAAATAAAACTAAATGTGATATTACGGCGGATTCGATAGCCTAGCGATTACACACAGATGTATTGGGGAGATAAGGTTATGTCAAATCCGCGAAGATTTATTGTGTTATTGGTAAAAAAAATACACCCAATATCCCGCGAGCAATACGACGCAATGCTATTTGCACTCGAATTATCGGGAAGCTGGGATGTCTGGGTTACGTAACAGAACGATATCCTTCCAGACCAGTATACAATCTCGTACATATGTAAGGCTTACTGACTGTAAAATACCATAAAGATAATTAGTCAGAGTGATTTCACTGTCTCGCTCTATTACGAGAATCATTCCGATTCGCATTTTTACGATTTTAACTTTAAACTTAAATCCAATGCTTGAAATTTTACAGCCGGTATGATTTTGGCTGTTTTTTAATCTGCTATTGAATCGACAAAAATAACAATAAACAAATACAAAACAAAACAAAAAAACAAAACAAAACAAAAATGCAATAACCGTAAACAAGACTAACATTTGCCATTCTACTGTCCTGTTTTAACATCTTTGCAGGCATGCAGTAGCATATTGTACTTCATATTTTCATGCAAATCAATGTCGTCCTTCAGTCGTATCGACTGTATACATTTTAAAGGTTTAATGTTTACAAAATGTAATTGTTTCCACAATAAATAACTCTTTCCATTGGAGGTACATTTGTTGGTTATATTGAATTGAGTAGCATACAACCCTAACATGAAAGTAGTATTTTACCTCATTCAAAGTTATTAACTACACGAAAGAGGTGTAAAATAAACGATACTAGTGGAAATTATTTTTCTTTTTTTCCCCCTTCTAATCTATGAAGACATGATACATAATTATTTTTTAAACGCTAACTTTAACATATTAAGCAGAGGTAAGAAACACAGTACACACATAAATATACGATACTTCATCACTTACCGAACATCCCCGAACTTGCAAAACCCCAAAGGAAATCATTAGGGAACGTCCCAAATGTGAAGTCCTCGCCCGACCCCCGGGCGAAGGCGAGGGCGCCAAAAAGAAGCGTAAGGCGCACGAACATAATCGACGCCTTAGATGCAGAGAAGTCTGGAGCTACTCCTCCGGCTAGCTATTTGACTCTCTGATAGTCACGAGATTTCGTTACCAAGGGGATCTCGGTTTGACTCTGTTTCTGCTATACACGTGAGTAAAGGAATTTTTGGTGCGTAACTATTGATAAGAACCAATGTATGCAGAGTATATATATATACATATAGGTATGTAATGCGTTATCTGTTAAGGCGACGTCAATCGTATCGATATACTACCCAAATGGCTAACTAATTCCAGTATTTTCACTAACATTATTAACATTTTATCACTAAAGATCTAAATTTAGTTTTTTTAACTTTAACACTTGTTGTCATGCTTGTCTGAGGTTTTAAGCTTTGGGCGGATATTGATTTCATCGGATCAAATTTGCTTATGATGAAAAAAGTCCACACCAAAGTCCAAAGATTTGAAAACAGATTTTTAAGGCTTTTCTTCAAAGAAAACATTCACTAATATGTTTTCTGATAATCCAAAATCGTTGCCGAATTTGAAATCATATAACAATGAAGATATCAGGCTTCAACCTCTACCAGAATTGTCGTTCCTTACATAATATCTTTATATTTCATTGATTCACAAATGAATCAAATGAATTGTTGGTTCTGAGGGCGGAATGCCTTATGGGAGGAAACCGGATTTCCTCGGGAGAGCCCACGTGACCAGGCAATGGCAGAAGGCAATATACCTACCACGCCCCCACCCCCAACCCCTGTAAACTCTTGCCAAAGTATATCACACATAACATTTGTTTACAGTAACTATTTTTGGAAGGGGTTAGGGGTTGTTTACCTTTCCGACAGTCGGCACTTACGCTTACTCTTCCGGAACATCTGATCTTATTTCCCTTGTACCGTTTAAGGAGTCTCCGTGTAAACATTTTTCTTGTTCATATTATGCCCTGAGTTTATTTGAGTGTGAATATTGATTATGTCTACATGCTGGTATGATACATTCTTGTTGTTTTTATGGGCATGGCATCAGCCGTTCTTTGGTATCGAATACCTCGCCAACATTCGGAACGCCTCTGCTTTAATTGGTACGATTATAGTCATTCTTTTGTAACGCAGACCTCGCTAAAATTCGGGACTTCTTTGATTTTGATCATTACCTTAAAGGCCAAAGGGCCGTACTAGTGGACATAATCTGAACAATATTCGGAACTCCTCTGTTTTGGTGTTCTCTGCTTTCGACATGGTAAGTGCTTGACTTTGCGCGCGTTCGAGTCATGGAATCGTTAACTTCTTGTATTTTAACTATCTGAACACTCTTCCGTGAATTTTTATCGTATTTGTGAAGTTGTGTCTCTGTAATAATTGTAAATAGGTGAATATAAAATAAAAACAGACGAATTGAAATATATAGCTACGGATATTAATAAATGACGAAACCTGGCCTAATTCAGCACACGTGCATGTACACGGTATATGATTACAAGAATTGAAAAACATTTGTTAACAAATATATTCTTTTATTGTCTGCGCTACTGAAAAAATGACGACATTTCTCTCCAAAGACGTCTTTCAATATACGACATAAGGCGATATTTGTATAATTAAAACATGATTATGACACCCAGATGGATGGGTAGAAAATAATTTATGTTTAAGTATGGCGTCTTTTTACGAGCAGGTAACTCCGTTTGGAATATTTTCTAAACTTGGATACAGACTAATCAGACAGCGCTGTGATCTTTACTGTTAAAGGCCATATCTTGTGTACTGATAAATTAGATAGTGTGTCGACCGAAGTATGTGTCAACATATCCAGAGTAACATTGCAGAACATGTGAACGCTATCCATTAGGTGGTTAGAACGGGTTGAACGACCCAAGTATACCTAGACTGGACTTAGATTTATATAGGAGGATATATAGGAAACTTTTATCGAACCCATGTAAATAATACAGTTTGTAATGGTAGGTAAAATAAAAGGAAAAGAACATTTTCTGACAACAAAAATCAAAACGAAAGCCGTTGATGAGAAAAACAAAACCCACATACACAATGAATTTACACTCAGAACAATGAAGATTGCCATGTTAAGAACTATTGATAGAGGACAGGTTCAGAAGGTTTGGATAAAAACAATCGTGAAAATTGATGTAAACAGTTTCAACTGGAAACAGTTCTGTTGTCTGGTGGTTATAGATAATATGTCTGCTCTAACCCGGTTACGCTGGTAGTTAAATATACTATGTCTACTCTAACTTGGTTATACAGGCTGGTACAGATACTGCTCTGACATTGTTCTACTGGCGTTTGTCGCTGCATCAAATGTGTCAACATTCCCATTCTATGATCAGGAACACTGAAGGCCATAACTTCGAGAGAGTAAATTATCTCATGTCAACGACATTTGAAATTTTCTTATTACCTTTTTCCTTGTCTGGTTTATGAAAAAATCCAGTGAAGCACGAGGTAAATTGTTCGTTAACGCGAAAACGAAGGCTTCTCGGTCACGCAATTTGTTGCGTGTCCCTTTGTAATCATAAACTCATCAGCCAGACAAGGTAAAAAGGTAACATGAAAAATTGAAAATATCATACGTAATATGGTATATATTCTCGCTGAAACTGAAATCTCAGATAATATAAGTCGGTAGCTAAGTCTAGAAAATGTCTTCACCAAAAGATGGTCGATTGAACTTCAATGATAAAATTATCCTCGCTTTAGGCCAACTGACCCGACCATATAAAGGAAGGCCAGCGAGGTGTGCCAGCCATTGTTACCGATATCGCAATGGAGGTGTCGGGGAATATATGGATGTTAGCGTCATGCTTCCTCGTCCTCCTCCCCAGGGGCGGGGCCCAGATGGGGCAGTCGCAATACGACCCAGATGCTGTGACCACCGGGACATTCCCTGATGACTTTGCCTGGGGTGTGGCGACATCCGCGTACCAGGTGGAAGGAGCCTGGGACAAAGATGGTAAGTAGACAATTGTAGAATAGACAATACAAGTGAAAAGAACTTTTTAATACAAATTAAGAGATAGAAATTTTGGTTTAGACGTTTGAACACCACAAGGAAGTGCTCAGGAACAAAGACTCGTTGTATCTTAGTCACTCAGTTGACAGAGCATGCTTCCTTGACTGAGTAAGTTGACCCGTGGAGTATTACGCCGAAGACCTGGGTCCGATTCCTGGTCGGGAAATTCAGCATGAATGTGTATTTTCTCCTGTTCTTTCACATATGTATTTATAAATAAAGTAGAGCAGTACCAATATCGTTTATGTAAATTCTACACTTACCGACTGAACCAGATGGCATTGAATCGCCGCGATTATAAAATCAAAATATATCATGACATTGAGCAAAAGGTTTTCACAATATTTCAGGGACATGTATGTAATTATGCTTAGCTTATTTAGTGTGCCTTTTTCATCGCGATTCTGAATTCAAAATGATTGATAATATAAAATTGATGAAGTTAATTCAAAGATCGAGTATTTAATATTTCCAGCCTATTACCACGAAGGTAAGTGTATTGGTGTCTTAGTCTAAAGCCAAAACGTTAACCGAAGACTGCATCTGTTTAAGTAGAAAGTCAGAAAAGCCACCAAAATTTTTCACCTGTCGTGTCCACTAGGACGGAACTAAACCCATAGAAAATGCATCGTAAAACTTGTTTAAGACACGAATACTTCATAAGATTATTGTTGAGAAGAATATTTGATTTAGGTTTTACTTGAGTTATTAAATATAACAAACCATTGCACCGGTTGTTTTCTTAAAGCTGAAAAGCTTTCAATTTCAAGGATTTTTCCATTAAAACATAAATCATTTACAGTTTATCAGGGTAAAAGTACAACTCCTTGTTGTATATTGATTATTTTCCTAGAGGTCACTCTTGCTTTATTTTCAAAAAAGACAGATTTCTCCACATTTACTAGTACTGGTTTGTTTTCTCGGTTCATTTCAACTTGAAATGGAGCTTAAAGCGATCACTGACCAGACCTGAATTTACTTCAAGATTTTTTAAATGCTGAAATATGGTTGTATTCCTAAGAAAGAAAATTTTGTATTTTGTATTGCATATCTCATTTCTCATGTCCATATTTCCGTTGTCCCAATTTTATTTATCATGCGTTAGTATTTTCGTCGGCTCAGTTTCTTTGTGATTGGTCCGTATCTGCGTCGGGTCAGTTTCTTTGTGATTGGTCCGTATCTGCGTCGGGTCAGTTTCTTTGTGATTGGTCCGTATCTGCGTCGGCTCAGTTTATTTGATGTGTGTTTGTATTTCAGTTGGCTCAGTTTGTGAAAGGGACTATTAAATTTGCTATGTAAGCGATCTTCAATTTAGTTTTAATTGGAACAAATCTCTTTGTTAAGATAAAAACATAGAAACCAAAAATTCTAAGTGACCCCTTTCTTTCCGTCGCTGAATTAGCAAACCTCTGACCGGGCGCAGCTATCTCTTCGTCTTGATGGTGTTGATGGTAGTAACCCCGTCATTGTTTGTGTAAATAGATGACGGTAGGTGGCGCTACGTATGCAAGATGTGCTTGTCTTCAATGAAATGTCGGTCATTTTAAAGCGTTTAAGTGATATGGATGTCAAGGTTGTCAATACCTCAAGAGTTAATGTTAATTTCATACCGTTTGTCAGATGTTAACATTATTGTTGTAAATACACTTTACTGGAATATAGGTTTCAAAACGTCAGCATCAGATGTCTGTTTGGAGAATCAAATATTTCGAAGAACTAATTGTCTGATTCTATTAACCTATGACCAAAGGAATTCGTTTTTGCTATCTAGGACGAGACGATATATAAGTTGTAACAAACCTCTGCGGTATATATGTCAAAAGCATTTGCATTTCAAAGTTGTATAGTAGCACGAAAATGTGTTTAAAAGGTTGCCAAACTTGTTTGAACATTAATTTAGTTCAAAACTGGGGTCAGAAATTGTGCTCTCTGCGGTGATCACAAAGTATTGGTTCAATGTCATTCATTGATTATTTTTGTGTAAATTTCGAAGGTAGTAATAATTGTGTAGGAATAACATTTATTGTTATACAACCATAGTCATATCAGTTTGCATAAACCTGCAACACTGCAGATTCACGCTTTGATTTCGTTTGGTATCCGTTTCACACATTACTTATTATTAAATAAGACGTGTTTAAGTAAGCAATGTACGTATACGAATTTTTCTTATTCTGTTTTAGTCCGAATGTTCTTGACCATCTATCCATAATTTCCTTTTTTGTCTTGGTCTGTTATCGACCGCGAGCAGAATACAGAACCTTTCGTACTTTCAGAAACTCTTGTGGCGTCTATACAATGTCTACACGTATGAAAGATGAATTCTTTTTAAATAGATATTATGACCACTAGTGTTCGGACACGTTGCCCGGAACATTATACCTTAAACTGAAGTAATTGTATACGAGATCTCGGGGCTAATTAAATATGCTAGCACCAGCAGAAGTCATTATGTGCTGGTAACGTAATTCTATATCATGTTAACTTACTATATAATGTTAATGATTTTGACTAATATTTCCGGGTCAAAAGAGGAAAAAAATATTTGAAATCTTTAATAAAGTACTTTTATCAGTTAATTTATTAATAAAATCTATGAAACTGGCTTACAACTTTATTATATAAATATAGATAAGAAATTGGTATTGTTATTGTGAAGGGGTAGATATAAAATAGTTGCTTGTACTCTGTAATTTACCAACAAAGGCATATAGGTGTCTAAGTCTACTTTTGTTTTAATTTCCTTTCGCCTTGTCAACGGCCAGTATACTGAGATATATGGTGGTAGGAACGTCGAGACAGATTCTGTCCATCAATACATTTTTCAACATTTCAGGGCGAGCTCCTAGTATCTGGGACATATTCACCATGGACGGATCAGGTCACGTGAAGGATGGATCCAATGGCAACGTGGCATGTGACCAGTACAACCATTACAAAGAGGACGTGCAACTCATCAAATCTCTTAACGTTAGTGCACATGAACGAGAAGATTATATTACCTCGAATAATTTGAATAATCTTAGCAGAGCCCCCTAGTGGTAAAACATATTGCGCGTCAAAGCGCAAGTGTGACCAAAAATAAAAGAGAAAAATCAGAAAGATTATCAAGGACATTTATTAAATATTTTCAGGTCGTCAAAGTTGATACCATGAGCAATATACACTATAACGTAGGGCTTTCCGGGCTTCAAAAGTGTTTTGTACATCGATCATATGTACCGACTTTTAGGCAGCGGAATGAAATAAGATAAAACCTCAAAAATTGGCAAAAGTGTGTGCTGCTACCGAACACTGTATAGTAAAATTGGATAAAACATATTACCTGTTTATGCTTTCTATCCTGAATTTGTTATTAAAGTTTATAGGGTGATAAAATGAATTACAGACCACAAAGCTTTGAAATAGCGTCATGGCTTGTTTTGCTGAAAATAAGATTTTTTTCGGGATGACCTGGTGTTTGTTAAACCATATCGACTAGAAATGCAAATAATTTGAGTAGGAACAATAACTCCTCATCCAAACGATTAGGACATTTTCGTTTGTTTCCTTTCAGGTGAAATACTACAGGTTCTCGATTTCCTGGAGCCGCGTCCTTCCAGATGGAACTGAGGCGTCCTTGAATCAAGCCGGGATAAATTACTACAAAAATCTTGTAACAGAGCTGAAGGCTAATGGGATTGAACCTATGGTGACACTGTACCACTGGGATCTTCCCCAAGCCCTTCACGATAGAATGGGCGGTTGGCAGAACGCTTCGATTGTGCAATACTTCGGTGCATATGCTAGGGTTATGTTCAGGGAACTCGGAGATCAGGTATGCCGTGTTCTGTTAGAGGTTTGTCTCACGTCTCTCTCTCTCTCTCTCTCTCTCTCTCTCTCTCTCTCTCTCTGTTAACTCACTCCCTCCCTCATCTCTCTGATATCTAATATACGAAATCTCCTTTTCGAAATTTATTACGATTTAACATGATGAAGTAAAAAGTATTCACATGAATATTGAACTAAAATACCATAAATTTTCTACTGCACTGAACGAAAGAAAATCAGTTTTAGCTTTTTCTATTAATTCTTGTCAACGAAACGTTGAAACTGGTTTGAATGACGCTATAATTGCTTTGACTGGTTTCAGGTGAAGTTCTGGATCACTTTGAATGAGCCGTGGGTAGTTGCCTGGCTCGGGTATGGATCGGGTCAAAACGCTCCGGGGATCAAGGAGCCTGCCGTTGCCCCGTATACTGTTGGACACAACCAAATCCTTGCCCACGTGGAGGCCTACCACATATATAATGACGAATTCAGGATATACCAGAATGGTTTTGTTTTGTTTTGATTTTGTTTTTGTTTTGTTTGTCTGGAAAAAAGAGATATATCAAGTGTTTCGATTTCAAATCTCGATAAGTAAAACAGTTTTTGCGATAATTGGAATGTGTAAATACTTCTGACTTAGATAATGGTGCCAGTTTAAAATCTTCTTTCTAGGTATATCGGTTGTCAAATGCTCTATAATCAACAATTTGTGAGCAAATTGTCAATGAAACATTTTTGGATGGTAAATTTATTCATCCGAATCCCTCTTTCAAGCTCTGTTGATTTGGAACACATCATTTCCGTGCGTTATTTGGATAGTGTTCCGGAACGTCAGGAATAACATGTAACTTAATTTGAAGTTTATATTCATATATTAAATTTATAAGCACATTTTTCAAATTGGCCGCCAAGATCTCGCGAGTTGACGTACTATACCTGTTTAAAATCTCACGAGATCGTTGGCTTTGACACATGCGTTGGTTTAAAAAGTTGTTTCTTTCTATCGATGACTGATTTATAACTACCACACGTTAATTTATTGGAAACATTGCTAGAATACCTTGCCGTATCATGTACTGGTTGATAAATTTTTGTGTGGTCATTACACTGTAGGGTAAATTCTGACTATCGATCCCGGCAAAGGCAAAGAAACTATCGTGAATATCGTTTATTTTGTCATATATGGTATAGCGACCTTATCAGGCAAAAAGACAGAAATGATGGTATTTATCGACAACGGTTACAGTACTTCATGAAGACATTGTCTGAACAATCATGAAAGTCAAATTCGGTAAAAATGAGGGTAAAAGAATAGAAGAAAAGAAGATCGACGAGGAACCCATTAAAAAGTACTCGGTTAATGACAATAGCTTCAGGGTTAGCGACTTCTATCACAACAATGATTCAAATTACCATACCTAGATAATCTATGACGTCACTTACAAGTGAAAATCTTTTGTCTTGTAGGACGGATCGGTATTACGATGAACAGTGATTGGGCCATTCCTAAATCCCAATCACAGGCAGATATTGACGCAGCTGAACGACAGATGCAATTCAGTCTTGGCTGGTTCGCAAACCCCATATATGGAAGTAACGGCGACTATCCTGATGCCATGAAAAGTATTTCACGAGTTCCGGTTTTCACAGCTGCTCAGAAACAACGCAATAAAGGTAGGACATGAAACTCTTAAGCGGTTACTATCTACTAGTGAAACGATGGACATTCTTCTCAACATACAGTAAATCAAATGACGTGGCACAAGAGTATAAAACTGAGACATGTAATTCAGAGGTAGGAAACAAAGCCAAGAACAGTTGTTAATTACCTATAACCTATACTACAGTTTGTGTAGACTTAGCACTGACCAGCCTGACTGGTACCATTTCAATTCCAATTTAACATGAACCTCATTTCTATAACAAAATAATGCTAATAAATTATTATGACGTCTTACAAAACTTACAGGAGACAATCGAAAAAGTATTCAGCTTTTAAGTGCCATTGATTTAGGTGTGGTTTTACCATTATTTTTGGCCGAGATTTATATACAATATGGGATGCTATTTCAGTTGTAAATATTTTTTTATCTTGGTATAACAGTTTTTGGTTTGATAAGCTTATTAATTCTAAACAGTATCTATCACATTTTCACATATATATCTGCTTAAGTATATAAATCAAGAGTACATGAAAAAAGTAAATCCTTGAATAACTGGTGGTCAAATAAGGACATTTTTGTGTTTGGTAGGCTCTGCTGATTTCTTTGGCCTGAATCATTACACAAGTCAGTTGGTGTCCGACAAACCACGTTCTGCCTCTGATCCAAACAGCTACATTACCGATATAAGGACTCGCACAGAAGCTGATCCCAGCTGGAGAGGGTTTGTAAAATATTACAAACAACTGAGTTGATTTTTATTCTTTTTTCTTCTTCCTGTGAAACTTTGAATGAAGATAATTTATCAAAATTGAACAAAAGTGGTATTATTTTTGCATACGATTTACTTTCGCGAATTCTATGACTGAAACAAATTTGATGTCGAAAAATATGCAATTAAGTCTGTTTTCCGAAACAAAGAAATACAAAATGATATTGAAAAGTTATGGCGAACGTATGTAACCCTCTGTTCGGAATCGTCGTTATTTGACAATGCCTCAACCAAAGTCTGGTTTTAGTGTTTAATAAATAAAATGTCTTCACTAGGGGTAATAGGGTAGATCTTCTGTCATGTGAATTTATTTATAACTAATTTGTTATTGTGTCAAAGGTGTATATAGCTGTACCAATATGAAAAGCAGTTACTCTAGTATTTATGTATATTTTGAAGGTCATCGTCGTCGTGGCTCAAGGTCAATCCTAGTGGAATGAGGAGTATACTGAATTGGATCAAAACCACGTACAACAACCCAGATGTTTATGTCACAGAGAATGGTGTATCTGACTGTGGAACATTACAGGATCAGGCCAGACTTGATTACTACAAAGGTTACATTAACAATATGATGAGGGGTGAGTCGAGCAATTTTTATCTTCGAGATTTAATGGGAAACACGAGTTTTAATGGGAGACACAATGGGAGACACGAGTTGTAATGGGAAACACGAGTTTTAATGGGTAACATAATTGGAGACACGAGTTGTAATGAGAAACACAAGTTTTAATGGGAGACACAATGGGAGACACGAGTTGTAATGGAAAACACGAGTTTTAATGGGGGACACGAGTTGTAATTGGAGACACGATAGGAGACACGAGTTTTAATGGAAGACACAAGTTGTAATTGAAGACTCGAGTTTTAATAGGAGACACGAGTTTTAATGGGAGCCTCGAGTTTTAATGGGAGACAGGAGTTTTAATGGGATACACAAGTTTTAATGGGAGACTTGAGTTTTAATTGGATATACGCTAATATGGTATAACAAATCACTTCATGTCATTATTTAGTTGTCGGCCATTTTAGTTATAACCGTAAATTGACTGAGAAAGACAAAGAAGATTATTCGGATGCCCCTCGTTACTCACTTTCATGGGACTATGATGTTAATCACACACACACATTGTTGTATTAGGCATGTGTTCACTTCACATAGATCGAATGTTATTCGAAATCAAAATGGGAACATAACTCAAAATTAGCGATCGAAATAAAACAAAATAGTAAATGATGCCAACTTTAGTCCATTTACTGGTTTGGAACACCGTTGACAACCTCGGTAACGTCCTAGATGTAAGACAATCCGTGTCATATTTAAAGCCTCATAATGGAAGTTGATTAGTTTGTCATCAAATTTCAACACAATACATAGATACGTAGATGTAGGCTGCATACAAAAGAATAGCCCGGCTGTAACAAATATTGAACCTACCCGGTAGATTAGCAGGTAAAGACAATAACTGTAATAAAAAAATCGGTACAGACTGAGATTTATTAGGAAGAGATATCAATATAAAACGAACGGTTGGGGAACAAATGTCCATCTTGTTTGAGCTTAAGTAGGTCACAGTGAGCAACTGCTGTTAAAGGGACTACAGATTCAAATTTCAAGAAAAGTTACTTCATAAATAGATTTGCTTCTATGTTTTCTTGGTGTATCGCTCCGTCAACAGTCAGAGGCATTTTGGGACATGGCCTCCTTGTAATAACTGGTGGTCATCTTCCTGAACAACATACGGAATTCCCGTCGCATTTCATCCAAAGCAATTTGATTTAACTCTCTCTGCCAATGTGAGAAGCACTAGAAACACTTTAAGATCCATAAGAATAATCATCTAAATCATAACTTTTATAATGAAAATTTCTTTTAATTTTACTTTCATTGTCTTTTCAGCAATAAAAGTGGATGGCTGTAACGTAAAGGGCTACGTTGCCTGGTCACTGCTGGACAACTTTGAGTGGGCATCCGGGTATACGGAAAAATTCGGACTAATCAAAGTGGACTTCGAACGTAACGAGAGACCAAGAACAGTCAAAGACTCTGCCTTTTTCTTTGCCGACCTTGTCAAAAACAATGGCTTCCCATCTGGTTGGGATACCTCGACCTACATAATGGCAGGTAAGCGTTTGCATTGCTATTATATTGGATATTTGTATTATCCCTGCCATTTTACATAAACCATTTCCTTCTTGCCGTATCTGTTATGATTTGGTTCCCGTTCATTTACACTTTGACGGATAGAAATATTATAATGCATGCCATTGTTTTATAAGGCGAAGCGAAGAGGCAAATAATGTTGTCATTTTATTGTGGTCAGTTTATGTGAGATAGTGTTGCACTTGATGAGGTGTTTATAACTGCACTTAGAGCTGTTTATTTAAGACTTTTGCCGTCAACAGTGGTAAAATATTACTTGTCACAGTTTGGAAAGCTATGGGTACAGCAATTAAAAAGCCAGTGTCGATGAGAGGACCCAAACTTCCCATTGTCATTTTTGTGACATTTGTGGTGCACCTACACTTCATTTCATACCTACGGTTTGGATTTAGGGGTCTTCCTGTTGACATTATTTAATATTGATAGTTATGATTGAAAATGATTAAATTTTGTTATTATTGACCGTTCCCATGTGATTTTTGACATATGATTCGAGGATATTTCACTCTGCCACAAAGTTTCAACATTTAGATTTTCAGCATAACTGATGATTCTGAAAGCAACTGTGTGTTGTAGTTTGATACATAAGATAATTCTAGAGTATGTGGTTGTATACTGAATTACTGGGTTTCTTTCTAGATGTTGAAGAGAGGGACATGTTCCTGCATGGTTCGTTCCCTGACGGGTTTGCATGGGGCGCCGCTACAGCTGCCTACCAAGTAGAAGGGGCATGGAACGAAGATGGTAGGTTTTTTTTCGAAGTTGTACATTGTTTAAATTTTAATTCAATCTTTCACCCAGATGCCTGTGTACGTATAGATTGTTTTGTTCTTTAGATACATTGTAGAGGAACCTATGTATCATTTTCACCATATGCCATGGTATATTCAAGTAAACTTTTCTTATTGAAAGTAACCACATACATGTTTTTTCAGGAAAGGGGCCAAGTATTTGGGATGTATTTTCACACAACGGTCGAATAGCGAACCACGACACCGGGGATGTGGCCTGTGATAGTTACCACAAGTACAAAGAGGACGTGCAGATGTTGAAACAATTAGGGGTATAGTCACCAATATCACATAGCCACATTACTTACATAAAACGTCATCATTTGTTGTGTGCTTTCTTCAGTTTATATATAAACGTTAAATCATGCTATCTTAACGCGTAAGGAGTGATTTTATATTATGAATCTCTGAGATTCTTTCTTACTAATTTGTATATTCTTAAAGACAGCCAATGTATGTTCACACTTCAATAGTAAGATTCATATAAGAATAAATACACAGAACATACTGAGAAACATCAAAACAGATTTAAACATGTACAACAGAGCTACAATTAACATTATTTACCATTAACAAACTATCTGCTATATGATCTAACCAGATGGCATTACTCTGCGATTGTCCAGTTAAGAGTGAGAAGACAAATGAATGTCAATTAGATGTGTGTGTATGAATATTCTAACGGACACTTGTTCCTTCTGTCTACCAATCTTAAATCCTCTCTTGCATTCCCAACAGGTGCTTTTATGTTAGACAGACATACATGAGTTGAAACCACTCAACCGTAACTGATAACGCCTATAAGTATCAATTCATGCATGGACGTTTTTGTTCATATCAAAAAAAAAAAAAAAAAAGTGCGCAAAATTAATTATCGTCTCGACAACAATTCATGCTTAATACTGACCGGTAACTTTAGATGAAATTCAGGAATAACTATATACAACTATCCAACACATCAACATTATTAAGTTATTTATAATGTAATTTAATGTGTTATGTCCAGTTCATGTGTATAACCTGTACCATGCCACTGTTGGAATGAATTAAAACGTGGCTTGTAAGTTACGGCAAATTTAGTCGACCAAAAGACACAAGTGAAAATGCAATTTTTCGTTATAGAGTTAGATACATTAAAGCCAAATGGGGGAACTGTATTATTTCCGTTGTTATCGAATTTAAATTCTCATTGGATTTGATTAAAAGGTAAATTTAAACGCACTTTTTGTTTCAAATTACGAAAATTCTGTATGAATGTAAAAAGAAGAATTTAAACTGTAAGCGGATGGCAGTACACATTCACTGTGAATTAAATCTGAGTGACAGGTACAGCTTATATCACCATCTATCAATGATTCATATGGACTGTATACAACCATCTGGCGCAGTGCAATGCTTCCATGATCATGATAACTGTTTCACGTCAATGCCATAAGTGACCTTATTTTCTACATTCTCTAGGTATCTCACTACCGTTTCTCCATCGCCTGGTCCAGAATCATGGCAGACGGCACACCTAGAACTCTGAATCCTAAGGGCATTGCGTACTACAACGATCTTATAGACGAGCTTCTCTCCAATGGGATTCAGCCTTTCGTGACTCTGTACCACTGGGATCTGCCGCAGGCTCTACAGGAGATTGGGGGCTGGGAAAACGATACCATCATAGATCATTTCAACACTTATGCTGAAATATGCTTCTCGAACTTTGGACACAAGGTAACGAGATTTCATATAGAGGATAAACAAAAGTCTTCGTTCTCCTCAACATTACTGGCTGAGTATTAACAAGGGATTAAATACAACAAAATATTTACAGTTTAAACTTTAGTTAGTTTGCTAGTTAGTTAGTTCGTTAATTGGTGAGTCAGTTAGCTAATTCGTTAATTAGTTAGTTAGTTTGCTAGTTAGCTAATTCGTTAATTGGTGAGTCAGTTAGCTAATTCGTTAATAAGTTAGTTAGTTAGCTAGTAAGTTAGTTAGTTAGTTAGTTAGTTAGTTAGTTAGTTAGTTAGTTAGTTAGTTAGTTAGTTAGTTAGTTAGTTAGTTAGTTAGGTAGCTAGTTAGTTAGGTCATATTTCCTGACTCTTACTTTTACTTCCTTGAAACTAGCAATTGGCTATTGATTAAGAGATAAGATCAAATGTGAGATAAGTAGGTAATCTAATTTTATCTAGTAAACACCTACTGCCTCTTTGTAAATGGTGAAATAAGTAGGTAGTCTAATTTGGTGAAATAAGTAGGTAGTCTAATTTGGTCGTACTAAACACCTACTGCCTCTATATAAATGGTGAAATATGTAGGTAGTCTAATTTGGTCGTACTAAACACCTACTGCCTCTTTGTAAATGGTGAAATAAGTAGGTAGGGTAGTCTAATTTGGTCGTACTAAACACCTACTGCCTCTATATAAATGGTGAAATAAGTAGGTAGTCTAATTTGGTCGTACTAAACACCTACTGCCTCTATATAAATGGTGAAATAAGTAGGTAGTCTAATTTGGTCGTACTAAACACCTACTGCCTCTATATAAATGGTGAAATATGTAGGTAGTCTAATTTGGTCGTACTAAACACCTCCTGCCTCTATATAAATGGTAAGATAAGTAGGTAATCTGATTTGGTCGTACTAAACACCTACTGCCTCTATATAAATAGTGAAATAAGTAGGTAGTCTAATTTGGTCGTACTAAACACCTACCGCCTCCTTGTAAATGGTGAAATAAGTAGGTAGTCTAATTTGGTCGTACTAAACACCTACTGCCTCTATATAAATGGTGAAATAAGTAGGTAGTCTAATTTGATCGTACTAAACACCTACTGCCTCTTTGTAAATGGTGAAATAAGTAGGTAGGGTAGTCTAATTTGGTCGCACTAAACACCTCCTGCCTCTATATAAATGGTGAAATAAGTAGGTAGTCTAATTTGGTCGTACTAAACACCTACTGCCTCTATATAAATGGTGAAATAAGTAGGTAGTCTAATTTGGTCGTACTAAACACCTACTGCCTCTATATAAATGGTGAAATAAGTAGGTAGTCTAATTTGGTCGTACTAAACACCTACTGCCTCCTTGTAAATGGTGAAATAAGTAGGTAGGGTAGTCTAATTTGGTCTTACTAAACACCTACTGCCTCTATATAAATGGTGAAATAAGTAGGTAGTCTGATTAAGTAGAAATAAACACCTACTTTCTCTCTATAAATGATAAGATAAGTAGGTATTTTATTTTCGCTATTTCTCGGGGCAGTAACGTAAGCGCAATAGTTGATCCGGAAATGTTAAGACACGTTTAAAATAATCTGATTAAACTGCATCTAAAGACTGTTATTTCATCGGTTCCTTCTCAAGGTGACTCTTCAATAAATCAGAATAATTATTTATTAACAAATTTATTATTAATTAAACAACACATAATACTTTAAAACATAAATAGTCATTATTATGAATCTTATCATAGTTGACCTATGAATCTGCACCTATTTGGAACACAATTAAGGGAGAAATATCGCTACTAAAATTTATATATATATTTATTAGATAAAAGTCGCGATCCGTTAAAATAATCGACTGTAATATTTTTCACCAAATATAAAAAAATGTACTTGGAGATCGGAAGCAGATGAAAGCATTTGTATATGTATTGTGTGCTTATTTTGTTGGTTGTATTACTAATTTTTTTTGATAATTGAAGTCATTTGAAGTAGCAGAGAAATTTTCAGTGGTATTTGCATCTTCATATGAGAATCATTTTCCATTTCATTCTACAAGTGATGCAGACATTTATTTACACTAACATATCTTCACTCTGTAATCTTTTCTGACCAAACAATAATATCAGTTTTATTTTTATAACAGCTAGAGAATTTACAAGGAAATGCTATCTTATAAAAAATGTGATGATATAATCTGGCACAGCAAAGAATATGAATTAACGGCTAATATTCTATTACGGGGTTGTTCCTGGAACTTAAATATTCCTCTGCATTTTTTCAGGTCAAATCGTGGATCACATTTAATGAAGCGTTTGTTGTTTCCTGGTTGGGGTATGGTATCGGAGTTTTTGCCCCTGGCGTTTATAGTCCTGGAACCGGTGTATATAATGTGGCACATAACATCATCCGATCTCACGTCAAGGCTTACCACACATACGATGATCACTTCCGGTCTAAATATAACGGTAAGGAATTCTGTCACCAGTCTTTAATCTTTAATACTTTGTTCATAGCAGTGCTGCAACGCGTTCTGCTGGCATTCTTTAATTCCTTATTTTTGTTGTTGGTAATGTTGCTGATGTAAATTTACTATTCTTTCCTTGATATATTCTGTATCGAAAAATTTGGCCAGCTGTACTAGTTGTAATGACGTCACTGTTTCATGTGCTCTTAGTTTTGAGAATTCCCTTACAGGTCAGGTCGGGATTACCCTAGACTGTGATTGGAAACAGCCGAATCAATTCCGCTCGGCTAAGGATAGATATGCGGCTGAGAGAGCACTGCAGTTTAAGCTTGGTTGGTTTGCTAATCCAATCTTTGGAAATGGAGACTACCCCTCAGTTATGAAGCGTGTGGTGAAAGCCAAGAGTCTGGCTCAAGGGCTTTCACAATCTCGACTTCCGGAGTTCACTCCGGAGGAAATTGAACAAAATAAAAGTAAGTTAACTATTTGAATTGAATTTCTAATCAGGAATTAAAAAAACTGACATCCTACCTCAAATTGTCTTCTTCAGTATGTCATTAATCGTTTTTAGAATAAGTTTCCTTTGGTGCAGTTGCCACATCATTGCTGCAACGATAGATGTCACAAGATGTAAAATCAATCGCTCATCTTTTAACAGGTATTTTAGATTAGATTACCGAAATAAACAACAAAAATTAATAAAGAAATGTTGATGACAATATTCTTAATATTCTTAAAATATTGTTTTATTTCCATTTGAAATAATTCTGGTGGTTGGCAATTAAGCCTTCGACTCAAATCGTATGTTTTATGAAGTTCTACAATCATTTTATTTTCTTAATCGTTTTTATTCCAGAGTCAGCTGATTTTTTCGGCTTGAATCACTATACTTCCAACTTGGTTTCACAACTTGATCGGCCGATAAAGGACCAGAGTTATGATAATGATCAAGACATCGACATCACTTACGACAACTGCTGGAACAGGTAATTTATAGTAATAAATACGCTTGTATTTCACGTTGATCCAAAACTATCAGATATATGCATCTTAAAAAAGCATTGTATTATTGGACTAGTGAGCCTCCCCAAGTATGACATTTCTTTCGGTTATTTTGGCTTTTCCTCAGTCGTCTTTAATGCACTAAAATTATGTCCCTAGCATCACCGAGTCCTAGAAGGATGAAACAGCTGTATAATGCACTTCATTGTTTGACTCGATTGTTTATCCAACTTGGAATTAGTCTGTAGAGGTGCTGTTTACTTTTGTGTCTTTTGTACAGTCTATATAAATAATGCTAAATACGATTTTGATTTCCAAGTACTATTTAGCGTTTTAACATGTTTTAGCTGAATATACACAAATGCTATTATGTTTTGTGAAATTAGAATATCGATATCCCAAAAAATTCGTTATCAGTAGATTATGTTAATTAGTTTAATAATGAAAGTGAACTGTTTGATTGTAGGTCTGAGTCGTCATGGTTACGAGTGAATCCCTGGGGACTGAGAAAGCTCCTGAATTGGATCCATGATCGATATGATAGCCCTCCGATTTACGTCACAGAAAACGGGGTTTCAGACAAAGGGCAACTTGATGACGAAACACGCATTCTCTACTACCGTAGTTACATAAACGAAATGATGAAAGGTAATCACGTCTCATAACAAACACGTGGTCCCAAAAACGTTTTACGCCAACATGGAGGGTGTTCTTCTTTCCCTCTCGTTATTCATTTTCCGAAGAAACGATGATAATCATGATAATTAATACAAACATTCGCAAAAGGTAAGGATTTAGCAACTTTTAAAAATGATTAATGGTAGTGAAAAAATCGCTTTTACAAGAACTCCAGATATGTATATGTGTGTAACCTCTAATATATGTATGTGTAACCTCTAATGTATGTATATGTGTAATCTCCAATATACATATGTGTGTAACCACTAATATATATATGTGTAACCACTAATATATGTATGTGTGTATCCTCTGATATATGTATGTGTGTATCTCTAATGTATGTATGTGTGTAATCTCTAATATATGTTGTGTGTAACCTCTAATATATGTATGTGCGTAACCTCTAATATATGTATGTGCGTAACCTCTAATATGTGTTGTGTGTAACCTCTAATATATGTTGTGTGTAATCTCTAATATATGTATGTGTGTAACCTCTAATATATGTATGTGTTTAACCTCTAATATATGTATGTGTGTAACCTCTAATATATATATATGTGTGTAACTACTAATATATATGTGTGTGTAACCACTAATATACATATATGTATGTGTGTAACCTCTAATATATATATATATATGTGTGTGTGTAAACAACTATATATATGTATGTGTGTGTAACCTAATATATGTATGTGTGTAACTAATATATATGTATGTGTGTAACCTCTAATATATATATATATGTGTGTGTTTGTAACCACTAATATATATATATGTGTAACCACTAATATATATATGTGTAACCACTAATATATATATATGTGTAACAACTAATATATGTATGTGTGTAACCTCTAATATATGTATGTGTGTAACCTCTAATGTATGTATGTGTGTAACCTCTAATATATGTATATGTGTAACCTCTAATAAATATATATGTGTAATCTCTAATATATGTATGTGTGTAACCTCTAATATATGTATGTGCGTAACCTCTAATATATGTATGTGTGTAACCTCTAATATATATATATGTGTGTTTGTAACCACTAATATATATGTGTTTGTAACCACTAATATATATATGTGTAACCACTAATATATATATATATGTGTAACCACTAATATATATATGTATAACAACTAATATATGTATGTGTGTAACCTCTAATATATGTATGTGTGTAACCTCTAATATATGTATGTGTGTAATCTCTAATGTGTGTATGTGTGTAACCTCTAATGTATGTATGTGTGTAACCTCTAATGTATGTATGTGTGTAACCTCTAATATATGTATGTGTGTAACCTCTAATATATGTATGTGTGTAACCTCTAATATATGTATGTGTGTGACCTCTAATATATGTATGTAATTGTTGGCAGTCTAGTATGTAACCACTTATGTTTACCAGATAAATAGATGTATAGTAAGGTCTTATTATATTCAACAACTATCGATTTTTCTTGTCGAATTTATTCGTTTTTTGGTAAGGCATAACTCTGCATGAAATTATGACTGCATCGTTTTAATACTAAGATATGACCTATTTATATGTATGAAACTATGAATATTATATTGCAGCCACCGCAGAAAATAGATTAGCAATTTTGAAAATACATTTAGCACAAAGAAAAAGACGTGATGTTTCTGTCCATGTAAACGATACTTTCATTAATATAATATAAATATGAAGTTGATCGACACCGTAAATATTGCAAAATCACCACGTCAATGAATATCAATAATGGCTGATCTATGAAAAGAAATTTCATAATTATAAGCTGCACTTTTGTTTAATGCGTGTCAAAATGTAATTGACGTGTTATTTTTTACCTTGATTTCACAGCCGTGAGACTGGACGGTGTGGACGTACGAGGCTACATGGCGTGGTCACTTATGGACAATTTTGAATGGACCAGTGGTTACACTCAGAAATTCGGTCTTTATCAGGTAGACTTCAACAGTCCACAACGGGTTCGATCCATGAAGTCATCAGTATCAGTATATTCTGAAATCATACAGAACAATGGCTTCCCTGAAATTTAGGATGTTATCGAGATTATAGGTAACATTATGTCAGATACAGTAAATCGATGCAATTAAAACATCATTATTGCCGCCAAACTATGGCTTCTCTGTATTTCTAAATAACATTATTATTGGAATGGTTGCTGGTTGTATGAAATATGATACTAACTCTTGCCACTAATATTAAACGTTTTTTTGTCTAACTTTTGAGCACGTCCTAATCAAGAAGAAATACTGGAATGAAAACGTTTGTTAGCTAATGTAAAATACGAATTTTCTGGTAACTATGATCAATTTTGTGTGTACTCTATGAGTTTCATTATTATATAGCTAGCACTAGCGTAGGCGTGAGAAAATAAAATGACAATTATGTTTGTACAACTATATTCTTCGTTTTTTATTTGTTTTGTTTGTTTGTTTGGGTTTTTTTCACGTTTTCGTTTACAAAGCCCGTTTTCTGCGATATTCCAGATATAAACATAACAAACGGATTATCAGTATAAATTCGAAAATATGTATACTGATCCAGGTCAAACACAAACTGGAAACACCACATGATTTGTAAAGAACTACTTACAGGTACCGAGGGAAGATTTCCTCAAAGAGACGTCTGATTGTAAAGCCTTGAATCACTTGTTATCCTGATATTTTTCTATCTGTCTTGTTTGCTCTATTTGTAAATTATTTTCTACACTTTGTGTCCTCTTCTGTAACCCCTTTTCATGTTTCCGTTGTTTCTACAAGAATGTTTGACTCCGTAAAACGAAAAAAGTATCTATGTTTTTTCTCTCTTAATTATGTGTCCGTGTTCATATGAGCCCAGCTGATGTGTGAACGTGATATTCTGAACGAAAGGAGACTCCACCAGCAGATACCACAAGCAAATAGCCCCGTAGGGATTATTTTCATGTGCATACGGGTGTCTAATTTCACATTCAGTTTTTTCATCGCCAAAATATCTTGAAATTGTACAAAAGACACAAAATTGGAAAGCACTATTTAATTTATATAATTTGATATTTGTAATTTATAAAATCCACTAGAGAGCCAAACATTGAATAAAATAGCATTATACCGATGTTTCGTCCTATCATGGAACAACAGGAACCAGGGAATGCCAAACCATTATTATTTAACTTCATTTTTTATTTGGCTCTACTGTATCCAGTTCTAAATTTGTAAAGTAATATTCCCTTGTATGTCTTTTATACAATATTCTACTTTGTATACCTATTTGAGTTGCCTAATTACTCCGTGTAGTTTCGTACAGAAAAAGTAAAGAATAAAGTTTGGATATTGCATCCTACCCAACAGTCCCGACAAGCGTTTTTATGAGGCTGTTGAAAAGGTTGCAGAATGTTTATTGCTATCTTAGAGAAATATGCTATGAAAGCGATATTTTTCAATAATGAAATATCTAAACTATTTACCCTTTCGTACCCTTACAATAAATGATATATACTCCGTCGTTAAAGGAGAGATACATCGGAAAGAGATAACTACCTTTTGTTTTTGTATCTCACCCATACACAATTAGTGCCTCACTCAAAAAGCAATAACCACCGCGGCTGATATACACAATAGAAACTCTTTCAAATGTACTGGGCTTGTTTTAACCTTGAAGGCTAGCTAATTAATTTAACAATGTTTTATACTTTTAAGATTCATAATTCAAAAGATAATTACAAAATCGAATTTACAACTGCGTTATTACCATAACCATACCCAACTAATTAGTCGAAATGGCTTTGACTTCTGTTTAAAAAGTAGTTATTAGTACACAAATACGTAAGGGATTAGGATGTGTGTGATGAATACCTTGCATTTATTACTGCGTGTTTACAATGTGTGTTAGTTTCGCTTTGACGTAGAGTTAGGCCTTGTAACTCATATTGTTATCACAAAAATAAAATATACATTTCCGGGAGAAACGATAATAACGATTACAGTAAATAGTGTTGTTTTCTTATAGATGTACGAACAGTGGCATCTTGACATGACTTTGGTTTATATGTCTTTGTATATGTCAAATGCATCATTGTTCATTCAATAGGGTCGTTTCACATTTCCATTCCGCTACAATAATCTACTTCCTACTACGACCAGTGTATAAGTCAAGGAAAAGATATCCCTGCTGTATCCGCCACATGTCTTAACAAGCGACGAATTGTTAGTCACTTCAGCAGGTGGAGGATAGCTTCACCAGTGTCTTCTACTGAGGGAAAATGCTTAGAATACGTGCAAATGGATTTCATTTTATGATCGTATGAGGTAACTCAAAGTGGCCCCCTGCAGAATCGTGTTTTCCCATTGCCTTCTACCAAATGGACATCGTAACAATGGTCATCTTGATAATTACTTCTCCGACTTTTTTGCCCTCTTTATGGTGATGTCCACACTTGATACACCTTATGACAACTGTCCTCATATGGCCCCGTCTGTTGAGTAAACATACAAGCAGAGATTGTTGAAGACCAAATTTAATGACAAAAACAAAACAGAAAATACGGACTATAGTATAAAAATCATAGCATTCCGCAAAACGGCAAGTGTTGCACTAAAATTAACAGAAAGAAATTATATATTCAGAGCATAAGTTCAATATAACAATCATTTAATGGAAACAATAGGCACAACAATAGGCACATTTTAGGCAACCTGCAGGACTGAAGGTATTATGTTTATATAGATATTTTATGTAGAATTTTAACGTACATAATATTTCTTCATTAATGTGGTGACGAAATGAATTGAAACCTTTATTAAAACATATGTAAATGTAACGTTGTCATAAATAGAAGCAGAATAATGTGACGTTACAATGAAACTATCAGCAACAATAATTTCTTACTAAGAGATGAAAGATGTTTGACTGTTTTAAAAAAGACAATTTTAATTAAAAGAAGTGAGTACAACTTGGTATATCTGGCTTGGGTTTATGGTAAATCAACAGAGCAGTTTAATATTTAAACAGAAGTATCAGACCCGTGACATGATGGTAGTTATAAATGGAAAGCTGCTAGGTTTTGTCTGCCTGGTGAATCTGTAATAACTTTTGTCACCTCATTAATATGGATTGTATGTATGAGGACATAAAAGTCAATGAACCAATGCCTGCTTCAAGCCTATACGAAAACAGTTGAGATTTTATATAAGCTAAAGCAGTTTTCGGGGAAGCTTACAATTGCGGATTTGACTGCATTCATGACTGACAAATCTTACTTTTATATTATTATCGCAAATTACATCAACGTCAGTGATACGCACGGACTGATACACGGGCTGTTTGATTAATATAAACATGATATAGCTTTGAAACTCAGATTAATTTTCACCTTCAAGATTGTGTGGGTAAATTCATTGGAATGAAATGTTCAAATAACATTGGCTATTTCTTATTCAAGTGGATTAATATCTTAGTATAGTGTTGTAATTATGTTAGTAAAATGAATGACGTCGTCAAGAAACACACTTGAATTTACAAATATTGAAGTCCTTTTTCTCCTGAACGTTCCAATGAATTTGTAATGGTTGTTTGTACACTGGAGCAAGTATTGATAGGGAAATTTACAGGATGCCAGTAGTGAACACATACATTTATTGATATTATTTCCTGTGACATGTTTTCCTGTTTACCTAGGTTTACGAAGTCAAATAGTCATATCATGCAGGTTTACGTAATTATTTCTTTTTTCTTGGTTTGTGCATTCCAAACAGCAAGTCTTACACCGACTTCACTTTCATGTCTTCTAGAGGTTTCTGCGGTTCTGACACGAAATTTAGTTGTGAGCGCCCACGCGCTGCGAGTTGTAGAAACATCTCCTATATTGTGTATGAGAGAATGTGCAACATTAAAATTGTGTAGGTCGGTGAACATTTATCAGAATTCTCTACGATGTGAGATGGTCCTTCAAAATTCTACCGGTGAATCAGGAAATACAGTGACGTCATCAGATGGTATGGCCATCGATGCTAAAGACATTCCAAAGGTAAGGATTTTTTTTAAAAAAAATTCATTTTGAATTAATTATTTATTGTCTTTCAACTTGAAATGATTTTAGTGATCCAAATTGGTATCTTATGTGTGAAGCAAAATTGCAAGCACATACACCAGGCATGATCCCTGCATAAGGCGAATAAATATTTGTTTGTGTATTCATTGAGGCTAACCATTTCTATCAGTAGCTTTTACATATGGTTAGTTTGATTTTACACATAGCGGTATTCCTTTTCCGCGTGGAAAATACAAAATTACAAAAACATTGCAGCATTACATTTGGTGTTTTAGGAATATGCTGCAACTTGCTTTGACCACAACTGCTTAATATTTGAGAAATGTGTTGTAAGGCGGTCTGGAGGATATGTGTGCATTCCTTTTGGTACGTTGTTTCTTTACTTGAACTTTATTTACATTTGTTTTGTTTGCATTTCATATCATTCTTTTCATTTCTGAGGAGGGGGAATATTTCCATTTTTGTCTTTTTCATGTTTGATCAAATACAACGTATACAAAAAGAAAATACGTTCACAGAGGTTTTATCCAAACTCAAATTTCACGAAATTAGGGTAAGATATCAACAAATGAAATATGTCAACAAAGAGAGAATATCACCAGGTGTTCATGAAAAATATCGTTGACAACCCTCACAATGTAAATCTAGTTTAATCTACATAAGTAATGTTTAACTACATTTGTCCAGTTTAAAGCAATTTCCTAGCAGACTTTTAATTGCTCTAATCGTTACAAATATGTTTTCTGTACCAATTCGAAACACAAGTAAAGGATTGAAATAGATTTAGTGTATTGGATAAAGCATCCCTCAATGTGAAATCAATCCACAATTGCTCTGCCCAATAACAAGTTAAGATTTTTTACTCTCATGTCTGTACAACGTTAAAAATATATCATATATGGATATAATCTTATATGTATCATCACCTAAAGAAAGTGTGTTTGTATACTATCTTTCACTTGCGGGTTTGTTTCTCGCATGACATTTGCTGTTTCTTACTTATAATCTGATTAAAGTGGCGATGGTTTTCAAATTTTGATATGTAAAGGAGGAGTACCAATTTGGGCCTTCTGGTGGCCATGACGAATACTTTTTATTTTTTGTCTATTAAAAACTTGAGGTCGGACGGTAATGACATGACATTAATCTAAGGTCAGCTCAAGGCCGTTCAGTTGTTATAGTTATGTTTGGGACAAGTTGGGGATCAAATTCATAATTTTTGCAATAATTATCAAACTAAAATATTTTTTTAAAGTTTTTTTCTCTTAAATGTCATTTGATGATATATTTTAAAACTTTCATTAGAAAAAATGACCAAAAAATATGCCATTGTTGAAAAGTAGGTCACGGTAATTAAGTGCCCTAATTACTAATTAAGTCACTCTTGAGCACCGTTTTCTGTCTTAATGCATCTATAAACAATACGCTTATCACGTGCAGTGTATTTATTTGAAATATTTTTACAAATATGGATGACATCAAAATGGAAAAAGTAAATTTAGTACCGGGTTTCACAGGATCATAAATGACCTTTGTCTATTACTTACAGGATTGTATTTTTGTTTACTGCTTTAGTAAGGGGAATGGTGGTGTTGGGATATTCATTTAGGAGTCACTGTCGCTGTCACAATCTGACCAGTTCTCCATCGTCATTGCGTCATCAACACAACTAAGGAAACTTGAGGAGGCAGTTGTTTGTGTAGTATCAGACTGGTGTCGGTCACAAGAAAGATAACTTAGGACAGATGCAATGTGGGCACAGCAGCCGACTACTCTGGCAACAACCTTACATTGACAATACCAGTCTGATATTGGGGTCAGTCCATTAGAATATTCAATCCAAAGATTGTACACCTTCGAAGCAACATTTATAATGTCCTGTGAGTCGATAATAATCTTGATCAGTTAATCCATCAGGTGAATCAAAGTCTAAACAACTTTTTCTAGAAGCCAGTGATATCAGTGAAAGCAGGATTTCTAATATTTCAGATGAATCCAGTTTTGAGTCTTCACTGGTAGGAGTGAGTGACTGAAGAACATTGAAATGAATATCACCATCCACTATATGAGGAGCACAGCACCTAGATGTGTTTGGAATCATGACACCTGTCTTAATAAAAATCTTAACTCTTATTTCCGTGCATGGTTTCAACATTTTTTTCCATCTCTGGACTTTCCACAAACGAAACATCGCGATTCAGTAAGCGTAGCTCGTGGAATATCAAGTTTGATTTTTTAGAGTCAGGTGTCTCATTCTGATGGTCTTAACCACTGTTAGAATGCTCTACTGGTTCATGGTGTTTGTAGAATCTCCTTCTGCATTTCTTACATACAGGGTTAACTAAACATAAATATTTATTGATGTTATCTTTCAAGAAAGACAGAACATCTGCCTGATTCAGACAATATATTCTGACTTTATAATCTGCTTTGCAGCAAGCACACTACTTGTGTACTGGCATTTTACAAAAATAACAAAAAGTTAATAAAAACTAAACAAAATACTATAATACTATTATATATATGTCACACCTGTATGAATGAAATTATATTTAACGGTTTAGTTATACACAAGATATGTGCATAAGTCAATGCATGTACGAACTGCACAGAACAAAATATACTTATACATCTGGATATACCATGTGTTACATACACTGCATTGTAGATTACCGAAGTTTGCTAGTGTTCAAAACAAGTCCATTAACAAGTTATACATCAGGGAGATGTCATGAAATCATACTATTTTATGTTAAAGCTCTAGTGTCAAACCATCTTATGTTAAAGCCTAAGAGTACAACTAATGCACGGAAGAATTATCATACTGTAAAATTTATTTGAAATAATTTTTCATACAGTATAATTCAATATTCATTTTCATTAACCGGAATAAGATAGTGACTGGTGCTCTTGCACTTTAAATTGAAACTAGTCTATTTAAATGGCATGCCTCTCTTACCCTGACTGTAACTTCTTCATTGCTCTAATTCATGCAAAAATATTTCAAATAAATACACTGCACGTGATAAACGTATTGTTTATAGATGCATTAAGACAAAAAACGGTGCTCAAGTGTGACTTAATTAGTAATTAGGGCACTTAATTACCGTGACCTACTTTTCAACAACGGGCATATTTTTTGGTCATTTTTTCTAATGAAGGTTTTAAAATATATCATCAAATGACATTTAAGAGAAAAAAACTAAAAAAAATATTTTAGTTTGATAATTATTGCAATAATTATGAATTTGATCCCCCACTTGTCCCCCCTATAACAACTGAACGGCTTTGAGCTGACCTTAGATTAATGTCATGTCATTACCGTCTGACCTCAAGTTTTTAATAGAACAAAAATAAAAGATATTCGTCATGGCCACCAGAAGGCCAAAATTGGAACTCCTCCTTTATTCCATTCTGTGACGTGTCGATTTATGGTAAATATATACTCAACAAAAAAAAGAAAGGTTAACGTGTTTCCTTGGCGAATACCTGTAAATGAGTGAAAACAAAATGACGTTTGTGAATATTAGAAAGTGGTAATATTTTACATTACAAAATCCATGGGGGTTACCAAAATCATTCAAGCGTGAAAGTCTGTATTAGCGAAAGAGCTGCACGAGGTTTTCTGCGACTAACTTGTATCTTCGCTTAAATTTCATAAACATTCAAACTGACAACTGTTCCTTAGATCGTTAGGACTTAGAAATCACCGAATCTTGCTATCTATCAACTTTATCATTATACCCCGGCTGTCACAAGTACAGAGAGAAAGGGCTATAGGCAAGATCCAGGCTGGGGAGTCTCGCCGTCGAGTTGCACGGCATTTTGGTTGCAGTGCTAAGACAATTTGCCAGTTGGTAAGTCGTTTACACCAAACTGGGTCAACATCCGATCGTCCCCGAAGCGGCCGACCCCGTAAAACGACCGCCAGGGATGACCGTCGTATACGATTGATACACTTGCGCAATCGATTCGTAACCGCAGTAGAGAGTACAAGGACATTGTTTTGGCGTCGTGTGTCTCCCCAAACAGTCCACAACAGGTTGAGGGCTTACCAATTGAAAGTGCGGCGTCCCTACACTGGACCCAATTTGTTGCGATGTCACCGTAATAATCGGCGTAAGTGGACCCGTGTCCATCGTCGTTGGGCCTTACGACAATGGAACAATGTTCTGTTTTCAGATGAGTCCAGGTTTTGTCTGCAACACGGTGACAGAAGGCGCAGAGTGTGGAGGCGACGAGGGGAGCGTTTTGCGAACTGCTGCGTCGCAGAACGGGACCGCTTTGGCGGCGGAAGTGTAATGGTTTGGGGTGGTATTTGTGGGGGGACTCGTACCAGGCTTGTTGTGTTAAATGGCAATTTAACCGGCATTCGATATCGGGACGAAATTTTAAGACCAGTGCTTCTGCCATTCTTAATACGCCATGGCGTTGGCGCCATTTTTCAACAGGATAACGCACCAGCGCACACCAGTCGCGTCAGCAGAACTTTCTTGCAGCAGAATAAGGTACAGGTGTTAGATTGGCCATCTAAATCATCTGATTTGTCACCGATTGAGCATGTCTGGGACGTTCTTGGGCGACGCGTGAGAGAACGTCAAAATCATCTTGCAGGAGCTGGCCCAAGCCTTGATCGGTGAATGGAACAACATCTCTCCTCGAATTATCCGCCGGTTTGCGAGTTCCATACGACGACGCTGCAATGCTGTTTACTTCGCAAACGGTTGCCATACTCGTTACTAATGGTGTTACCTTTGAAATTGACCCCAACGTCCTTTACAGTCGAATAAAATCAACTGAACGCAAAGTTTTATAATGAACCATGACTGCAGTTTTATCAGAATTGATCAATTACTTTATTCGTACATGATTGGTAAGGATTTATGAAGGGGTTACTTAATTAATCACAGAATAAAGCAGTGTTACCTTTCTTTTTTTGTTTAGTATATATGATAACTGCACGTATATCATGTAAGTTAACTGATATCTTCATATTCTAAGGATTTAGTTTTGATGTTTATGAAGTAAAGAAAATATATTTAGCATTAGAAATGTTTACACGTATGATGGTCTGATACAGACTTTTGCGATGAGCAGCCAGCGTCTATAATGCACGCCAAGTTCACCATCGACAGGTCCGGGGGTATTCCGATTGCTGACTATTCATGCGTCGAATGGGCAAACTACACTTCAGGAGACAAAAACTCTTCGTGTAATCCAGCCACAAGAACATGGAGTGTACCGGGAATTGTTTGCAAACCCAGTAAGTAAAAAGCATTTCGAAGCAGTATATGACATTGCAAATTCCCTCATTTGTTGCTATGAAATTAGTAGTTGCTATTTTTCAAATTATGATATTGACCATTTTCAATGTTTAGTGAATTCACATGCAATTCAATATCCATTGGTATTGTCGTTTTGGTTTTTCGTGATAAATTTTACAGATGGACTCGGGGTGCGTTATCAGTGCGCATGTGCTCTTTAGAGACGTAATGAATGGAAATTTGAAGAATTTTCAAATCATTATGCATTTCAAGCTACAGTTTGAATGGACAAAATATTGCAATCCACAAGTCTCGCCCTTGAGGTACAATAGCTTAAACGAAAATATTCCATGTAAACAAAAAAAAAAAAACAAACAAAAAAAAAAAAAAAAAAAAAAAAAAAAAAAAAAAAAAAAAAAAAAAAAGATAGACTGTCATGAAAAGTGACTGACTTGTATCAAATGTAGTAATTTAATTGACTGAGGACTGAAAACTATGATCTATTTTTCACTACAAATCCATTATAATGAGTACCTGCCAATGTTGATACTAAGCCTGACAAGGTCAGCAATAATTTTCTCAATGATATGATATATGATCGGCCCCAGAGAATATTTTCTGATGAGATACATGTCCCAAAAGCAACACGAACTGAATATGCAAGAAGCATGTAAACAAGACAAATGACAAAATCTTGTAAACACCACAAACACAAACAACTATTAAGTAACATCGCACCTTATATGTTTTGTCAGGTGACTTCTCCAAACAAATGCACACGAACACATAAACAAATGAGTCACAACATGATGTAAAGCGTGCATTAAAGAAACAGAAATACCAAGCCACTTAATCATCTGTTTGCACATCAATGGAACGACTTATTAATTACACACGTGGTATACCGTTATTTCCACAGGCCATACTTTTCACGATTTTCTTTTAAAAGGATCTACTTTCACTATTAAGAAATCAAAATTTTGCGATTTGGATATGAAGGGATCTCATTTTTTACTTGATGAAACTTCCCAGTAATGCTAGCTTTCAGGTTAATGTGCTGCGAAAATGTCATCCCGTGTTAAAGTATCTGTATAAGAATTGGAGACCTGATCGTAGAATCCGAGGCAAATTAGATCTGATTGCAGAATTTAAGAAAAAAAAGAAAAAAAATTGAATCCATAGAAAATATTCTGCAAAATAATCCTTCGCTATTGTTTAAAACCATGGTACTACAGAGAATACAACGGCCCAGCTTACCAACCTGATCAGGATGAGCACATTAAGTGACACAGAATTTAGACTGGAATGATAAATTCCTAAGGTTTTATTTTACAAATTCTCACTATAAGTAGACAAAGCCTCTTTACAACTTGTCCTATTTTTCTCTGAAAACCTTTTAACAATTCATATTAGATATAGACAAGGACCTGTATCTACTACATCCTAAATTACACTCAATATCTTTGTATGAGAAATCAGTGGAAGTGAAGTTATGACGTCAAAAAGACCAAGCCTTAATGGCGGGGACATAAAAAGAGAGTCACTAGAAAAATAGAAGTACAGAAAAGGATTGAAAAAAAGACATAGAGCATGTCCTGATATCAAATTTCTGGGAAAACTTACATACTGTTAATCATTGACATTTCGCATTAGATTTATTTTCAAGTTAATACAAATACACGGGGAGAGTCAATTGAGGATGCAAATGTTGCGCTATTATTTTTTTCTGGAGTGGTTCGACGTTGATTTGGTAACCGATATCGAAGTCTTGAAGAGTTCAGGTCTCTTATAGCTCATTATTCGCGAATTTCCAGATCGGCGTTCGATATAATTAGACAAAGCCTATATGAAAAGAATAAACTCAACATGAAAAATGTATTCCACGGAATAAATTTGTCATGTTGATTAAATTCTTTTCACATATTTTATCGATACACAAATCATACTTAAGTTACAATGAAGTAATAGCAACAGCACGGACAAGCGAATTGTCAAATTTTCGAGGCAATCTGCCCCTTTATCAAGACACACATATATCATAAATTACAAACGGCGTCCATCGGCCTAAGGGATTATCGAGACACCTTGATTTACACCACCGCTCTCGATTAAGATTTATTTCTTTGTATTTGTTTATGTTCTATGTATTTGATGTAATTTATGTAATATTTGTGTCTTGATAAAGGGGCAGGTTGCCTCGACAATTCTCATGTCCACACTGTTGCTATTACTTCATTGATCATAAATCTATCCTAGTAATACTCATCCAACGAACATTTGTCTGATATTTCACCTTTGTTTAACGACTTTTTTTGTTACAGCCTTTCCAGAGGCTTGCGGAACTCCTCCTCTTTTGTCTGTTCCACACGATGTCACATATCCATATGATGGTGACAACTTTCTTGCCAATTACGAATGTCCGAGTCTAAGTGGTGATGTTGCCGCTACCCACTGCCCAATCACAGTATGCATAGGAGTGGAATTGTGGACTAATTTTAGTCTATCGTGTTCAGGTATACATTTTGTTAAATTGTTAATGTAATTACGAAATTTATCTAATGGGGTTGCTGCACCCCCTGTCTTGATTTTGACATTTCTTTTGGTCATTTTGGATTTTCCTTAGTCGCCTCCTAGGCTACAAAAATCCTAGAAGGACGAAACAGCTGTACAATGATGTTTAATTTACTGTTTGGCTCTGCTGTTTCTCACTCTAAATTATAAATATGTGCAATTCACTTGTGTGTTTTTTGTACAATCTTGGTTAACTACTAGCCGTAATACATCTCTCGGCTAGAGAGAACTTCGATCGGTTGAGCCTCAGGCTACTGACCGAGAGGTCCCGGTCCCGATTTCGAATTCTAGCGGAGGCATTGAAATACATAATCACCTCTGTTACATTGGCGCACCTTGTAGGACCTCGGGAATAAATACCTGGCATTGTTGCATAGACATCGGATTTCTTATTAGTTCGATCGTTTCAGCATCATGCTCGTAAACTGGAGGTCTCGTGTTCGAGTCCAAGCGGAGGCATTGGAATAAAAAATGACCTCTGTAACATTAAAAAAATTGTAAAATCAAAAAGCAATATTAGATACCTCGATGGTAAGTTAAAATTCATTTCCTGCTGAAGATCGCGAGGTAGTTGTTATAAGTGTCCATGACATGTTTTGCGCACATTTTTTGTTAACTTTCCCATGCTACTATGTTGAACTATAAACGGTTGCTTTTGCTGATGCTAAGGTATGTAATGTTAATTTGCTGTCATATTGTACGATGAAAAATATGCACATCTGACTAATTCTCAGGGACCACTTATACCTTGGCTTAATTTTGTTTTATCTGTATTTAAGAAAATATATGGTAATTTCTAGGCCTCTATACAAACTATATAAAATATAGATATAGGTAAAGACATTTACAGAGCCAGAAGGGCGGTATTATTTTATAGAGACGTGCTGAAGAAGGCTAGAATGGTGACTTTACAAGCCATTGGATCGCCTCTATCACTTCTTTTGACATCCATATGGTTAGGCCGATCTACACGAAATGCATGCAAGCAAAGCTTGTATTTAATGTTGCTGTGTCCAGATTGTGATTCTGAAGGAATGCCGCAATTCTTAATTCACTAACGCGGTTCCTGCCGTCGGCTGTTCTCATTAAGCTTCCCTCAGGCTTCGCCATGACTTCATATTCCATGTCCTTTGTATACCTACCCATTGCAGTCCTGCTTGCTTGTGCCTTCCAATTAACAGAGGAAGGTTTACTGGTCGGTGAGTAGGGGCTTGCCCTGCATGCCAACACAGAAGTTTTTCTTCTCTATCTATAGTATTTCGAGGCCTGCCAGACCTGGGACGCTGGGCAACATGCCCGGTTTGCTTCAGAGGAATGACTGAATCGTCGACATTAATCTTACAGCTACTTGCTTGTATGTCATACAAGTTCTTTGCCATCTTTTAGCCTATGTCAATTTCCGATTTGCCATTTTTAAAAACAGAAGGGCACATCTCTGATTTAATAGTAACACAAATTGCGTTAGGTGACAATACAAACATGTGTTTTGTTAGAATAGGGGATACCCCAGTTCATGTTTGGTGTATCACATGGTGGCATACGACATTAATTACAAAAGGAGACACCGCACAAGGTTTATTATTTCATTATGAAAAATCAGTTTTGATTAATATTTTCCAGCTAAAATTGGTGCTTTCTAATTTATAACCAAGTGTATATGTTAATGACCGTTGCGTACGACTGTTGTAGAAGTGTGATTCGAAAGGGGTTCAATATTCTGTGTTTAAAACATGATAAGTGTTTCAATTGTTCCGTTTCTGGTATGCATGTATAACAGTTGTTTATTTGGTACTAGTTTTCACATATTTCCTTGGTATTGTGACATGACAATGGATTTTCTATGGTATCAAAGTGGGTGGTTCTGTTACATTGAATTAAAATTAGTATGACGTGTGACACTCATATATTGCCAAAACGATAAAATTTTAGATTAAATAATCTTAATTAAATTATCACAGAGCGAGAAAAGTGTATTTTTTCAGAATTTGCTCTCTTCGATTAATTGATAAAAATCGTTATTACCGATTAACAACCAGTCGTTCTGAGACGTCATTTAATGCCACTTGGGATGGAAATAGCTATGCAGTAGTCATATGAATTATAATATAGTTAGAATCCCATGCACCGAAGTCCGCCTAATGTCTTTGATAAACCTAAGTCTATACAAATGTTAGTCATTGTTCTCGACTTGACATTCATCTATTTTGTTTATGCTTATTGTCTTGACGTCTTCACAAACAGAACTACCCACAAGTAAAGACAAAACGTTCTGTCCAGTTACCATTTACATGTTACAGGAAAGGGGCAGATGTCAACTTTCTGTATTATTACTACGATACGATAACTTCCGTAAATGATATTATTCATATGCTACCTCTGATGTAATGAATATTATCAGCCAGTCGAAATCAAGACTGAAAAGGGGTAATTAAAAATAAAAACGCTGATGGTATTTTTCATATTACCTATCCTCATGTTTCATTTATTTAAAGTGTTCAATGTATAATTTATAAAGTAGAATATTTGAGAGTTTTCTGACATGCAAATATATAGGATATTCTAAAACGATTCCCTTGGTAGATGTAGACTAACCATATGTGTATCAATACTACATGGTGGGTTGTTCTTGCAGTAAAGGACTGCTATACTAGTAATGGTGTCTACGATGGCCAGATTGCTTGCACGGTGACCGGGAGAACTTGTCAACGCTGGGATACACAAAGTCCACACACACACTCAGACTTTACTACTAGAAGTGACTTTCACAATTACTGCCGTAAAATTAGTACTGAAAAACCATGGTGCTTCACCACCGATCCTTCTACAAGATGGGAGCGTTGTGCAGTGCCTAAATGTTAGGTATCATAGAAATAATTGAATATTCCGTTGGGACAGTATCGCATATATTATTTGTTTTTATTAAGTGTTCATACTAGCGGGTGTTATGATTCATTTTGTTTTCAAATGTGACACAGGTGATAATATATCATTTATATTAATGTCTATATCTTTATTATACGGTTTAAAACTATTTTCGTTCACCATTTTATATCCTCCATTAATACGTAATTACCAATATTCTGTCACATTTTTTCTTTATTTACAAGAAAACGTCATTGAATCGATGCAAATGCAAGTGATGTGTTTTGTTTACGTTGGCTCGGTTTTAAATGATTATTGAAATTCTGTTGAATTTCCGTGTTTTAATTTTTTCTTTCGATGATGATTTTAAAAAGGTTTGATTTTAGGAAGTAGATCTAAAAGCTATAAAAAAGCAATTTTTCGCACGATATTTATCGTTCACAGTCGTCAGTATATTTGGAACAGATCATATCATTTTTTGTTTTCCCTGAATAACATACATTTTCGGTAACTTTCGCGGCGAAATTTTTTAGAAATAAATTCTCGTCTGTTTTCATTTAATTTTAACCAGCTTTAAACAGCGTAGCAACCACAAAACGAAAATGTTTTAAGATTATTTAAATCCTTTATTTCACCATCTTCTAGTTTTAACTTTTTAAAAGATTTTATGTTTGGATAGAGAAAAAATCGAAAATAGTTTTCATGGTTAAAGCAGATGAGGTCGCCGCGCTTTCATTTTGTTTGCAATGTTCACCCCAATAGTCAGTTTATCCCAAATCAAGACACAGTATTTGCTCTTAGTTTATAATATTGCTGGAAAGTGTTCCACCAAGTAGTAAGTCTAGAATTTAAAATCCGTCATCTGTAGTCATCGTTCATCAAACATTTAGTTGTGATCTGAAACCTGAAAACGCTTAAATTGTCGACTCTTTTGACAGAATCACACTGTCAACTACGCCGTCAAAAAATGAAGTTCAGATGTGAAATTCCTTCTTAGGTCGTACAAACCGTTAGCAAAAAGTTAGTAATGCAATTATAAGTAACAAAGTGTGTAAGTATAAAAACATCCAAGATATTGTGTTGGAATTCGTTTGATATTGAATAATGTCTTACTTCCTGTCAAACGTCAAAGGAAAATAATTTTAATATTTTCGATCCTTGTTTAAAGAAATATAACACTTTCCTCACATTTTGATTAATGTTATCTGTTTTAGGCTAAACTTACTCAGTACGTATAGCCTATTGCGACGGCCTTTCAGACAAAATTTACCGATCCTGGCCTTCTCATTGGCTGAAATATCAAAAAGAGTTAGAGCCCTCTAGCGGCAATTTTCTGCGTAAATAATGCCGCGATTTTTCAAATCGCTATTTCAAAATCATCCAAAATTAGTTTATTTTTTAAATAACAATACGATTACTATATATTTCAAAAAAGAAGCACAGTGTGGTTGAACTATTGATAAATTTTGACCAAAATATTTTACGGAATTCTGGACATGACGTAAGCGTACAGAACACTGTACGTGCGAGTTGGCGCCATAATGAGAAGCTAGTCTGGGGGCTTGGGTTGAATTATCAGCTAACAACACTTATACACAAACAAAACTTACAAACAGAACATCAATTTTGCTTTAATCCTTGTCGTTGTGGCAAGATCATCTTAATATATAACATCACTTTACCTCATTAGACGTCACAAAATTGGACTGTTCGTCCTACGCGCACACCCGCCGATATGACACTTTTTCAGGATTTTCACATCCACCACCATGACACTTTTTCAAGTTTTTGAAGATACAAGTTTGCGCTTCGTAGGCAAGGTACATTTGGTGCTCATGATATATGAATGATATATTAATAATACTGTACTGATCATGATGTTGACTTTGTTATAACTTATATTTTTTGTCTTTTATTTTAATTTGATTAAGGTTGATTGTGCTGATTTCTCAATGTTTGTTAATGCGTATCAAAGTTCCTTGAAATGAAAATATTCCTTCAAACAAAGCACGTATAAAATAACCGGAAATTATTCATGTTTATTATTATCAATCAACTAGAACGAAATATTTCTATAACATACTTATTCATTTAGCGTGTCATAGTGACATTATCTAATGCATTGGAGATCAGAAATAGTAGTAGCTATAGTGAAAATATTGTTAATTTTGTATGTATATGGAAGTCTGGTTTAATCTCATAGAACTTTGCCTTTATAGACATAATTACTGGAAGAAAAGTCCAACCATGATACTTCAAGGAAGATAGGCATGTAAATACATTTAATGTAATTACTTACACTTTAATCTATCTGAAATGCTGTGTGTACCTTATCTACTTGCCTCAACTACAAATATAATTATGATGAGTAAGGACTATTACTTTGCAATACATTCAAAGTAAAGAAGTAGGTATACAGTCCTTTCGATTTGTTTAAATCCTCATATTGATAGGATAGTAATTGCAACATCATGGGTATTTTAAAGGTTTTATTTAGTCAACTTTATCATAGAGCTATTTATCATTTGGCTTGTTGGCGATAAATATATGGTTGTGTGTATTTTGTTATTTTTTTTACCTATTTTGATTTATTCACATTATTGTTGTCAAATTTGAAATAAGAATTAAAGAAGATGTAAAATCGCTTAAAATTAAGAAAAATAGCTTCTGGTTCTCTTATTTTAGTAATTCTTACATTCCAAAGTGTAGGAGTATGAGGGAAGTAATATAGCTTAGCGGTTATTTGTGAACATTTTTCAATACGTTTAGCCTCTCAGTACTTTTAGTACTTTGATTTATTCATGTTACACATATTTTTGAGAATATTGTTTTTTACAATATTACCAACAATACAGTACGTAATATATACACCCTTTACAGATGAAGAAATGAAAGGTACATTTTAAATATAGGTCTGTTAGTGTCAGAACCCGCTTCCTAATTGGATGCCTTCCTGTTCTTTGATCCATTTTGCTGTAACCTTTATGTTTTAATTCATTCGAATAGCGGCATGGTTCACAATATTCTTTTTAAAAAAGGTTTGCTTGCGAAATAAGGATATTTGTTGTTGCAAATGCGCCCAAAGTGAATATGTCGTATTAATTTTGTGTTGATATTCTTATTGTCTCATTCTTATTTGCTGATGACTTTATAAATAACACCAGTTCTTGACCCTGGCGTCCGGTTCAAGTGCAATGATACGGATACTGCAAAGCGCACGTGTCTCCACGATGAGAACAGACTCGCAGCCTTGACTGGGGCGTGTAACTTTATCCGCGTGATGCAAGGAACACGAGACTTATTGGCAAATAAAAGAGACAAATTGAATATCTTGCTTTTAAAATGAGCCTTTAATGAAAATGCCTTCTTAAGCAAGGCTTCTTGACACATGGAAGATAAATCTTTGCATAAAAATTGTGTTTCCAAAGACTATTTTCTATCTTGTGCACGCCCACGCTTTAATAAGTCATTTTGATATATATGAATAGTATAAACAAACTACATATCTGCACTGTTTCATCTATAATGTCATTGGCAAAATGATTTTAAAAAAATCGTTTTGTACTTAATCTTTCTTTACCATGCGTTATATTTATAATGACACAGTGAAACAGACAACCGGTCAATCAGAATTGAAATTTACGGCAAAAGAAAAGGCGCAAATGAAGTGTAATACTGTTTTTTTCCACCATTTGCGCAGATCCATGCCACAAGGGTCTATACAAATTACGCAGAAATGTTATGCCTGACAATGTACAACGAAATGCGACCAACACCGATTGAGGGTTTGGCTCGTGACATAGAAACCGCTCTATTTCATCCCAAACATGTTCCATTAGACAAATATGACGATACAGCAGACCAAAGTAGCCCATACTTGCCAGCTTTCAATATTAAGTCGGGAGTTTCACGATTTTTCAGCCCCCTCCCCTGCCCCCTCCCACCCACTTCTCCGCCTCTCGATCACATGGATCAAAATTGAGCATCATGCTAGTAAACCGGAGGTCTCGTGTTCGAGTCCTAGCGGAGGCATCGGAATAAAAAATGACCTCTGTAACATTAAATTCACGAGTGTAAAATCAAAAAGCAATATTAGATACCTTGATGGTAAGTTGAAATTCATTTCCTACTGAAGATCGCGAGGTAGTTGTCATAAGTGTCCATGACATGCTTTGCGCACATTTTTTGTTAACTTTCCCATGCTACTATCTAAACTATAAACGGTTGTTTTTGCTGATGCTAAGGTATGTAATCTTAATTTGCTCTCATATTGTGCGATGAAAAATATGCACATCTGACTATAAGTTAGGGACCACTTATACCTTGGTTTAATTTTGTTTTATCTGTATTTAAGAAAATATATGGTAATTTCTAGGCCTCTATACACACTATATAAAATATAGATATAGGTAAAGACATTTACAGAGCCTGAAGGTCGGTATTATTTTAAAGCGACGTGCTGAAGAAGGCTAGAATGGTGACTTTACAAGCCATTGGATCGCCTCTATCACTTCTTTTGACATCCATATGGATAGGCCGATCTACACGGATGCATGCAAGCCAAGCTTGTATTTAATGTTGCTGTGTCCAGATTGTGATTCTGAAGGAATGCCGCAATTCTTAATTCACTAACGCGGTTCCTGCCGTCGGCTGTTCTAATTAAGCTTTCCTCAAGCTTCGCCATGACTTCATATTCCATGTCCTTTGAATACTTACCGATTGCAGCCCTGCTTGCTTGTGCCTTCCAATCAACAGAGGAAGGTTTACTGGTCGGTGAGTAGGGGCTTGCCCTGCATGCCAACACAGAAGTTTTTCTTCTCTATCTGTAGTATTTCGGGGCCTGCCAGACCTGGGACGCTGGGCAACATGCCCGGTTTGCTTCAGATGAATGACTGAATCGTCGACATTAATCTTACAGCTACTTGCTTGTATGTCATACAAGTTCTTTGCCATCTTTCAGCCTATGTCAATTTCCGATTTGCCATTTTTAAAAAACAGAAGGGCACATCTCTGATTTAATAGTAACACAAATTGCTTTAGATTTCAATACAATCATGTGTTTTGTTAGAATAGGGGATACCCCAGTTCATGTTTGGTGTATCACATGGTGGCATACGACATTAATTACAAAAGGAGACACCGCACAAGGTTTATCATTCATTATGAAAAATCAGTTTTGATTAAAATTTTCCAGCTAAAATTGGTGCTTCCTAATTTATAACCAAGTGTATATGTTAATGACCGTTGCGTACGACTGTTGTAGAAGTGTGATTCGAAAGGGGTTCAATATTCTGTGTTTAAAACATGATAAGTGTTTCAATTGTTCCGTTTCTGGTATGCATGTATAATAGTTGTTTAATTGGTACTAGTTTTCACATATTTCCTTGGTATTGTGACATGACAATGGATTTTCTATGGTATCAAAGTGGATGGTTCTGTTACATTGAATTAAAATTAGTATGACGTGTGACACTCATATATTGCCAAAACGATAAAATTTTAGATTAAATAATCTTAATTAAATTATCACAGAGCGAAAAAAGTGTATTTTTTCAGAATTTGCTCTCTTCGATTAATTAATGAAAATCGTTATTATCGATTGTTTAACAACCAGTCGTTTTGAGACGTCATTTAATGCCACTTGGAATGGAATAGTTATGCAGAAGTCATATGAATTATAATATAGTTAGAATTCCATGCACCGGAGTCCGCCTAATTTCTTTGATAAACCTAAGTCTATACAAATGTTAGTCATTGTTCTCGACTTGACATTCATCTATTTTGTTTATGCTTATTGTCTTGACGTCTTCACAAACAGAACTACCCACAAGTAAAGACAAAACGTTCTGTCCAGTTACCATTTACATGTTACAGGAAAGGGGCAGATGTCAACTTTCTGTGTTCTTACTACGATACAATAACTTCCGTAAATGATATGCTACCTCTAATGTAATGAATATTATTGAAATCAAGACTGAAAAGGGGTAATTAAAAATAAAAACGCTGATGGTATTTTTCATATTACCTATCCTCATGTTTCATTTATATAAAGTGTTCAATGTATAATTTATAAAGTAGAATATTTGAGAGTTTTCTGACATGCAAATATATACGATATTCTAAAACAATTCCCTAGGTAGACTAACCATATGCGTATCAATACTACATGGTGGGTTGTTCTTGCAGTAAAGGACTGCTATACTAGTAATGGTGTCTACGATGGCCAGATTGCTTGCACGGTGACCGGGAGAACTTGTCAACGCTGGGATACACAAAGTCCACACGCACACCTCTACTTTATCACTAAAAGTGACAATTACTGCCGTATTGCTAGTACTGAACAACCATGGTGCTTCACCACCGATCCTTCTACAAGATGGGAGCATTGTGCAGTGCCTAGATGTTAGGTATCATAGAAATAATTGAATATTCCGTTGGGACAGTATCGCATATATTATTAATTTTTATTAAGTGTTCATACTAGCGGGTGTTATGATTCATTTTGTTTTCAAATGTGACACAGGTGATAATATATCATTTATATTAATGTCTATATCTTTATTATACGGTTTAAAACTATTTTCGTTCACCATTTTATATTCTCCATTAATACGTAATTACCATTATTCTGTCACATATTTCTTTATTTACAAGAAAACGTCATTGAATCGATGTAAATGCAAGTGATGTGTTTTGTTTACGTTGGCTCGGGTTTGTTAAACGGTTATTGAAATTCTGTTGAATTTCCGTGTTTTAATTTTTTCTTTCGATGATGATTTTAAAAAGGTTTGATTTTAGGAAGTAGATCTAAAAGCTATAAAAAAACAATTTTTCGCACGATATTTATCGTTCACAGTCGTCAGTATATTTGGAACAGATCATATCATTCTTTGTTTTCCCTGAATAACATACATTTTCGGTAACTTTCGCGGCGAAATTTTTTAGAAAGAAATTCTCGTCTGTTTTCATTTTATTTTAACCAGCTTTAAACAGCGTAGCAACCACAAAACGAAAATGTTTTAAGATTATTTAAATCCTTTATTTCACCATCTTCTAGTTTTAACTTTTAAAAAGATTTTATGTTTGGATAGAGAAAAATTCGAGAATAGTTTTCATGGTTAAAGCAGATGAGGTCGCCGCGCTTTAAATTTTTTGCAATGTTCACCCAAATAGTCAGTTTATCCCAAATCAAGACACAGTATTTGCTCTTAGTTTATAATATTGCTGGAAAGTGTTCCACCAAGTAGTAAGTCTAGAATTTAAAATCCGTGATCTGTAGTCATCGTTCATCAAACATTTAGTTGTGATCTGAAACCTGAAAACGCTTAAATTGTTGACTTTTTGACAGAATCACACTGTCAACTACGCCGTCAAAAATGAACTTCAGATATGAAATTCCTTGTGACGTCGTACAAAACGTTAACAAAAAGTTAGTAATGCAATTATAAGTAACAAAGTGTATAAGTATAAAAACATCTAAGATATTGTGTTGGAATTCGTTTGATATTGAATAATGTCTTACTTCCTGTCAAACGTCAAAGGAAAATAATTCTAATATTTTCGATCCTTGTTTAAAGAAATATAACACTTTCCTCACATTTTGATTAATGTTATGTGTTTTTTATTCATGTTACACATATTTTTGAGAACATTGGTTTTTTTTTACAATATTACCAACAATACAGTACGTAATATATACACCCTTTACAGATGAAGAAATGAAAGGTACATTGTAAATATAGGTCATGTTGTGTCAGAACCCGCTTCTTAAATGGATGCCTTCCTGTTCTTTGATCTATTTTGCTGTAACCTTTATGTTTTAATTCATTCGAATAGCGGCATGGTTCCCAATATTCTTTTTTAAATAAGGATATTAGTTGTTGAAAATGCGCCCAAAGTGAATATGTCGTATCAATTTTGTGTTGATATTCTTATTGTCTCATTCTTATTTGCTGATGACTTTATAAATAACACCAGTTCTTGACCCTGGCGTCCGGTTCAAGTGCAATGATACGGATACTGCAAAGCGCACGTGTCTCCACGATGAGAATAGACTCGCAGCCTTGACTTGGGCATGTAGCTTTATCCGTGTGATGCAAGGAACGAGACTTATTGGCAAATAAAAGAGACAAATTGAATATCTTGCTTTTAAAATGAGCCTTTAATGAAAATGCCTTCTTAAGCAAGGCTTCTAGACCCATGGAAGATAAATCTTTAAATCTTTAATAAGTCATTTTGATATATATGAATAGTATAAACAAACTACATATCTGCACTGTTTCATCTATAATGTCATTGGCAAAATGATTTTAAAAAAACCGTTTTGTACTTAATCTTTCTTTACCATGCATTAAATTTATAATGACACCGTGAAACAGACAACCGGTCAATCAGAATTGAAATTTACGGCAAAAGAAAAGGCGCAAATGAAGTTTCGAAAGTGTAATACTGTTTTTGTCCACCATTTGCGCAGATCCATGCCACAAGGGACTATACAAATTACGCAGAAATGTTATGCCTGACAATGTACAACGAAATGCGTCCAACACCGATTGATTGTATGGCTCGTGACATAGAAACCGCTCTATTTCATCTCAAACATGCTCGATTAGACAAATCTGACGATACGGTAGACCAAAGTAGCCGATACTGCAACCCTATATTATATTGTCCCTCAACTGGCGACATTTGATTACGCAAATGTCATTGTAACGTACCACCAGCTGAAAATCCCAAAAAAGAGTGTTTTCGGATTACTATTCATAGTGTACTTGTAGTCTAGCTTATGCTTACGTACAAGGAGTGCCGTTAGAGTTATCTCCCTTGTGGGGAAATCCCCAGTTTAGTGTTTACAGAGTAAAATGGCGTGGAATGTTGGAGCACAAAACAATTAGGCTTGGTTCCCACACAGTGTAAGTGTATTTCTCGTCCGAAATATGAACATTACTAACATTATATATGATGTGATTTTGCTGTATGAATGAATCATAAAGACTTGTAAGTATCGCTGGTAATTCTACCTTATGCGTAAATTATACCTTTGTTGTGACTATATACACGTGGTACAGTCCATTCGAGATTGCATGATGCATGATTGCTAGTCATTTGTAGTCAATTTTATTAGATTTTCCTAGTTTTATTTTTATAGTAGGTTATAAGCTGTTGCTAGTCATTCGTATTCAGTATTATTAGCTGTCTCTAGTTATCTTTGTAGTCAGAATTATAAGCTGTTACTAGTCATTTGTGTCGGTATCATTATATTATTAGGACATGTATAATACAGTATAACTAGTCTGAACCAGCCCGTCCAATTACTGTATTAGGAATTATATTTTTCTTGGTCTAGTTATTACCTCCTTTGGTTATATCAAAACTTTGTATTAAAGCAAACACCTCTGTAATCTGATCATATCAATTGGTCACTTGGGTAGTTGGTTCGGTCTGGTTACACTATACATGTAATATATAAACACAATCAGGTTAAGGACATGTTACGTGACTTTATATCATCAGTTTAATCAGTAACTAGGTCAATATGTATAGGTCTGGCATTGTGGACTGCAATATGATACTAGTGTAGTATTTTTCTATGTCATCCTAGTTAGGCCCTATAATTTGTTATGTAAATTACTGTTTGATAGGCAAATTGTGTAACGAACGTTGTGTATGTTAATTTGCAGTTCTTTACCTCATACCGGGGGTTTGTAATAGTTGAAGAATAAACTCATAAAAAAGGCAACAAGTCTTTGTCTCCACAGTGTAGCTGCTAACGGGAATAAATCTAGACTCCTCCGTCAATATATGTAGCAACTCACTCACTAACTAGATCAAATCTAGACACATCTGTCCATACCTGTAGCATTTCAGACAATAACGATATGAACTATAGACTCCTCTGTTAATACATGAAGCACTTCACACACTAACTAGATCAAATCTGGACTCCTCTGTCAATACATGTAGCACTTCACACACTAACTAGATGAAATCTAGACCCCTCTGTCCATACATGTAGCACTTCAGAAAAGTCCCTGATAACGAGACATCGCGGGCAAATGTTGGCCTCGACCAACCAGTTTCATATTGTTCTGGAACTGCAAAATTCTCAGTGAAAAAAACCCAATGATTTTCTAATAAGGAGTATAAAGCATCTCACTTGAACGCAAGATAGGACAAAATGTGTTTTACATTCAAGTTTTCCTTAATGATATACATAACACAAGTATGATCTTTTACGCAGGGAAAAAGTTATATCCTTACTTGATTTTTTTTTCTCTGATTGTACGTTAAATGTTGTAAGACAGATAACCCTCATCACAATGTCACATAACATCTTCGGTATGTTTTTCACATTATTTTCATATATAATATGTAATCGTTACAAAACCTTTCTGTCATTGAACAGTAATAACTGGCTATTCGCACATCGTTAGATAAAAAATAAACAAGTTTGTTTGAACCTATTACTGTGTTCACCTATTACTGTCTACCCATTAGTATGAAGTTTCGGTGATAGGTAGGCGATTGATCCAGGACAAGATAAAATGTCATAGGGCAGATAGAAGGATGGAAAGACACAACATAAACCTGAAGTCCACTGGGGTTCACGATGGGGGACTAGTAAATCCAGATACAAAAAGGATATGATCTGTCCTACAATATTTACTTAAAATTTTGTATTAATAAATCACAAGTAAGAGGTTTGAGTAAAGAACTAGGTTTATCTACTCTATTACACTGTTACCTATACAATTCAATGATTTCTGTTTCGATAGTACTTTCTATTTATATAACGGTAAGTAACAACTGAGAAAACAATTTAACACATTAAAGATACTTTTTTTCTGAATCATTGCATTTACGTTTTATTTTATCCTCTACATGACAGTCAACCTGAATAAGATGATATTTTTAACCAACAAAATGTTTGAGATGGCTTCCATCTTGAATGCGATGATGGTCCAAATGATATATAGGTGATTTCTAATAAAGACACACAGACAGAAGAGAGATCACGAGATATCCTCTTGCAGCCGTTGACTCTAGACAGTAGAGCTAAAAATATGTACAAATCTTGATGGCCTGTGTATGTACCAAGCATCAATGCAACGCAAAATGTGCAGACATTTTATGCAAGTACTGAAAGGCAAATTTGCCGCTAAAATTCAAACAAAGATGGTATGAGCAGTTGTACAGCATATTTTTATCTTTTGTGATAATGTAACCATTTAAGATGTTTAGCATTTGTCTTTTACCTTTTAGTTCGTTTGATGTTATTTCTTTCTGGAGGTCTGTGTCTTTCACAGGGTTGACGAGCCTAATGACCTTTTATGTGTTGACAGGCCGTTAAGAGAGTCATAATGATAATAACTGTAACAAACATCTGGATTTTTCATCCAGAATCTCA